CATTCACCTGTCAGTTGATGGCATACAGCAAAAATATTGATAATTTATAATGCATATTCTTTGGGTCTTTCGGTAAAGTCACGTAGATAGGTTCAAATTAATAAAAATAAAACAAACCAAAAACTCAGACGTTTCGATCGCAACACAAGCGGTCGTCATCAGGCGGAGAGAAAAGGGGGGTAAAGCCTCTAAATGCAACTGTTTATAAAGGTTTAAAAGTGGGCGTAGCCCAAGTGTCAGAATGGAGTGGGCGGGGCACAAAAGTCGAGGTCAGCTTTTGTTTTGTAGAGCCAGACCCAAACAGTGAAATTCTAGTCCGACAAGCCAACAAGTATGGCGGAGCAGGATGAATCATTTTCACCCCAGGTTTATTGCACATGAAGACATATGCAGTGCAAAATCAATCTGTTGCCTTCTGAGCCACACTGGCCTTGCTCGGCCCTGCGGTAGCTGTACAGTGGGTAAAAATGCAATGTGCGAGTTTTTCTGTACTAAAACACATCGTGCTCAGAGGAATGGCCCATACATACCACGCGAGGGCTCATATCCGTGTTGCGCATGCGGTCGATCGCCCCTGTACCCGTATCCATCTCGCGGGGGGGCATTTGAGGGCTTCCGCATGGGGGGCGGCCTCTCCATCTGCCGATCATCCACACGTGGCCCAGGCCGCTGGAACCCCTCCATGTGCCGCTCGTCCCGGTCTCTCGGTCGCTGGAACCCTTCGGGGTCCCTGTCCCTTGGCGGGCCGAGCCTTCGCGCTGCACTACCGCCGCCACCCACCCTGCCGGGGCCTGGAGGAAGTGGTGACCGGTGCTCGTCGTAGAGTTCAGGGCTGTGGTAGAAAGACTCTTGGCCGGGCTCTTGACGCAGCGCGTGCCGCCTGGCCTCGTGGCCCCCGTCAGGCGTGTACTCCCGCCGAATCGGGTTATGCACGGTGCCGTGCACGCCATACGGCTCGAGGCTACGGGGCCTGACCTGGTAGGCCTGCCGCGGGCTTAGCTCCCTCTGGTTGTAGCGATCGTGGCCCCCCGACACCACCGATACGTAGCGTTGCGGATCAGGAGGGTTCAGGCTGCGCGGCGCCACGTGCTTTCGTGCGTCGAAGTCGCCAGTGTTCTTGGGTCGTCCGCGCATGGGTCCCGGGTCCATGTCTTCGTACAGGTCGCCCCCCATGGGCTGCACCCGCTCCTTGTAGTAGTCGGTGCCAACTCGCCTTGAATCCACGTGTTCGCCGCGCTCCGCAATGCCGGGGACGCGGTAGTCGGACGATGACTTTCCCGACAAGCTGTGAGCGTAGTCGCGGCCACCCATGCCGCCTCCACCGTAACCTGGGCCGGTCTTCATGTGGTAATCCTGACTCGCTTTGGGCATGCCGTGATAGTCACCCATCTGCTTCTTCGAGTCGACCGGCGCAACGTGGTCGTTGTCCTGGTACTCGTAGATCTTCTTCCTGGGGGTGATGTAGTCCATCTCGCGCGAGCTGTCGTAGCTGAAGATGCGCTTCTCAGGGAAGGATCTGCCCGCATCGCCCATGACGAGGCCCTGCTTGCCGGTGCGCTCCATGGGAGACATGTTCTGCATCATGCTCGACGGGCCCTCGTCGAGGTTTCGATCCGAGGGGAACCCATAGTCTTGGTTGCTGCCTCTAAAATAGTTTGCTCCTGTGAAAACAATATACATTTTATTCATTATGAAAACAGTGTGGCCGCGAGCTACATTGGCTTCTGGTTGCCGAACTAATACATTCTCATGTCGCACTTATTACATACAAAGTGCTTGCCACAAATGAACCACAATACCTTGAGGATCTCATCAAGGAGCATAAACCATCACGCAAACTCTGATCATCCTCGCAGGGGCTTTTTGAAAGCCATCAAACAAAGACGGTCACCGCATGACATGCTTTCAGATGCGCTTCAGCAGCAGTCTAGAATATTCTTCCTTCCGAGATTAGGAAGCCACTGTGACTGGAGCTGCACCCTTTTCAGTCTACATTGAAAACGAATTTCCTTAGAACTGCTTTGTCTCGAGTTTGTTGTCCTTCCCCCGCACCTCCGATTAGTACGGTTGGCTACGTACAGTGCCAAAGACGTTCAACATACATACATCATCATAAACCATAACCAATCCACTGCTGGTCAGTTCCTTCCCTATCCTGCAAAACAATCCATTTAAGTCCTCCACATTGACAGACTTCATATTTCCATCTTCATGATATACACACTCTCAGGCACGTTCTCCCCTTTGGCTGCCACACATTCGTCTCAACCACAGGCCATCTAGCCTTCTGCGCAAGCACACTTAGATTTCATAAGTCAATGTCTTGGGCATGTTCGGTCAACACGTTTATGAGAGAAGCAAAACAATGTTACAGTATTGCATGTTTTGTGATTTAAACACCACATATATTATGGCCATGTGATTGGTATGTTTGATCATGCAACAATTATTTTCTATAGAAGTGGGAAAGTACTCATTCAAGGGCTGTTCTCTCACACTGGTGCATTGGTTAGAGCGTTCCGAATGAATACTTCATCTCATGAGATGGCACCAATCGCACAATTGGGTTACAACCTTTGGAGGAAATAAGTAATATTTAAAAATACTTTTTTAAAAACACGCTTTAATTAAATGTACCATACGAGTAATGGCAGAACTCCACGACTCCAGGAAGTGGCCCCGAGGTTTGTCATAACGTAAGGGACCGTGGTGATTTACAGCCAACGTCAGTTGATCGTGGACAATTAAACCAAAGGCGAAACATAACATAAAAAAGATGGTTTATTTTTTTATGATAGAATATAGTATTGTCATCAGTATGACATAAGTATACCAAGTTTGCAGTCGATAGCACATTGGGAAGTGGGTTAAAATTGAGTTACAAGATTTGAGGATACAACAGAGTGAGTTAATAGAAAGCGTGTAAAACATTGTTTAAAAATAGTTTATTTTATTTTTAATGATAGACTAGAGTATTGTCATCAGTAAGACATAAGTATACCAAGTTTGCAGTCGATACCACATTGGGAAGTGGGTTAAAATTGAGTTACAAGATTTGAGGATACAACAACAACAACATAGTGAGTTAAATAAAAGCGTGTAATAAAAAATATCATCCAGATAAGCACATCGAATTTTCTAAAAAAAGTTACTTTACGTTCACGATACAACAAAGTACCTCAACCTCCGCCTCAATTACGTATCCCCCCTACTGCAAATGAGCTGGTCATCATCCTAGAATCTCACTCAGGGCCACAAAAACGCAGGCTAGCAGTGGAACAACGTAGATGTTCAGAATAAACACCTCATTCGAGACCGAAACATATTAATAGCACCTCCTGACTTTGACATTACTCCTGGAAGACAATCAAGTAACCATCAACCGCATCAGAACAGGCCGATGCGCAAATCTCCCGTATAAATGGAATATTCAAGACAAACCACAGAACTGTAGTATGATTGTGGCCATGCAAACCAAACTATCGACCATACAGTAAATCACTATTGTCTCCTCTCCTTCAACAGAGAAATAGTAAAACTACACTTCAGCTCTCTTCGTGGTTAACAAGCCTATGAAAATAAACTTAATATTTGATTTTACCAGATTAGGCCCACTGAGCTAAATAGCTCGTTTTCAGAAGCGACCTGACCGCAAATTATCGCTCAACTAAGCGGCTTATCACGTGAAAATTTTTAGCAGCCAAATACTCGAAACGCGTTGTTTATAAATGTGCCGGGAAAAACAAGAGGACCTGGAGAAAAATCCACGCAAATTCCAAATATACAGCAGGCGTCAGGGTTGGGATCGAAACCACAACCACCTGCATACCAGGCGAGGAAGTTAACATCTCGCCACCGTGGCACTCCACGGTGAACATATTTTATAAGTAATGCATGAAAAATGAGTAAAACACACCAAGAGCATATTAAAGTAAAAACAAAGTACTATTTAATTCTGTTTAGGTTTAAGGGAGTTCAAGGAACCCGACCAAATCTTTGTATGTATTTGATTTTCTTTCCCATTGTACGTAGCGAACATTGCTTATCGGAGGTGCGAGGGAAAAACAAACTAAACACAAAATGCAGTTCTGCCGAGATGAGTTTTCAATCTCGAGGATTTAAAAGTGCATAGCTCCTCCAGTGGCTTCCTGATATCGGAAGAGCTTTCCAGACGGCCGCACAAGCGGCTCTTAAAGCGAGCGATGCAGTGACCTTAAATGTACCACAGCAGTCATTGAAATCGCAGCAGTCCACCAGCAGACGTGAGAGTCAACGATACACTGTTAAAATGAAAGCCGAAAACTGTTCCTCGGAAGATACCATTATTCATAGAATGTTTAATTCTTAAACATAAAAAATGTAGAATTGTTTGGCCTAACAAAGCCTTTGGCCGCCATCTTGAGGCCTTTCATTCGATACTCCCGCAACGACCATGAGCCCATTAGCCTATCTCTCAGTTAACAAAATATACACGCAATAACCCTCACTAACGCTGCAATTGTTTGATTTTTAATCTCTTAAAACAAATAATTCCACAAGAAATAGCAATTGGACACCGAGCCACGCAGGCTCCTAGGATGAAGACCAGTCTCTTACATTCACAACCACGTCGTACAAAAATGTTCGCGAATAATATAACATAGACGCGCCCCTGCGATTGTCTTTAACGCGCGATTAATCTAACTTGGAACGAACTTGGCGTAAGTGCAGGATTTTGTTGTGCAATGTTGGCGCACGTCTCGCTCCCATACCCGAACTCTGCATTCCGCGAGCGCTCTGCCGCCGCTCAGAAAGATGAGGAGGCAGTCTCCGTTGTTAATATCTTCCTAATCCCGTAGAGGCTTCCGGAAGACGTCGGGTTCCACGTTGAGGTACGCCTCTTCCTAATCCGGTAGAGTCTTCCGGAATACGTTGGGTTCCACGTTGAGGTACGCCTCTTCCTAATCCGGTAGACTCTTCTGGAAGACGTTGACCCAACGTCTTCCGGAAGATTCTACCGGATTAAGAAGATATTAACAACGGAGACTGCCTCCTCATCTTTCTGAGCGGCGGCAGAGCGCTCGCAGAATGCAGAGTTCGGGTATTGGAGCGAGACGTGCGCCAACATTGCACAACAAACTCCTGCACTTACGCCAAGTTCGTTCCAAGTTAGATTAATCGCGCGTTAAAGACAATCGCAGGGGCGCGTCTATGTTATATTATTCGCGTACATTTTTGTACGACGTGGTTGTGAATGTAAGAGACTGGTCTTCATCCTAGGAGCCTGCGTGGCTCGGTGTCCAATTGCTATTTCTTGTGGAATTATTTGTTTTAAGAGATTAAAATCAAAACAATTGCAGCGTTAGTGAGGGTTATTGCGTGTATATTTTGTTAACTGAGAGATAGGCTAATGGGCACATGGTCGTTGCGGGAGTATTGAATGAAAGGCCTCAAGATGGCGGCCAAAGGCTTTGTTAGGCCAAACAATTCTACATTTTTTTATGTTTAAGAATTAAACATTCTATGAATAATGGTATCTTCCGAGGAACAGTTTTCGGCTTTCATTTTAACAGTGTATCGTTGACTCTCACGTCTGCTGGTGGACTGCTGCGATTTCAATGACTGCTGTGGTACATTTAAGGTCACTGCATCGCTCGCTTTAAGAGCCGCTTGTGCGGCCGTCTGGAAAGCTCTTCCGATATCAGGAAGCCACTGGAGGAGCTATGCACTTTTAAATCCTCGAGATTGAAAACTCATTTCGACAGAACTGCATTTTGTGTTTAGTTTGTTTTTCACTCGCACCTCCGATAAGCAATGTTCGCTACGTACAATGGGAAATAAAATAAAATACATACAAAGATTTGGTCGGGTTCCTTGAACTCCCTTAAACCTAAACAGAATTATATAGTACTTTGTTTTTACTTTAATATGCTCTTGGTGTGTTTTACTCATTTTCCATGCAGTACTTATAAAATATGTTCACCGTGGAGTGCCACGGTGGCGAGATGTTAACTTCCTCGCCTGGTATGCAGGTGGTCGTGGTTTCGATCCCAACCCTGACGCCTGCTGTATATTTGGAATTTGCGTGGATTTTTCTCCAGGTCCTCTTGTTTTTCCCGCCACATTTATAAACAACGCGTTTTCGAGTATTTGGCTGCTATAAATTTTCACGTGATAAGCCGCTTAGTTGAGCGATAATTTGCGGTCAGGTCGCTTCTGAAAACGAGCTATTTAGCTCGGTGGGCCTTATCTGGTCAAATAAAATTTTAAGTTTATTTTCATAGGCTTGTTAACCACGAAGAGAGCTGAAGTGTAGTTTTACTATTTCTCTGTTGAAGGAGAGGAGACGGTAGTGATTTACTTTCTGGTCCATAGTTAAAATTTTGACTTAAAACTTTCGTGACTGCAGGAATTCATATTCTTGGTTCTTTCGGTAAAGTCACGTAAACAAAAAAAAAGAATGTAAAATAAAATAACATTTTTTTGTAAATGTACGAAATAATTTTTTGTTTGTTTTCTTATTTACGTGACCTTACCGAAAGAACCAAAAATGAGGTCCATAGTTTGGTTTGCATGGCCACAATCATACTACAATTTTGTGGTTTGCCTTGAATTTTCCATTTTCCAGGAGATTTGTGCATCGTCCTGTTCTGATGCGGTTGATGGTTACTTCATTGTCTTCCCGGAGTAATGTCAAAGTCAGGAGGTGCAATATGTTTCGGTCTCGAATGAGGTGTTTATTCTGAACGTCTACGTTCCACTGCTAGCCTGCGTTTTTGTGGCCCTGAGTGAGATTCTTGGATGGTAACCAGCTCAATCGCAGTAGGGGGATACGTAATTGAGGCGGAGGTTGAGGTACTTTGTTGTCTCGTGAACGGAAAGTTTTTTTTTTAAATCGTTGTGCTTATCTGGATGCTCTTTCCCCCCCCCCAAGATTGTAACCCAATTGTGCGATTGGTGCCATCTTTTGAGATGAAGTATTCATTCGGAACGCTCTAACCAATGCACCAGTGTGAGAGAACAGCCCTTGAATGATTACTTTCCCACTTCTATAGAAAACATTGTTGTGTGATGGTCAAACATGCTAATCACATGGCCATAATATATGTGGTTTTAAAACACAAAACATGCAATACTGTAACATTGTTTTGCTTCTCTCATAAACGTGTTGACCGAACATGCCCAAGACATTGACTTTTGAAATCTAGTGTGCTTGCGCAGAAGGCTAGATAGCCTGTGGTTGTGATGAATGTGTGGCAGCCAAAGGGGAGAACGTGCCTGAGAGTGTGTATATCATGAAGATGGAAATATGAAGTCTGTCAATGTGGAGGACTTAAATGGATTGTTTTGCAGGATAGGGAAGGAACTGACCAGCAGTGGATTGGTTATGGTTTATGATGATGTATGTATGTTGAACGTCTTTGGCACTGTACGTAGCCAACCGTACTAATCGGAGGTGCGGGGGAAGGACAACAAACTCAAGACAAAGCAGTTCTAAGGAAATTCGTTTTCAATGTAGACTGAAAAGGGTGCAGCTCCAGTCACAGTGGCTTCCTAATCTCGGAAGGAAGAATATTCTAGACTGCTGCTGAAGCGCATCTGAAAGCATGTCATGCGGTGACCGTCTTTGTTTGATGGCTTTCAAAAAGCCCCTGCGAGGATGATCAGAGTTTGCGTGATGGTTTATGCTCCTTGATGAGATCCTCAAGGTATTGTGGTTCATTTGTGGCAAGCACTTGGTATGTAATAAGTGCGACATGAGAATGTATTTGTTCGGCAACCAGAAGCCAATGTAGCTCGGCGGCCACACTGTTTTCATAATGAATAAAATGTATATTGTTTTCACAGGAGCAAACTATTTTAGAGGCAGCAACCAAGATTATGGGTTCCCCTCGGATCGAAACCTCGACGAGGGCCCGTCGAGCATGATGCAGAACATGTCTCCCATGGAGCGCACCGGCAAGCAGGGCCTCGTCATGGGCGATGCGGGCAGATCCTACCCTGAGAAGCTCATCTTCAGCTACGACAGCTCGCGCGAGATGGACTACATCACCCCCAGGAAGAAGATCTACGAGTACCAGGACAACGACCACGTTGCGCCGGTCGACTCGAAGAAGCAGATGGGTGACTATCACGGCCTGCCCAAAGCGAGTCAGGATTACCACATGAAGACCGGCCCAGGTTACGGTGGAGGCGGCATGGGTGGCCGCGACTACGCTCACGGCTTGTCGGGAAAGTCATCGTCCGACTACCGCGTCCCCGGCATTGCGGAGCGCGACGAGCACGTGGATTCGCGGCGCGTTGGCACCGACTACTACAAGGAGCGGGTGCAGCCCATGGGGGGCGACCCATACGAAGACATGGACCCGGGCCCCATCCGCGGACGACCCAAGAGCCCTGGCGACTTCAACACGCGCAAGCACGTGGCGCCGATGCACTACGACGCGCCGAGGCCCGTGGGCGGCGACCGCTACGACAAGCCCAAGCCGGCGCGTGTTGAGCCGTACGACGCGCGGCGGCCCCTGGGCGGCGGCCCGCACGACGGCGGCCGCCAGGTCGGTGCAGCATACGGCAGCAAGCCGCGCAGCCCGAGCCCTCCTGACCCACAACGCTACGTATCGGTGGTGTCGGGGGGCCACGATCGCTACAACCAGAGGGAGCTCAGCCCGCGGCAGGCCTACCAGGTCAGGCCCCGTAGCCTCGAGCCGTATGGCGTGCACGGCACCGTGCATAACCCGATTCGGCGGGAGTACACGCCTGACGGGGGCCACGAGGCCAGGCGGCACGCGCTGCGTCAAGAGCCCGGCCAAGAGTCTTTCTACCACAGCCCTGAACTCTACGACGAGCACCGGTCACCACTTCCTCCAGGCCCCGGCAGGGTGGGTGGCGGCGGTAGTGCAGCGCGAAGGCTCGGCCCGCCAAGGGACAGGGACCCCGAAGGGTTCCAGCGACCGAGAGACCGGGACGAGCGGCACATGGAGGGGTTCCAGCGGCCTGGGCCACGTGTGGATGACCGGCAGATGGAGAGGCCGCCCCCCATGCGGAAGCCCTCAAATGCCCCCCCGCGAGATGGATACGGGTACAGGGGCGATCGACCGCATGCGCAACACGGATATGAGCCCTCGCGTGGTATGTATGGGCCATTCCTCTGAGCACGATGTGTTTTAGTACAGAAAAACTCGCACATTGCATTTTTACCCACTGTACAGCTACCGCAGGGCCGAGCAAGGCCAGTGTGGTTCAGAAGGCAACAGATTGATTTTGCACTGCATATGACTTCATGTGCAATAAACCTGGGGTGAAAATGATTAATCCTGCTCCGCCATGCTTGTTGGCTTGTCAGACTAGAATTTCACTGTTTGGGTCTGGCTCGACAAAACAAGCTGGTACAAAGAAAACCACCCATACCTCGACGAACCTGCGCTGCCGTGGCTACGATGTGACATTGGAAGAGGAGTAGGGGTGAAAACAATTTCTCACGAGGGCTCTGAAGGCCAGATTCTTTTTAAGGAGTGTGTTGAATATAGTGGAAACTGTAGCAACTGGAGAAAATCTACACGTGAGTCGACAACACTCAAAAGGTCTGATTATATGGGTCCACAAATAAAATTGCTTTAACGACATCTTACAGGCCAGCGAGTTTTGGAATTTCACAGATATACGTGATCCACCATTTTTTTCCTCCAAATCGATGGATCACAAGTCTGTTGTGTAATACCGTTTGGCCGAAACATCTATGACGTTCACGTTGCAGAAATTTACCAAAATCGGCATGAATGAGAGATGTATTTATGAATTGGGACTGAGATATGCATGCCTTGGAGTGACTGATGATGCATATTTGTAGCAACATCAGTGTCATATAGTGCTACAGATGCACTTGATTGGTGTCCTAGAAAAACAGTAATTAGTTGTGTGTATGCTCTCCAACGCCCCGGTGTGTTGAAGTAGTAACAAATTTCGATTAGTAACAAATTGGTAAGTTTTGTTCACGTGACAAACCTTATAAATTTATAAATGTTGGGGTAGATCCATTGACATTTTTGCAATCGAACCCAAAAAGTGTTATAAATTATCAACGATTTTGCTGTACGCCGTCAACTGACAGGTGAATGCCATCCAGTGATCTGAGGGAGGCCTTGTCGTTCCTGGATAGTATAGAGTTTATACTGTTGTTTGATGCTGGCTTTACTAAACTTGTGGGTGTTTGCTCACAGGTCCGCCGCCCGAGAGACCGAGGAAAGACCACTCGGACATGACTACAGATATGCTGAGGGGTATGGTGGACTTAATCAAGTCTGGGAAGCTGCCCATCCAGCCTCACCAAGGTGATCACAGTTAACTTACCCAACGAAGTGCCTTATTGCGTGGAAATTTATAGCAGCCAAATACTCCAAATGTGTGCTTCTGAGCAGTAGACCAGATCGCCGCTATCACTCTCTTTTGTGGAGGCCCTTCCCCCCCTAGCAATGGCGTAACTGAGCAAGCAATTGCAGGATTGTGCCTCTACGTTTTGGCTGAGGAACGATGGCAAATGTGCCACAGTGAATAATGTTGCCTTGCCGTCTGTACATTTGCTTGTGCCAATTATTGCTTGCATGACCAAAATTCTATTGTAAAAGGTAACGGTCACTGGTTTACATTGTATCGTTTAACAATCGTTTAATTCAGTCACATTCCTGTTACTAAATCACCTGGAATGTACCTGATCTTATAAGATCTCAGAAGCTTAAGTAGGGCATAGCCTGTCTACATCTCTCATGACCGACAAGCATGCACAACACGGTGTCGAAGGTTCCGGGGCTACGTGGTGGGCAGGGCATTGTTTTATACCTCTCCTCCTTCATCTATGCTGCCTACCTTAACCAGCTCGCCCTGTCCTGCATGCTGACCTCCATGACCCACATGGTGTAGGGATATCCTCATCCAGCAGCTAAAGGGCTCTACACATACAATTTTATTGCATGTGCAAGTAAAAACAACCATGACACAAACGTCATTAATATTGGTTCAAATTAGCAACACTTGCAGAAATAGTTAAAATTCTTGGCAACTGCCCCGAGTGCCGTGTGTACACGCCGTGCCGTGGTCCGCTTGCCGTCTCGCTGATGGAGCATCATCTCTCCTCTACGCTTCATCGCAGAACCGGAACGGCGCGGTCACAGGGAGCGCATGGTGGAGCCGAGAATTGACTCGACGGTGGAGGCTGCGTCGATCCTACGGGATGTCGTCCACCTGCTCAAGGTGGATAAGATGAGAGGTAGGGACTCTCGCGCACGTTCACCAGAACCATACTTTGAACTCATCGCCCCAGAATACTTCGGAAAGGGAGGTTGAGATGAAGGTGGAAGGGTAGCGCAGTTGTAATACTTGTACCTCACAGCAAGAAGCTCCTGAGTTAAATTTTTGTGTGCAGTTTGTTCTCTCCCTCTTTTGCATGGGTTTCCTCTGGTTTCTCCCAAAAAATTTCCCACAAATAAAATAAGATGCAGTGTAACTGCTATTGGCCAAACATTCCAATGCTAATTACACAATTGGGATTACACAGCAGCATCCCAACTTTCTTCGGTTTACAAGCTGAATAATCTAATCATTTTAACGTGCAAATTAGTGTGGAATACCCCATTATCTTTGTTTTTACTTTACAAGCACTAGTTAATCTGCATCCTAGATAATCCACCCACAGATGATGAGAGGTTTTAATCAATTTGTGTTATCTTGTGTTTAAGAAACCTAACATCTATGAGTCCACGTCGTCTTTGTTTCTTCTTCCTCTCAGGTGGCATGGACCGCCCATGTTCCCCTCCAAGCCCCCCACCGCACGGGTGAGTCCTAAGTGTTGTGCTCACTGCTGTGATAACCTTGCGCAAAAAGACCCATCGGGAATTGCCAAATAGAATCCACTCTCAATGTGTTTTCAACTTCGTCGACCTCCGTTAGCGAGTTTCACATCAGCGATTATTTGGCGCAGAAGAAATGTCAAGAAGGTGTTTCAACTGGAGTGTATTGTTTGTATGGTGGCTAGGTAGCAGAAGTGGAGCGAGGGGGGGTAAGAATAAAGCTCTGTCCATACCAGAGCACTGCACCATCATCATTGAGATCCTGAGTTGAATTGCTGGAATTCCATGTGAAATAAAGCAGGATTTTCAAGTCAAGCAAGCTGAAGCTGATGAACATAGATGACCGCATGGGGGGATGTGGAAACACCCCCACAACACTTATGTTTGCCCATCACAGCTTTGAAGCTCGAATGTATACGTGTGTGTCAAGCGATATGTGTGGCAGATCACTAAAACATCCCGTAAGGCAGTCATGTGGATGTGTAGTGAGATCTGCTGCGGTGCTCAATGTCATGCAGGGCCTTTTCTGGTGTCTTCCGTCAATGTGATGTCATCTCTAGACTGGGGGGCTTTTGCATTGTTGGAAGCTTCATAGCCTTGTACCCTCCACTCCTCCAGTGTCAAAATTAAGATGTTACTCATGAAAAATTGTGAAATATATTTAATTGTGATTTTGCCATGCCTTTTCAATCCTGTAAAAGCGCATGTATTGCATCATTTGAGAAGATGAAGTGTGAATTTACGATTTTTCGTTGGGTTGTGGGTTTAGTTGTTGGTAGGTGCCATTTCGAACAATATGTAGAACAAATGGAGATTTGATCTCTAACCCTTCTAAATAATTTTCTCCTGCTGGTAAACACATCAAGCTGAGCACAGATGTTCAATGACGTGAAAAGCTGTGCACAACACGTTCATCAGATTGTTACCGTAGTTGGAATTATTTTGAAGAGAGAATTATTTCGTTGCAATGCTTATCACCCTTCTGTTTGTCATGTTGCCTTGATGTTTGTCTTGCAATTGGGATAATCTGCAGGCGAGCGTCGACAAACCAGGACTTTTATGGTCCCTTACAACATGCTCTTTTGACTTGGCGGCCACAGCTTGAGCAACATTCCTGACAATTCTTGGCATCGAATTATTTTGGAAGGATTTTTTAATTAAATGAAATGTTCTTCAGTGCTTCTTTTGGTGGCCCAGCCATTTTGCCAAACGCTATTTAACTATCACACGTGCTATTACTTGGAAGCTGTTTTACAGTGCTAATGCTGTGTATGTAGGGTTTAATTTGTATTTCCCTCTTTTTGTTTACATTTTATTCAGTGCACAGAGCCAAGCCTCGCCAGCCCTGTACCCCCACCTCACCGTGCATCTCAGTCAAACCACATACCCCCATCTTCTCCCCTCAGCCTCTCCCTCTCCCCATACAGACTGGCCACCAACACAATAACGAGTGTTGCTACTCTTCCAGGTTTGGATCACCCCAAGGTTCTTACGATCCCCGCTCTGGACCCGGCCCCTCTGGCTATTTTGGTCGGCACGACGGTCACGGCAACCGGGGACCTCCCCCGGTCCCCCATGATGTGCCGAGAAGACACGACAGGGGCGGCCGAATGATGGGCCATGGTCCTCCTGGGTCCCCCCCTGATATGCGGGGGGGCCGACGCATGGATGCCCCTCAGTCGGGCCATTTTCCTCCTCGTGGAAGAAGTCCCTTCCGGAACGAGCGCAACATCCCTGGGCCCGGCGGCGTAAGTACTTCCTGTTACTTAGCGATGACCTTCAGGCTTGGTGTCGTGGCCCATCTGCTGGAGGCTGATTGCCCTCGGAAGTTCACTCAGAAGTCTGCTGGATTGTTTGCCGTACCTCGGCAGCATTGTTGCGGGTCGACAATTGGGCCGGGTTTTTGCTGTGGTTTGTTTTAAGTGAAAAACACTGCTGCGTCGCAAAGGACTCATTTTGTACGATCACACGAGGTTTACTTTGGCTTGCGTTCCATCTTGCGTTTGCCCCTATGGAGAGGGAGATCCCAGAATGTTGAGTGGTTTCAGGTTTCCGGTTCCTGTTGTGCTTGAAAGGCTGTGAAGATCGACCTTGTGCACTCTGCCCAAGTGAACATGCAAAGAGAAGCACGCTGCAGCATCGAGACGACAAAGAAGGAGCTCACGTCTTTGCCAGCTGTCCTGTGACTGAAGCCAATCCAATGCATCTTTGGGTTTGGTGTGGGAATGGCTGCGTGAGCATCTTTTAGAACTAGCTTGGCAGTACCACTGACTAGTGTGGCACCATTGGAAAAGCAATATATTTAACGGTTTGCTTGAATTGCACCGCGATGGATAGTGGAAATGTTTTGGAAACTTGCCCTTATGTGGTGTGACGCTAAGATCGTGAGGTCATCTCATCGTAGAATCATCGAGCAGTTTTACGTTCACACACTGCACACTGGGAAGAAAACCCAGCAGTCCTAGAAGATGGAATGTTGGATCATCCAAACAATTGTAATGTTTAAAATGTACAAAATCAGAAATATATTTCGTAGCATCTGTTGCTTTCACATTATTTCAACATTGAAGTGAAAACGAGGATCGGTCGTCAAAAGTATTTGAATCACATTTGAAGGTGAAAATTGCCTTGAATGTTTGAATAGTTTTGGGAAAAGCCTGGGCATTGCTCATCTGGAATTTTCTTCAACTGTATTGACAACTGAATGTTGCGTGCTCTCTTGTGGAGATAAAGTTTTCAATTGAACATTGACTTCATTTTTTTCTGTCCTTTCATCGATGTGCAAACATGGACTTCATGTTGATGATGACTGGTTCATAAGGTAGATTGTGGAAAGAAAGGCACATCGCTAATTTGAGAGACTATTGGACTAAAACACTCCTAAAAGAAAACTCTCCGCTGAAGGAATAGCACAGTGCAGACCATGAAAATCACTTTCTGAAGCCGGAAGTTAATGGATTTTGTTTAGGCATTGAGAAATTCACCCTTTTGAAGGGGATTGCAGTACACAAACCGTACAACGACAATGGACATCTGGAGCATTCGGTTTTCTCTTGCATCGCTTCACAATTGAGTGATTGCCAGACAACTTAGTCAAGTGCTGATGACCGAGATAATGGCAGTGGAGAGTAAAGAGTGTTGTGATGACCTCGATCAAAATATATTCCTTGTCAACTTGACAAAAGTTATCGGGCCAAGTTTCGTTTGGAATGCCTCTTCTTTCTCTACAAAGGAGAAAGGGTTTTTATCAGACAAGAAGAAGAGATGTTAAAGCGAACTACAAGTGTAGCACGTGGAACTTTGACGTAACCACCTTGAGCATCCCTAAAGCTGCGATGTGTCACGGCGGCTGAAAAACAGTAAGTTTTACCTTTTGTGTGAGTGTGGTGGCACCGGCGTGCATAATGCCCACTTCTTTTTGTTTCTGTGCCAAAGAATACAATGCGAATGCCCATGAAACGAAGGGAAATGGATCATCCGATGATGTCGCAGAACAAGCGCATGCGAATTCAAGGTGAGTGCCTCGCTTGCGCATTTGCTCTCGAGGCATCGCGATGGCACCTTTTGCCTTCAGCATCATGTCATAAGACGAAGTATCCATTCAAATCTCTTGTAGAGCAATGCAAACATTTGCGTGAGAAAACAATGGGCCATTCAGTTACCTTTGAGGACCCTTGAAGGGACCCCTGTTCCACACAGCATGATATTCAAACCAATGTGTTTCATTCTAGGGGTTGAAATGTCGCCAAATATATTACGAACCAAATTAAAAGGTTTTTGGCGCAGTCATCAACCCACCACTTGAGACAATGTTTAACAGGTGGCTGCCTGCATTCAAACCCAGAATGTAAGTGATTCGGGTAAATAAAAATTTGATGGATTTAGTGTTTTTTATTAATATAATTCAAACATTTTTCTTCATAGCTAATTTAAAACCAGTTAACTGGGGTTCTTGGAGCAACATATAAGCTTGAAATTTAAGAATTAGTTTCTTGGACGCAGGATTCTGCTCAATGTGGATAGTGTCTCCCATGAAGTGGATTGTAATATTCAATGTTTTTTTTATATGTTCACTCGGGAGCCTGCCCCCCTTGCTTACATGTGTGTTTTGTTTTTAGATTCTGCACAAGGATACGGTACACGAGATGAACACGGGATGGAAGACCGCTACTGGATCAAGTGAGTGTGAATATTTTAACAAAACCTTACACAGGAATCCCCCACTCGTAAATAAGGGATGTATTGCTTGGAAAAATGCTAATTAACTCGAAATTACTTTTGAAACCACTCTTGGTTCCCCACGGACAATGTTAAAATCAGGGGTTGCATTCTTAGCCGACATGAAGTGTACAGATGCATAAGGTAACATTTTCACTAATAGTACAAATAATTAGGTAAAACTTAGCAGAGATGTTTGTAGAGCTTGCAGATCGAGGGCGCTTGGTGAGCAGTGGTGGAGTTATGCAGATGGTTGGCCAAGCTGTGGGTAGGCCAAGCATTCTGGCACGATCGCTGTAGGTTTTCGCATTATGCGATGTTTCGGATATATGTGTGGTCCATTATTTGGGGAACATTGCCTTAAGAGTCATATTTCGCACATACGTTATTTAAAAAAATAATCTGTAAAGTTTGTCTTGCATTTCCTAACGAGGAGCGCACGTGGTGAATACAGGGACCATCTTTCGATGTAAGTTCGTCCTCTCTGCACATTGTGCGTACCACCAAATAATAATCTCCACGTGTTCAGCCTCCATCTGTCAGTCCGTCATTTTGTTTGATCACTGCACACATGTTAGGAAGTCGTATAGCTTTAAAAAGTACTAAAGGGCTTTAGAAACATGAGCAAAACACAGTAAATGATGATGGTGTCTCTGGAAACAAGGCGAAGGAACAGTATTAAAACTCCAGATTACATTTGAAGTTTTGAAGCGGGTGAAAAGGAAGTTGATATTTCCAGAATGCTTGACCGACTCACGGTCTTCGTGAGAACTATTCAAGTTAATGCAGGAAAAAATTCTAGAATGAGCTAAAAATGTGGCACCTTTAACTGCCACCAAATGTACTCGTTGCAGAAGTGGAATTCTAGAAAATATGGAAAGACTTAAGTGCCTGGATTGAAGATAAAATCAGCGTAGCGTGCCGATGAGTACATTGATTATCGAGGAAAACTTTTGGAGCTTACTGTGGCTGGTTTACCCAGGTGTAAGCGGTCTGCATCATATTAAAGCGTCAGGTGAAACTGCAAATGGTGACAGTGAAGCGGCAAGAAACTATCTTCTGACATTTTGAAAGAACCTATTGAGTTTGCTAAGTGTTCATAGTGGATGACACAAGGCTATGTCAGAAAAGCGAATTCCAGCAAAAACATTCATTTCTAAAGAAGAGAAGACCGCCAAGTTATAAAGCAGCCAGAGATCGATTTACTCTCCTTGCATCTTTTACCACCTGGGAGTCACCAAGAGCTGTGAGAGGTTTAGATTTAAAGCTTTCGTGATTTGAAACTTTTGTGACTGCAAGGATTAATCAAAAGAACATCTGCCTGTTTTTTTGGCAATAAAAAAATTGCTTGGGTCATGATAGCGGTTTTCAAGAAGGGTTTAATTAGCATTTCTGCCCAGCTGTGACAGAATATTGCGACAGAATATTGCAACAAAAACAACTTGGCACACAAGACAAAGCTCTGTAAACGTGCCTGATGAGTTTCAGCTAATTTGTATTGAGTTAAAATGAATTTTAACTTGTAATCATTTGCATTTTCCTACACTTAATGATATTAGGCACATTTTTTTCTCCAGAAATGGTCGGCTCGGGACGCAACTCCTGAGTTTCGCTTTAGTTAGCATTTCATAGGAACTTATCCCTTGTATATAGCAGTAGATTCCTGTACATTAAACTTACTTGATTAATGCAATGTCTGCTTTCACTCAACACTTAATATGCAAACCACTCATTTGTTTTAACAAACCCTTCTGAAAGTAAGACGTGTTCCATGTCACGTCTAAACTCCAAAGATGCAATAAATAAGGGGATATCTTCAATTAAACTTGTGAGCATTCAATGACTTGGTAAACCCCACGCAGGGCCCATTAGTCACTGCGCGCATTGACTTTGACCCAGCTTTGACACGCGAGCCCACGTGCCGTCGGTGAGGTTAAATCTCGGTGACCTGGAGCGCGCTCGGCCTGTGCCCAAAGGTGCAAGTACGGCTGCTCGCTGTGCAAGTTCTTCACGTACGACGAGAAGATCATCAAGGAGCACGTGACGGGCGAAAACCACCGGCGCACGCTGCGTCTCGTGGACACCCTCTTCCCCAACGACAAACACATCTCACACTTTCTGCATGTGAGTGCCAGCTTGCTCTGGGGTCCAATGTTAATGCGGCCCTCTGGAATTTAAATCAGAATTTATTGATACTGGAGGAATCCAATGAGCTATAAAGCTCGTTTTTTCACAGATGTCCAGTAGGGGCAGGTCAGAACGTTATGGCAACAAACAATACAAAAACACGATAGTGAAACGTATAGGAAAGGTAAGAACTCACTTAAAACATATGCAAATAAAACTAAACTTTTTATTTTTACCAGGTAAAACCCACTGACCTATTAGCTTCTCTTTCAGAAGTGACCGGGCCAAAAATTATAGCTCAACGAAACAACGCTGCGTAGTGTTGGTTATCAGAGACAGAGCACAGATGTACAGTATAATGGTAGATTTTTCTGCACTAACTTTATGCTGCCCGCAATATAGTCCTACAGCCTATATAACACCACCTGTTGTACAAGGCGATCACTCATCCAAGTTCTTTGCAGGCTCAACTCTGCTTAGCTCCTGAGATCTCAAGAGATTCTGGGTACATTGCAGGTGATTTGGTCCTGGGCTGAGATTGGTTAAGGATAATTATTTTATAAAGGAGAATCTGTCCCATTCCACTCGCGTTCATGCAGTGCCTGCTTGCATACCTGTCAACCCCTTTTCAGTGCCTACCTTATTACAGACCAATTCAGATCTTATTGATCACCCCGTGCCCTTATAAATCTCAAACACAAACAGACAAAAATTACGTTACTAAACAAAAACTTTTTATGTATTCAAGTTGATAATTGTTGTCAATGATATTACTTGCCATACTACTGTGATCTTGCATGCTGATGATGCTGCTTGCTTGATGGTTGGATGCACACACTCATATTTATTATTTTTACCCGTATTGAAACATCTGTACGCCGTATGGACCTGAAAACTCAATTTCCCCGTACAAGAATACGGGTAAACCGTATGGGTTGACAGGTATGTGCTTGCTTTGACACTTGTACTTTTGTGGATTTTTGTTTCTACCAGAAAAAAATTGAGTACAGGAATAGCAAGATAGTCCCGATGACTCGCAAGAAGTGGGAAGAAGACAACAGCCGGCCATTCAACGAACTGATTGATGGTGAGAAACAGTCGGTTAGCTCTTATTAACTTGTGTCAGTCTAGCCCAGATAATTCTTAACAATTGGCTACATCGATCTAACAAGGATAATTGTTGTGTGGATGTGTGTGTGCATGTTGTGGAGAGCAGTATTGTAGTGTGCTTGGTGCACTGCCCTGCGAACCGGCGACCCCAGTTCGATTTTTGCTCACAGCCAACATCGGTGACAAATGTCTGAACCGGTCCTGGGATTTTCCCTAGGTTGACTCAGCCTTAATTAAGTACCTTGTATGGTGTTTAAATGTCAGCACCAGTGTCGGCAAAGGCGACCGGGCTTGATTGGCCACCCAACCCCTCTTGTGCTCTGCCAACCGTCATAGGTGTTTGCTAACTGCACTTGCTTTAATAGTTGGCTTGATAAAATTGGGGATATTATTTTCGTTTGTATTACTTAAATTATGCACGTGGTTATGCCTTTTGTGTACAGCGGAGAAATGAAGTTCTGCTGTAATGTCTGTGAATCAGTACATTTCTAAATGCGCAACTCTTATAACCTAGGTTATCATGAGTGCGCAGTATTCGTACAATGTTAGCTCTTATCTTACCCCGCTCCCGTTTTCTGAAATTTTAAGCACTCACCCAGACACCTTTCTAACCACGTTCAAGCCGGTATCTTCAAAAGACCTTTTCTCTTTGATTCAATCACTTCACATGAAGTCATCTCCACTCGATGTCCTCCCATGTTCCTTGTTCAAGCATTGTGCTCTGGAACTCGCCATCAGGATAAGGAACATCGCAAATGCCTCATTCTCTATGGGGCAATCTCAAAGCTGGCTTGGTTTCCCCCCTGTTATAGAAACCAAGTCGCGACCCTGATGACCCGTCTAGCTATCGTCCCATCACTGATCTCTCGAACCTCTCTAAACTCCTCGAAAGACTCGCCCTCGCCCAGCTAAAACCCCACATCACCTCCTCTCCAAACTACTGCTCCTTCCAGTCCGCTTACCGTCAAAACTACTCCACAGGAGCAGCACTCGCCAGAGTGCTCGATGACATTTTCATGATTATTGACTCAGGCTCCAACGTTGCTCTTATAAGTCTGGACATTTCATCAGTCTTTGACACCGTCAGCTACTCCCTCCTTACTTCCCTCCGGAAATCCGACTTCGGTATATGTGGCTCAGCACTCAAGTGGATACTGTCGTACCTTTCTGATTGGCAATCCTCAGTCAGGGTGGGCTCATCCACATCTGCTGAAACAAAAGCGTTATGTGGCGTCCCCCAGGGCTCCATCCTCAGTCCCCTGCTGTTCACAGCCTACACTTCCCCAATCGGCCGCCTCATCGCATGCGGAAGACACTATTCCGTTCACCGCCATCAATTCTACCAATGCGTCTGGATTTGAGAGGCTCTCGGAATGCACCACTGCCCTGCAACAGTGGTTCTCCGCACACAACCTTGCCCTTAATCCGTCAAAGTCAGTGGCCATCATGTTAGGTACCAGGCAACGTCTCAACTCATCCGCGCTCCCAACACACATACACATCTTTGGTCACAGCATCAGGTTCACCGATCACTTCAGCTACCTCGGTGTCATCTTAGATTCAACTTTATCCTTCGACCGTCAAACCAATCATATCAGTTCATGTAACTTTCACCTTAAGGCTCTCGGACACCTACGTCCTCTCATCTCCACTGAAACCGCCAACACATTGGCATGTTGCATAGTTGTGTCTCGCCTCGACTATTGCAACTCCGTCCTAGTCCGGTCCTCCTCTGGCAACCTCAAAAAACTTTAAAGACTACAAAACCACCTGGCACGCACTCATCCCCGTCTCGACTTGCTTGCCTGTCTCCGTGCCTTCCACTGGCTACCCATTGCCAGCAGGGTCACATACAAGATCGCCTGCCTCTGCCACCATGCCTTCACATCTGCCTGCCCCCCGTACCTCTCTTCATTATTGACGACTTGCAGCACAGTACATGGCAGATGCCTTTGCAGTGCGACTCACGACCTCCTCTTGATACCAAGATCCAGGACGGTCACGTCTATGCGCTGCTTCTTAGTGACTGCCCCAACAGTCTGGAACGCAATCCCTCTGCACATTCGCAGTATCACCTCAATCGCCTCCTTCAAGAGACACTTAACTCCCCTCTACAACCACGCTTTCAAGTGACTCTGAGCTTGGCTCCGCGCCTCTGAGTTGCGACCGTTACGCCCGCAAATTTGCGCGCGTTATAAATTACATTATTATTCTATTAAATAGTTCTGTCTTGCATTTTTGACTGAACTAGTTAAGTGTCTGAAGAGTCTCAAATGTAGTGGTAGTGAGTTCCAGGCCGCGAAGCCGCAACGTCCAAATCTTGTCCGAGTGCGTGGAACGATCAGATCGCCATGAGCTACCTAACGAAGATGGCGATGATTGACAGTGGAGTGTATCGGCACACATGCCCGTCAGATAGCACGGAGCACATTGGTATAGACACTTGTATACTAACGTCCACAGATTAGTCAATCCTTTCATTACTTGGCAGCCAGCGCACGTCATCACGGATGGTCGGTGTGATGTATTGTACGTGACTATGTGATCATACTTACGCTTCTGCACTATTAGACGTGTGGCTGAGTTCAGGACGGACTAGAGTGGACGTATATGGATGGCGCTGGTTCTGCTGAAGACGCTGTCGCAATAGTCCACACGACTGGTGATGAATGCGACGGCTAATGTCTTGGCTGCATCAAGAGTCAATGAATGGACTATTGTGCGTAGCCTCCGTAGTTAGGAATAGCACCTGCCCACACGTCGTGCGCGTAGAGAATTTCAGTTCATGGTCAAGGTCAACTCCCAGGCACTTGACACCAGCAGTCAGTGGGGTGATGATCCAATTCTGAACGTTGGTGAGTTGCTTCCTGACACCAAGCCAAATGACTGTAGCAGGATTTACTGACTGTAGTAGTATCTACTGACTGTAGTAGTATCTACTGACTGTAGTATCTACGGACTGTAGTAGTATCTACTGACTGTGTAGTAGTATCTACTGACTGTGTAGTAGTATCTACTGACTGTGTAGTAGTATCTACTGACTGTGTAGTAGTATCTACTGACTGTACCAGTATTTACTGACTGTACCAGTATTTACTGACTAGTAGTATCTACTGACTGTAGCAGCATCTACTGATTGTAGTAGTATCTACTGACTAGTAGTATCTACTGACTGTAGCAGTATTTACTGACTGTAGTAGTATTTACTGACTAGTAGTATCTACTGACTGTACCAGTATTTACTGACTAGCAGTATTTACTGACTGTAGTAGTATCTCCTGACTGCAGTAGTAGCTATTGACTCTATAGCAGTATCTACCGACTGTATAGTAGTAACTACTGACTCTATAGTATTATCCACTGACTATAGTAGTAACTTCTAATGCTACGGTAGTATCTACTGACTCTATAGTAGTATCTACTGACTGTAGTAGTATCTACTGACTAGCAGTATGTACTGACCGTAGTGGTATTTACTGACTGCAGTAGTATCTACCGACTCAATAGTAGTGTAGTGCTTCAAATAAAGACACACTACATGAGTTGAGGCGATTCGTTTATTAACACTTCCCTTATGGGACAGGTTCTATAATTCGTGTAGACGTATCTATCACTATGTAACACTGTGTAACACTGTAACCCTCTACATGCGAGGCAATTGAAGATTCCAACCCGACGACATGACCCGACCCACCGAGCGTTACCCACAAATGCGACCCTTTACTGTCCCCATGCTGCCCTTTTATCCCCCTAACGTGGCCTTCCCCCCGCCCTCTGGCTACACCCCACTCCTGGCACCTCCCAGTAGGCTCGCTCCCCTTGATGACCCGAATGACGGGATATACCGGCATTACACTATCCCCCCCTTTACAAAAGACAGCCGTCTTCGGCTGTAACCAGCCTCCAATAATGACAAGAAAAGTACAGAATGTAATCCGGCGTAGTAGGACTTGTCGCTCAAGTGAACATGAGAGTCACTTTAAGTGGTTTGTTTTTGAGCGTGTACTCATCGCTGGGCCTTCAGGAACAGGTGGAAGTGGTCCTGACAGTTTCTTCTTCTTCGGAGGAGGGCAAGAATAAGGAGATGTCGGAGGCAGTCCGCCTCTTGCAGGAGGAACCGATCGCTCCGGGGTCCTTAAGCACTGGGATTCTGTGGGCAGAGAGTCGGTAGACGCCTGAGGGACAACGTGCCCTAGTTCCTGGCCCAGGTCTCCGGGTGCACCCGACACACAACCGTCGGTTAGTGGGGATGACGCGACACCGTGGGGCGGATAAATAGGTTTGAGTCGCGACGTGTGCACGAACCAGCGCCTGCGACCGATCTGAATGCGTACACTTTGCGGGCTTGCTACCTCAATGATTCTGACGGGACCCTGCCAGGGCTTGTACAGTTTTCAGGATGTACCCACCGGAACTTGGGGGCAGTGTAGCCATGCCTTATCACCCGGCTCCCATTTAGTCCCGGATTCCCGGAGAGCAACAAGGCATTGAATTGCGGCTTGCCTCCGGCCTGAATTCCCCCGAGAGGCCTCCCTAGCCTCTGACAAGCGCTTGAGGGTAAGGCGCATGGGGTCGGCCAGTTTACTCTTCCCCAGATCAGGGTTCAATTGAACCTCGATGGGTGGATCATACTCCCTGCCATACATGGGAAAAAAATGGTGAGAAGCTGGTAGATGCATGCGGGGCCAATCTGTACGCAGCGAGGACACTAGAATGTGCAGGTCCCAGTCAGACTGATCGTCAGTGACCTGCTGATACAGCATGGATGTTAGCGTCCTGTGTAAGTGTTCCACCATGCCATCGGTCTGCAGGTGATAGGGTGAGGTGCGGACTTGTTTTGTGCCCAACAGGCCGCACATTTCCTTGAGTAATTTAGAATATTTTTTTTCCCCCTGGTCTGTGAGGAGCTGTTCCGGGGTTCCTTTATCCAAAACGTACCCGTGTAGGAAAGCATCGCTAATCGTAGTAGCTGCCTGGTCCGGCACCGCAAAAGGTACTCGACACCCACTAAAGTATTTTTTTACCCCTTGGGGTGGTGGGAAATGGACCGAACATGTCAAGTGCCACGAGCTCGTTGGCCGGGGATGCGCGGATTGATTTCGATGGAGGGCAGGCCGTTTTCGGCGGCGGTTTCGGGCGGGCACATTCCGTGCATCCCTTCAACACATCTTGTACGTCTCTCGCCATACCCGACCAAAAGAAATGTAGGCGGAGCGTAGATAGTCTTTTGGACACCCACATGCATTACGCGTTCTTGCGTTGCCCATATCAGTTTTCCCCGCAAGACGGTTGGAACCACTGTTGTACTGTAGCAGCTCTGCAACCCCATTTCATTAACAGCCCCCCTGAAATGATCACCGAAGAGCAGACTCGTCGGTTTTCATCTGCCTCGGGAGTTGTTAATACGACGTCTAATTTTAATGAGCGAGGCGTCCTCCATCTGGAGTCGCCCCCACTCAACGTTAGTGAGGCCGAGCATACGATCCCGCATGCCGGGCGCGTCTGTGTGCAGCATCGGCTGCCGCAACGACAATCCGTGGTGGTACTGTATTGTCTGGTTTGCATCGCCCCACGCCTGAAATGCACGCACAATTTTCACTGGGTGGCAATCGTGACAGGGCGTCAGCATTTGTGGCGGACACCCTTTCTAAAGGATACTTCGAAACAAATAGTCCTGAAGGACTTCGAGCCAGCGGGGGAATTGACCCGATGGCTGTTCGTTGCGCAGCGCGTACTGCAAAGCTGCGTGGTCCGAGCGCACAGTTGAATTTCCATCCATAAAGGTACGGACGGTACTGCTGGATTAAAAATACTATAGCCAGCAATTCTCGGCGTGTAACGCAGTAGCGCTGTGCCGCCGGGGACAGCACTCTACTGCCGTAAGCAACCACCCGCTCGACGCTGTCCACCTGCGATAACACAGCGCCTATGCCGGTGTTACTGGCGTCTGTGTCCAGAATGGCGGGTGCTTGTGCGGCTTGCGTCCTTCCAGTTTCCCGCGCGCGGGAACTGGCTGCGATCGAGGTCCCGGGACGATGCACGGGCGTCCCCTCGTCGTCCTCCCTTTGCATTAGGGCGGCTAAAGCAGTGACGGCGGCCAGGAGGTCTCCCATAACTTATTTCTTGGTCCGGCGATCACTGCTTTGAAGTGGCGGCGTGGTGGGATTTCGGTCGTCTCCCCGCGTTTCCGGCGTCTCAGTGTCCAGCTCCATATCGGGCTCCTGAGCAGCTGGGGTCGATTGTGGTGTAAAACAGCACCGGCTGGAATTCCACACAACTCTCCGTACTTGTTTGTTTAAAAGTCCAGTGTTGCTCCTCCTCCTGCTATGGGCAGGAATTCCACACAACTCTCTCATTGTTTTCTACCCCAAACTCCCCCCCCCCCCCGCAACTGCCCCACTCTCCTCTCTATTTAAGGCTTCGACACAGAGGTGTTGTCTTTCTGTGTGTCTGTGTCCCTCTCTGTGAATCTGTGTGTTGTCTCTCTACTTGTCTGTCTATGTGTCTCAATGTCTGTGTTAAATCTCTCTATCAAATTTTGCATTCTTTGGAAGAACGTTAATCAACCAGGGAGGATATTGACTGTTGTGTGAGCCAACTCCCTGGGTTGTATTGCATTATATTTCTAAGTTTGCTGTTTTTTTCTCATTCATTCGTACCTGATGATGGTTGCTTGTGTTGCAATCGAAATGTCGTATTCTATTATTTATTTTTTTTTTTCCTTTTCCTACGTGACTTTACCGAAAGAACCAAAGAGTAATTCCTGCAGTCACGAAAGCTTCGAATCTAGTACTAACTCTTCATCAGTATCTGCTGACTCAAAAGTAGTATCAGCTGAAGTGGCACCTTGGCAGGCTGGGGCTGGGCTACTATTTCGATCGGATCATTGGGGTTTATTAGTAATAAATCGGCATTTTGCGACCCCCACTTCCACTGTGTAGCATATTATTACGTGCCAGGGACTCTATGAGATGATAGGACAATAGTCCGAGTCCATAATTGGCAATAAGTAACGACAAAGCAGTTATAAGTGACTCACAGAATTGTGCGCAGTTGCGTATACAGTAGATGACTTCCCTGAAGGCATACCTTCAGCGAGCGCGATGCCGATCACACACGGTTCGAATTCGACCCTCGATCGATGGCTGCGCCATCGCCGCACACGCGTCGAATAAAAATCAAGGAACAAGTTCTTACTTACGAACAACTCCTATCATTTTCCATTGCTGGAGGGGTTGCCCCCCCCCACCAATCCTGTTTCCACCATTGTATACCGCCCCCCCCACCCCCCGCTTTACAGTAGCAGTAACTACAAACTCTACAGTGGTATCAACCGACTCTATAATAGTATATAGCGACTCTATAATAGTATATATCGACTCTATAATTATGTAGTGGGTTCCAGTGACACGGAGACGGTAGAGTGGAGGCAGCACTTATTTATTTATAACAAGGGGTCACACTGAAGAGGTAGCGGCCCCTTCACCCGAATACACTTAGGGATATCCCCCTAGGCTATCTAGCCTAAGCCTATGTTCCCCGTATCCTCCAGCTAAGGGCTCTAAGGGAGGCTATCTGATCTGGCCCTGGTTAAGCGCAGATCACGGCACCCCACCAACCAGACCGGCCCTTAGAAGGACGTCGGCTCTGTGGCTCCTGGGGCCGTACCGCTGGCTTGCCCTGCCTATCCTGAGAAGGACAGCGGTCAGGGGAGTCCCAGGGTTCTACTTAGCGGGTCTTACTTCTTCGCTGGTACTTCATTCTTGGCCCCAACACACTGCCCCGAGCGCTCTCACTCCCCGCCCTTTATACCCACAAACCACTGGGCGGGGCTGTAGAAGCGGACGTGGTTGTAGCCACCTAGGATCACACCAAGGATCGGCTGTACCTCTGCATCTCACAACACCCCTACAATTATACTAACTTCACAGTGTAGTGGTGAGGCCTAGTCCCGTTCAAAGCCCCCGGCCTCACCTAGATTGCCCAGCCGGCCGAGGTGGCACCTTTGCAGGCTGGGGTTGTGCCACTACCCTCCCACCATCTCCCCGCCCGCTCTACAGTAATAGTATCTAAGGGCTATAATAGTAGTATATACCGACCCTATAGTAGTAAGTGCACACATTGGGGTGGGGGGGGGAAGAGGACATCACACTCTGAATAATTTACCTCAGCATTGTTTATTTTTTTGCATCTTTAACGCGAATCAGAATTCCCCCCTCCCCCCCACCAATCGCGTGTGCATTGCTATGGGAACCACGTGTCATCGTTTCGCGCATGCACAGATGCGTGCTTTGGTGCGCTCAGTGTAGTAATATAATAACTAATAGTACTCAATTATTAATTTAACTACTTTAAAGTTGACGGATGTGAAATACGAATAGCGCTGGCTCACCACGGGGCTTATCGCGTGGTATCTGGTTACTTTTTTGAAACGTAAACCCCACAGTTTGCGAATAAAATCCGTCGCAAGTTGCATCCACAGACAGACGGACAGACAATGTCTTTTATAGGTAAGAAGCAATCATCGCCCCTACTGTGGAAAATTTGCAGGACGCTCCTAAATATAAGTCATGAGATTCGGTGACGATTTTCCTGAGTAAACAAGCAAAAAAAGTTTGAAGATACTCGATGTCTCTAGGTGGACCCTAGAAAATGTCTTTGGGCGGTTTACCAAGTATCGTACATGGTGAAACGGTACCTTTGAATAGTCCCTCAATCTGCATAATGTCCTTGTCCTAGAAAGTCACAAACTTTGCTGCGAGTCATATTGATCAAAAAAATATTGTCGCGAGGGAAAGCTTTAAAAGGTTGTAAACACTGCTGCTCATGGCACTTGCCCAAACAGGAATCCCGTGTTCTTTGCACATCCAGGCATAACGCTGCCCGAAGGCTGGATACGCACGGAGGTGGTGCGCTGTCTCGCTTGCCGCCGCTTCCTGCTCCGGGACAAGCTGGAGCTGCGGCGCCACATCGCCTCCAGCGCGCACGCCGCTTGCTACCAGGTGCAGCACACAGACGCTCCCCCCCCATCGCCCCACTTGAACCCCACCTCTCCCTTTCCCTTGGTGCGATGTACTGACTGCTCATTCTGTACGTCTGCAGTGCGGAACAACTTGAAAGTCAGACTCGGAATATTTGTTTATACCGAAGGAAGCTGATGAGCTATAAAGCTTTTTTTCACAGAGATCCGGTAGTTTCACAGATGTCCAGTAGTCACGTTACAGACCTACGAGGAGATATTAGCCACAATGAAGTGCTTAACCCTTTCCCGTTCATAACTCGGCGATATAAACAAAAATCGACTCTAAATGGGACAAAATTGTTCAGCCTTTTCGGCCAAGTTGATGATGTCACACGTCATGCACTTTGTGACTTCATCTCATTGTGCAGCTCACAGGGTAGCGATAGTATCGCTTTATAACCCTTTCCCGTTCCAAGACGTCTACAAGTTGTAGAGTGGGTGTCCCATTCTCCGATTCTCTTAATGCGCAAATGGTTAGTGTAAATTTTGTTTTGAGAGGGATAGCGTCTTAGTTTCTCTTAATGCGCAAATGGTTAGTGTAAATTTTGTTTTGAGAGGCATAGCGTCTTAGTGTTTTACTTAACTTTTGTGACTGCAGGAATTCATATTCTTTGGTTCTTTCGGTAAAGTCACGTAGGTAAGAAAAAATATTTTCTATTAAAAATAAAAGCAAAAAACCCCCCGAACGTTTCGATCGCAACACAAGCGGTCTTCATCAGGCGGAGAGAAAAGAGGGGGCAAGCCTCCAAATGCAACTGCTTATAGGGGCTTCCAATGTTGTGAGTGGGCGGAGGACGAGAGTTGCGAGGCAGCAGCAAGGAAGCTGTGCGGCATGAACAGCATGGGCGGGGCAGCCAATGCCAATGTCGGAGTAAATCGCGAGATAGAGGTGGAGCTGAAGGCCGAGGGGCGCAGTTCAAGTGTGTTCGACATTTTAAGGACTACATCACGATGAATATAGACTTTGGAAGAGCTGGCCACTCAGATCAGTGTTTCAGAGGTAATTCTGTCATTTTTCTGTTGGGAGGAAGGGATTTTAAATTAGCACATTTGTCATAAATCGGCTTTTTGCTTAGATCGCAAAACAAAACGTGGCAAATTTATTTTCAAATCGCATCTTATATCCAACGTTGTAAATGTTGAGTAGTTTTAGACGTAGGTTGCCCAGCGTGCTCGCTCTTCGTGAGGTGTTGTAAACGGGTGTCCGTTGTGCTTTGCCCCTTAGACATTCACAAACGATAAGAAGAAGGGCATTCAGAGCATGGTTTTCCAGGTCTACGACAGTGCCACCATGGCCCACCGCTTCCAGCGCTTCAAGCGGGTGAGTCGCCACGCATTGTGCCACGGTGGCGAGATGTTAACTACCTCACCTGGTATGCAGGAGGTCGTGTGTGTGTGTGTTCACCCCGTGGTCGCGTGGTTTTTTCTCAGGGTTCTCTGGTTTGAGAATCGTGCATATAGAGTACTAGCGGAAAGTACCCGGCGTTGCCCGGGTCTTCAAAATATTTAAAAACTACTCTTAAAAATCTAACAGCAGTGCGTACTGACTCTGGTGGTACCGGCTATGATTACGGCAGTGCATACCGACTGTGGTGGTACCTGTTATCACTACAGTAGTACATGCTGACGCTATAGCAGTATTTATCGACTGTATAGCACAAAGTACCCACCTGACAGAGTGGCGTGGTGAGGCCTAGTCGCGTGCAGAGCCTCCGGCCTCGCCTAGATTGTCCAGCCGGCCGAGGTGGCACCTTGGCAGGCTGGGGCTGGGCTGCTACCCCTGACCCCCCTCTCCCAGCCACGATCTCCCCGGCCACTCTGCAGTAATATCTACGGCCTATAGTGGTAGCATCTAACGACTGTATAAAGTAGTAACTGCACGCATCGGGGTGGGGGGGGACATCACACAGTGAAGAATTAACGTCAGCGTTCAGTGTACTTTTATAGCATTTGTAACGCAAAAGAAAATGTCCCCCTCACTCCCACCGAAGGCGTGCGACTTTGCATGGGCCGTCCCCCCCACCAAAGGCGCACTAAATCGCTAATTAAACTAATTAAAAGTTGACGGATGTGAACAAGGAATAGCGCTTGCTCACCGCGGGGCTTACGGCGTGGTACCTGGCTGCTATTTTTTTCTACTTAAACCCCACCATTGGAGAGGCAAATCGTTCGCAAGTGCGCGAACACACACAAACCCACAAACAAACCCATGAGCAAACCCACAGACAATTTTTGACTTTTTTTGGATAGATTTGGCTGCTATACATTTCCGCATGATAAGCTACTTTGTTTAGCTATCATTTGTGGCCAGGTCGCTTCTGAAAAAGAGCTACATAGCTCAGTGGGCCTTACCTGGTAATAAAATAAATAAATATTCACATTTGAAAATCCCTTTCTCACTTGGGTTGACCCATTTTCCTCATTCGTGTGGGAATGTCGTACATAAGTGAAATGTATTTTTACAGTGACATTAAGATGAGAGGATGACAATGCACTTCTGGAAATGCTGATGGTTTTTGCATAATGCACAAATGCTGAGTTGTTTTACAAGTATTTCTACGTACGGTGCGAAAGAAGTTGAGCATACATACGTACATTTAAAAACTCATGGTTTTCTGGCCCACACTGTTTTTCCATGATGGATTTTTCTCATCACGTACAGTTTTAATGAAGTGTCGTTGCGTGCCTGTGCACGCAACGTGTCTGTTTTTCTTTCCCATCCAGGGTGAAGACGTTTTTAACGAGGGTGAAATGAACGTCAAGGACAACAGCAAGGCGAAAAAAGAGAATCCAAAAGCGAAGAAGGATGCCAACAAGAAGTCCGCTCCCGCAGGCGCGGCCGCGGAAACAAAGGTCGTCGCTAAAAAGGGTAAAGCAGATCTGGAGAAATCGGCCAAGAAGAACCCCACGGAGCACAAGGAGTCGGCGGATGGCGTCAAGGTCAAGACGGACGCAGAGGGGAAACGGGAGGGTGAAACGCAGGCAGTCAAGGAAGAAAAGGAGAAGGGTGCAACGTCCGAGACGAAGGGGAGAGAGGAGGGCGCTGCGGCGAAGGAGGAAGAGGAGGAGACCCAAGGGGATGAAGATGACTTGGGAGATGATTCTGACCTCTTCCAGGAGCTCATGGAGGAAGACGAGGGCGAGGGAGGGGACGACGAGAAGGCTGCAGCAGAGAGCGCCGAAGTGGCGAAGGGCACCAACGAGACCGGGGAGGAGAAGCAGCCCCCCGAGGGCGGTGCGACTGAGCACAGTGACGAGCTGGGAGATAAGGAAGACCTGGATTACGAGGAGGCGGAGGAGGAAGACGTGGAGGCTGAGGCTGAGGAGGAGGAGGAGGAGGAAGAAGAAGTAGATGAAGAACATGAGTTTGAAGAGGATGAGGAAGATGTTGAAGGGGAAATGGAGGACGAGGAGGGGGGGGGAGGAGGAGGAAGATGAAGGTGAAGGCATGGGTGGGGACAAGGAAGACTGTTTGGAGGGGCTTCTAGATGAGCAGGGTGACGAGTTTCAGGAAACGGACACCACGACTGCCACAACCGCCACGACCGCCGCCAAGACCACCGCCCCGACCACTACGAAGAAGGAGAAGTAATAGTCCGTCTTGAGAAACAAGCGCCTGTTACTCGGTGCAAGCCTTGTAAAAGCTGCATTATCGCCCCAAAAGAGCCCTGCTTTTAACCCGAGATGGAGAGGCGCCGTGTTTATTGGGCCAAGTCTTTCTTCGTATCTCCGAGCGTCGCGTACGAAGAGAGTGGTGCCACAGGGGTCATCGTTACTCTCAGCCGTACGAGCGGCGTGCACGTGACACGAAGTCTAGTCCTAGATGGGGATTTGGTTTTAGAATTGTTCGGCGTCCAACGCGACATTTATAGGAAACCCGTGAATTCACAATTCGAGGCATGCATTTCCTCAGAAAATGTGAATGTTTTCCAATCCCTCCTTTAAAATATGCTCGTCCTATTGAGAAACAAAGTTATAGTTTTTATTGCAGGTTGGTATTGGGTTATGCTAACGTGTCGAGGTTATGGATACACCGTTTGAATCCTGAACTACAGCTGTATTGGTAATTGCCGAGGCTTGCAAGACATCCTCGTTGAAATAACATTCATACAAGAGGCTTAGACTATTAGTTTATTATTAATCATTAAACTTTAATAGGATTAAAAGCACAATCCTTTGCAATGCCCCGTGGTGCTTGAATGCCAATATCGTGTTTGGTTGCCGTTGGACCCAAGTTTTATGTTTAACAAATCTTTTGATTTGCAGCTGCTTGGTCTAAAACCCCCAATATTGCCTCCCAGCTGTAATAGGACAGGGGTGATACGTGAGAGCAATATGAAAAGTGTTTTTTCAACAGCCGTGTAAATGTCGCGTTGCATGCTGATGGTACCACAGCACCTGCGACCGTAAGGTCACTAAGCAATGCAGAAGTTCTGGGACAAAATCGAAATAAACTCTTGAGTGTCTTGGCCCTCCCAACGTTAGCAGTGAACCCCCAATGAAAGTCCACCTGTGTGCTGGTTACGTGAACACACTTTGCCCGTTTGTATGGCATTGATAACACATTTTTGTTGGTTATTGGAACTGGTGTAGTGCGTTAATGTACACTGGGTTGACTGAATTCGATTAATTTGAATGTAAATGGCAAGTGATGTTGAGTTGGGATGAATCTCATTATGCACAGCCTTTGTCCTTGGCATGCAGGTGGTGGGGGTGCGTGTTCGTTTTCCAAGAAGTCTGATTGTTGCGAGCAACGCCTGAACTCTGCCCCGTTGTGAGCCGCCACTGCACAGCCTTCAACAGCGCTCGTGATGTAAAGTAAACGCACGGGCCGGTCTTGGTTACGCTTGCTTCGCGCGTGTACAACAGCTGTTGGATTTGGTTTGGATTGATTGCTTATCTTCCTCGGTTGATTTAATTTTACTTGCAAACGTAATTGGCTGAAAAGTTTGCCCCCAGTTGCGTGTTTGAAATGTTTATTCCCACGTGGAGTTATGCCACCCATGTCGGCCCTGCGCCATTTGAAGTGGGATTTGCATGCATTGTGCATTCGTTGTCACTCGAGCAGAGCATCAGGTCGTGGACATAACACGACGCTTCCACAAGGATTAGAAATTAGGCTCAGGCCACGTTGGACTTTACCCTCCTGTCTTGTCCCATTGTGTCTGTGGTCTTGGCCCCTTTTAGTGTTTCTCCAATTCTTCCCTGTCCTCCCCCTTTTCTGATCATCGGGGAATTATGGTATTGTACTTTAACAAGGTGTAACATGCTTGATTTAGCTGATCTTGACCCATCTCCTGCCACGTCTCCCCTCTTGTCATTTTCCATCCCTATCTTCTCTGTCCCCTCTGTGCCCTATCTCGTTCCGTTCCCGGTCCTTTCTCCTAACAACTCCCCCTCCACTGGAATAAACTCCCCTTGTTACATTAAGCATTCCCCCCCCCTCCTTAACATTCCACACTTTGACAAGCGCCTCGAGTGAAGGTGCTCCGTAAATATAAATTGCGATCCTAATTCATATTCTGCTTTTAAGACAAAATATAAGGCTCTGAAGGTCCTTGACCTCAACCTATTATGAGCTCAAATTCCAGTCCATTTGCTTGTTAAAGTTAAAACATTGGCTGTGCATGGGGGGGGGGAGGTGGTTGGCTTGGCTGGCTTATTAGCAATCTGGCCAAACCTTTAAAGTTGTGGGGGAAAAAAGTATAAAGGTAAAGATTCAGCCCCGCAATTGCTCGCTAACGCGACTGCTGGTGGAAGGGCCTCCACTGGAGGGCGCTCTAAAGAGCTGTGGGTATTTTTGAGTTGGTGGGAGCACTCACGTTGGCCCACACGACTTATCGATCGACTGGTGAACCCATGAACAGTTGGGTGGACGGAGTTGAGGGGGGTGGGATTTATGAAGCTTTTCATTTGCCATGCCAGGAGATCAGAACGGCATCCTCTGGAATGCAAGTCCAGTGTGTTCACCATTAACGTGGAGCCGGCATTTAAGTAATGGTCCTCTGCCTCACCGTGGGGATTTATCCTGCAGAACGGCAGCACATGGGCAGTGCCGATTCATATTTTTTTCTATGTCGATGTTTCGTGTGTACTGTGTATGTGCCGTGCAAAAGGAAACAAGGGTGTCCTTGCGTCACATGTCGGGTGTTAATCGGAGCATGATTGCCTATTGTTTAAAATAAAATGATTCGGGTACAAAACATCGAAATGGTGTATGTTGAACTTCTCTGGTTTATTAACAGCTGTAGTGGATTACATAGCATCGTTTGTCATGGGACCTTTTTACCAGTATCAAAGTATGACAAATAGGTTTTACCCTTTCTCACAATAAAACATGTGAAATGGGCTCGAATTAGGCACACTCACACTTCTTGGGAGGCAACACTTTATTAACACAACGCAACACTTAACATAAAATGGAGACCAACCTATTCTTGTTCACTAACACGGACTCTGGGATACAACTCGCGTGACGAAGCCAGGAGGGCTACTGGTTAGCCACGCTGACTTGAGGCTTGACTCATCTTCACAAGGCATCTTTCTTGACACGAGCAGCCTCGAACCCGGTGCGGAGGCCGCTTATATGCACCTCCGCGTGTCCGGGGCACACCCCGGCCACGCCCACGTTCAAGAATTCTGGAGAAGGCTCTTCCGTCCACGTGGCCCCCAAGGTGCCCCCGGCCCCCACCTTGATACGGTCACGTGTCCAAACGGGTTCGCACAGAGCCACAGCCTCAACCCCCAGGGCACTCACCCACTGTCTCCAGATCCCCTGAACCGGCTGTGACGTCATCCCGCCCCCAGACAAGATGACGTCATGTGTGTAGACCCGCGTGGTAGTGACGCGCCCCCGCATAGTGACGTTACGTGTCTGCATCTGGTAGTGACGCTACTAGTCACGACACGGGTGTTAAGATGTTCAAACACCAAATGGGACCTTTAGTAAGGAATCAAGTTACTGCATTCACCACACGTACTGTACTTGTGGTGAACATGCACACTGGCAAAAGTGTCTCTCATGATACAGCTCCTCAACCCGAGCTATAAATGCTCGGATACGTGCGGCATTGTCTTTGTACTGTTCGCCGTTCTCTGGTCCAACATTGGTGGTGGGACTCGGCCATAAAGAAGGCTGTCTCTGGTGTAGGCCAATCAGTTTCAAAGACAATGCATCAAATATTAGCAGTTTGCATGTTCATGCAGCACGTGTGGTTGATGCAGACTTGATTCCTTAAAAGGTTACACTTTGGTGGTTGAACATCTTAACACCTGTTTTATTGCCAGAAAGGGTAGAGCCTAGATTTAAAGCTTTCGTGACTGCAAGGATCCATACTCTTTGGTTCTATTCGGTAAAGTCACGTAGGTAAAAAATAAAACAACAAAAATCACGACGTTTCGGCCACAACACAAGCGGCCTTCATCGTATCCACAATCAACTCCTCTACCTATAGACTAGCCCGTTTTCTGTCAGATACCTTGCTGCCTTTCACTGGCAAGACCGCCTCAGCAGTACTTAACTCAGCCCAATTGGTCTCTATGGTCAAAGACGTTGTACTGTCCCCTGACGATATCCTTGTCAGCTTCGATGTGGTCTCTTTGTTCACCAAGGTCCCAGTACCTGATACCATTGAAATAATTGAAAATTTGGTCCAACATGGACTAGACCCCGACACACCTGCACTGGTTAGGCACTGCCTCAACAATACCTACTTTACTTGGAATGGCTCCTACACACAAAATGAGGGTACCCCCATGGGATCCCCCTTGTCACCAGTGATAGCCAATATTTTCATGGAGAAATTTGAATCAGACGCCATCCAGACTTCCACCCTCAGACCTTCTCTGTGGAAGAGATATGTGGATGACACTTTCGTCATTTGGCCATGGCCTCCCAGCTCTGAACCTTTTCCTACACCACATCAATTCCAGACATCCCGCCATCAATTCACCATGGAAGTGGAGAAAGATGGCAAGCTCCCATTCTTAAATGTTCTGTTTGAGAGGAGACCTGATGGCTCATTGGGACATTCTGTCTACAGGAAACCCACCCAAACAGATTCCTACTTGAAACCTGATTCCCACCACCACCCAGCCCAAAATAATTATCTCATCAAAACTTTATACCATAGGGCTCATTGCATTTCGGACCAACACCACCTGACCAGTGAATTAAAACATGTACACCTGGCCCTCAAAAGGAATGGTTACTCTGACCGTACCATCCGCCAATCTGTTTCTCCCTCCATACAGAAACAACCACTTGATACTCCGGTCAAAGCCATCACACTACCATATATAGCAGGCGTTACTAAAAAGATTTCCAAAATTCTAAACAAACACAAGATCCAGGTCCGGTTCAATACAGTACACAAAATTCGTGATCTGATCCCATTCGTGAAGGATGTCATTTCTGACTTACAGAACCCCGGGGTTTACAAATTGAGTTGTACCTGCGGTGATTGCTATATCGGGGAGACAAAACGACATGTCTCTGACCGAATTCGCGAGCACAAATCAGATTTGAAACACGGCAAAACGAATTCTTCTGCCGTGGCTGATCACTGTTACAACGCTGTGGGTGATCACGATATAATTTTCTCCGATACCAAGGTTCTTTGCAAACCCACGGGTTTTTATCAGAGATTTGTTCACGAGGCAATTCAGATCTACAAACACAGACACAATTTCAACCAAGAAGATGGTTTCAAATTAAGCAACCATTGGAAAGATGTTCTAAATCGAACTAAACATTAAACTAATTTCAATGGTACAGTATATTTTTCAAGTAGTGGTACCCCAAACCTTCGCAGCTCTTATAAATTCCCTTTTCACACCATCAATAGGTAAACTCCCCCTCCCCCCGTGCCAAACGGCAAGTCCACCGGCACGTACACCACCTCTTTTCTAAAATCGGCCAATCAAATGCTAATTTTTATGCTAATTCCTTTGTCAGGACACCTTGTTTGCTCGCACACAGCTTAAAGGTCCGCGGTCATAAGCGTGGCTGTGTTTCACTCCAGTGCTGTCGAGACAGCCTGATCCTTTCACCTGATGAAGGCCGCTTGTGTTGTGGCCAAAACGTCGTGATTTTTGTTGTTTTATTTTTTACCTACGTTACTTTACCGAATAGAACCAAAGAGTAGGGTAGAACCTATTATTTTTCATAGCATAGTTCATTGATCTATCCAGCACCATTAATCACAATGGGTTGCTTTTTGCATTAACATTTTTTATGCATATACCTTTGAATATAAATGGAAGGAAAATGGAAATATACATTTTCATGAATTTGTATTTGGAACTTTAAGTTCGTGCAGAAATAATTCTGAAAGCGTTTTTTTTTATGCTAACCATGAACCGTGTTTTCCTGCATATTGAAAGAGGCACGGTAAAAACAAACACTGGCTAGAAGATCTTGAAATGAGAGGCTGGTGGCACACTTTGAAAACACTGCTCATTCATCTCGACAGAGAATGCAAATGAATCCGCTGCCCTGGATTGAAAACCAGGATTTCTGGTGTCACCAGGCTCCCACGACACATCAGGAATTTCAGCTGTCAGGTACACCTCAATGGATGTGGTGCAATGGTAACACTGGGGGGTTAGGTTCGCGACTGTGTGGAGGTCGCCTTGTTGTACCCCTGTCCTGCATGTGAGTTTCCATGACCTTTGCTAAAAAAAATCCAAACTTGACAAGTATTGGCAAAACATTACAATTCGGAAAATTACCTGCAAATTATTTAATTGGGATTACATAGAGCAAACATTGATCCCCCCTTGCAAAAGCTTGGCAGGAACCTCCTGAAAGTCTTGGGACTTGGCAAACCTTTCCTGGATTAAGTTGTAACAAGAGTTCATTGCTAGATGCCATTATGCTTCTGGGTTTGGCACGGACTCACGTGGTTCAGGGTTGTGTTCTCCACTGACTTTGGTCCCAGAGTGTCGACAATTTTTTTAAAATGCAAATAATTAAATCCACTACATTAAAAACAATGCATCATAAGTCTGCAATTGTTCATTTTGCAATAGCCCTTAATATAAGTGACTCACAAATCTCAGTAAAGTTAAATATATGAACATGTAAATATTGTAAAATCATACACGACTCTCCGAAGGTTTTCAAGTTGGGTTGTTCACCACCTGGCCCGAAGTTTCGGGAGCTTCTAAATTTGTAGCACAGTACAACCTGATAAACACATCTACAGCGATACAGCAGTACTCCATACATTACACACAGAAGTCAAACCGATTATTTGTAAACTTAATAGACGCCAATCACAGCATCACCATCAAATCATGTACATTACTTGAGGAGCCAACATTGAGCTGTCCCCACTTAAACACCCTGAGACAGGTAAAGTACATTGCATTTTTTCACTTATGGCTACACACGTACATAAAAGGCACATCACTGGGTTTCGTCATTAAAAGTATGCCACCACAAGGTACCATTAAGCATTTAACCGCGGAGGACCGGCACAGCGGTTTGAGCACTGCGCTATGAACCCAAGAACCTGAGTTTGATTCCCAGCCACGGCTGACATCGGTGGTGGTATCCGAACCAGCCCTGACGCCGCACCCCCCATCCACCCACCCATCATCTTTTAGCAACCCACGCTGATCAGCGTGCTGAAGTGCGGCCAGACGACTCCCAATGGCCGACGCGGCATAAGGACACCTTCAGTCGTGAATTGACAAGGGGGTTGTAAATAATAACCAAAAATTACGGAAAATCGTGCAAACGCAAGGGATTATTTAATGGGTTTGTTTTCAGAATTATTTAAACAACGTTAAAAAGCAGTGCAGAAGTTGATGGGTAGTGTTGGGACCAAATATTGTTTGCACATTCGAACGTACTGGCGGTACACCGTAATAATTGTTTATTTTCCCGTGATTCGCAAGCCCAGTCAGAAAATCTCGCGGGTTGATGGTGGTGCGTCAAAATCGTTTCTCGTGATGTCGAAACAGTTGGAAGACGAACGTCAGCTCAAATTTGGATTTTTAGACTGTTTTATGAGGACCGGTGTATTAGGCCCCGTGTGTTATGCTGCACCGGTGTACGGCCCCACCCCCTCGTTCTGGGTGGACAAATCATGCACGAACGCCTTTCAGCACCTCGGCGGGGCAGCGTTACCAAGGAACGTTTCTCCACTCGCAATTCAACTTCGCCGGGCAACTTCTGTTTTTTTTTGCATTTGAACACTTTCACACAGAGGTTGAAAGCATTCTTGCATTTGCTCCGTCTGCTGTTTGTCCGTTTGTCTCGAGGGTCGGGTGGGAGTTGCCCCATCAAGATGCAATCCGAATGAAAGTTGTGTTGCTATTCGGAGCTTACCAAGAGAAGAACGGCCAAATTGATCAAAAAGGTTGCCCCATAACCAAGGCAATGGCATCGTTTTGCATGTAACATCATTGCATGCGACATGTCGGAGCGGATGTTAAGTATCGCTACTTAAATACTTACGAGGACCAACGGGCGCTGTGGGAAAGCATCACAAAATCCGTGCGTATGCGTGATACTTTCTTCTTCCTTGATGTTGTCACACGGGGGAGAGTGGTGGCACGGGCATGGCGAGGCTGCCTCCGAACACCCGCTCGTACGAGCCGCGCAGGACGCCGACGTAGCGCTGCAGGTAGCCCGTGCCGTCGCGAGATCTCTTCAGCCGCGACACTGCTTCCTCCACCGCGCTCTCCCGATCGCGCTCCGCCTGAGCTCACACACACACACACGCACGCACGCAAAGATAACAAGACAGTTCCCCCTGCAATACCACGCTGATCTCGTCAAGCAGCATAAATCATCAACACGCGAACTCCGGTTATCCTCGCAGCAGCAGCAGCGGCGGCTTTTGGCTGGCACATCGAACAAAAACGGTCACCGCATCGCGCGCTTTCAGATCCGCTTCTGCGGCGGTCTGGAACGCTCTTCCTTCTGATATCAGGAAGCCACTGGAGCTATGCACTGCTTTTTGCGTTTAGTTTGTTATCCTCCTGCATGGCAGATGAGCATGCTTGGATACAAATGGTGCGAAAGAAGTTCAACATATATTCACAGATTTTTGGGGCGAGGGTTGTGAGTGAGCGCCTAACCTATTTGGAAAAATTTGGCGAAGTATTTTGCATGTTCTAGGAAAAAGGGACAACAGCAACAACTCCCATGCAGATTGGCTCACAGGCTACTTGCTATGCTGCCCTCTGGCCACCTAATTAGGTGGGAATTTTCCAATAATTAATTTAAAGACAATTCACCAATTCCATCTCCCATTTGATGGAATCGCAGGTCTGGTCTGACTTGTGGTCAAACTACGACAACGATCCCCCCCCCCCCCCATGCAGCCAGTAGCCTTTACCAGACTGGGGCAAGTGCTGGGGAAGCAAGCGCCGTCATCAGCCAGCGGCAACCTGGAGAACGCCAGAACGGTACACGGGAAGTATTGGTGACCGGGCTGAGACCATCGACTCCCTTGCATTTGAAAACCTGGTTTAGTCGCAGGTGGCCGAAACCCTGGTTCGAACCGAGGACCTCGGCAGTGCCAACTCCGTTCTCTTTCCTCCCGTCGTCGTCGTCGTCATCTCCATCGTGATGGGTGTCAATGCCTGGTACCTGCTGGGCCGAGCGCTGCAGGCGCTCGAGTTGGGTTTGTGCTCTCCGCAGCTCGGCTCTCAGCTCGGACACGTGGCCCTCAGCGGTCCGCTCGGCTTGGGCCTCCTCCTCGCTCGCCTGGGTCACCTGACGAGGTCAAGTTTATTTTGTTTAACCGAGGGGAGAACTTGCAGAGGACCAGGATATACGAAAATAAAGTAGAGACAGGTCCCCGCCCTTGCGACACGATGCGTTGCTGGAAACGCCATCGTAAATCGGACCACGTTTCCCCATAGACGGTAGAAAACAGTAGAAGCATCACTTGGATGTTTTTGTTTGACAACCACGCAAGAGCTGGTGGTGGTCTCATCCTGTTCATCACCGCCTTGGGACGACCTCTTCTCAGGCGCAAGCCATGATGACGCGTCCCCTGCCCCAGCCCACTCGTTTGTATGTCAACAGCTAATATCTCTGAAAGTGTTACATATATTTAAAAAGACGATCCTAGGTTTCGATCCACGCAGCTTGCAAGTGATGGCGACGGGTTCCCAAGAGCGCCATGGGTGTGTGCCCGATAAACGGTGACGAGTGATCCACTCGGGAAGGGAGGAAGCGAATTCTGAAAAGCCGAGAGGGCGATTAGCGACAGGCCGAGCGGTGGAGGCTGCCTCCCCCCCCCTCACCTGCACGTCCGCTCGCTCCCTCGCCGTGCGGAGCTGGCGCTGCAGGCTGCCGAGCCGAGCCTCGACCGCTCGGCTCCGAGCCTCCTCCTGAGCCAGCGCCGCCGTGCGCTCGTCCAGCGTGCGAGCCAGCGCTGAGACGCGGCGCTCCGCCTCCACAGCCTCGCTGGCGACGCAGCGGACACAGCGGACACAGCGGTGACGATAACGCGCGTGCGTGCGTGGATGTTTGTTGAACTTCTTTCGCACCGTATGTAGCCAAACCGTGCTAATCGGAGGTGCGGGGGAAATTAGATTTAAAATCTAGATTCAAAAGTAAAATAGCTCCAGCGGCTTTCTAAAAAAAGATAACAAGATCCACGGCGATGGTGACGACAACGAGGAGCATGACAGTGAGGGCGCTCGTTTTGAATTTGTAAGTCACAGGAACCTTGGAGATGATACAATGCAAAATAATATCGATTTATATGTTGCCTAAACAATGTATTATATGCCTGCGAGTGGTGACGAACAAAGTCAAACTATTGACCTAAACAATTTAATTTTACCAGGTAAGGCCCACTGAGCTACAGTATATCGCTGCTTTTTCAAAAGTGACCCGGCCACAAATGATAGCCGAACGAAGTGGCCTATCATGTGGAAATGTATGGGAGCCAAATACTGTCAAACACATGTTGACGTTAAATGTGAAGGGAAAAACCGGAGGACCCGGGCAAAAATCCACGCGGCCACGGAGAGACGGAACACGCAAACTCCAAATATTCAGGAGACGTCTGGGTCGGGATCGGACCCATGACCCTCCTGCTGTATACCAGGCGAGGTAGTTAACATCTCGTCACGGTGGCGGCGCTGGCAAAGCGCCACCCGCACCCCCCCCCTCCCCCGTGGCTCTCACCTCTCCAGCTCCTCCGCGAGGCCCCGCAGCTGCTCCCCCTCGCCCCGCAGCTGCTCCCCCTCGCCCCGCAGCTGCTCCCCCTCGCCCCGCGGCTGCTCCCCCTCGCCCCGCAGCCTGCGCACCCTCGCGCCGCCAGCAGCAACGTCCCCGCCCTGCGCCGCCCCCTCTTGCGGCGCCACCTGCCTCACGGTGAGAAGGGCCTGGGTTCAATTTCCGACTAGGGGTGCCTTTCTGCGTGGGGTTTGTGCTGCTGATCCGCGTGGATTTTCTCCCACAGTGGAAGAAAAAAAAACAACGTACAATGTAACTTGCATTGGAAAAACATGCCGATTCTGAAAGATTACCTACCCAGAAGACTTGGCAGAACCCCCGTGGAAAAAATATATATTGACGATAAACAATAATGAGAGTGATTCACTGATGCAGGAGGTTGTGGCCCGGAGGACCAGCGCCAGAGGTTCATTAAAACTCCACCGGCGCCATCGGCCTCAACAGCGGCATCATCAGCAGCCCGTTTCTCCACCCGATGCTGGGTGAGGATAGACACAGCGGTTGCTTTGCTCCACTTGCTGGGGAGCTTCTTGACGACGATGGACCCGAGTGAAGTCGCTCCGCCCAGCTACGCGGAGCGAAACGTCGGACGCGGTGCCAAACGACGCGTCGGCACAACCCCAAAACTCAATCGGTGGGGGCCGGGGGGAATCCCACGCCGTGGTCGCAACGCCTTTTGTCCGCGAGTCTCAAGGCATCGTTCCAGGAGGGTCCTGCATCGGGATGGTTGGCCCCGATTCGTAATCGACGCACGTTTCGCGCGCGACAAAGACCCGTGTGTGTACGAGGGAGAAAGCATTCAGAGATCGAACCCATCTGTGCTGTACTGCCTGTCCACCTCGTAGCAGATTGGGGAATGCACCACTCGGTGCGATCCACCAACCCTTGCGCCTACAAAGCGCTGGATTACAGGCACGTGCCATCACTCCGGTGCTATTAACTCCTAATGTCTATATTGTAGTGGCTGGTTGGTGCTGATGAGCAAGGGTCAAGGGCAAAGCTGGCACCTCCACAGCTTCCGTGAGCTGCTGCTGCTGCTGCTGCAGCCGATGATTTTCAGCCTCCAAAGACTCCAGTTTGGCACGGGCGATCTCGGCCTCATCACGAACCGCATCCACCTAAAACAGATTCACCATCACAATCCCAAACGTTGCAATCCCAAACATTGCAAATCATCATTTCCTCTCGCCCTTAACGAGACTCGGCAAGCAATGAAAGGCATCGGTCACGTTTCCCGATTATCCTCAAAATAAATAAAACCCCATTGTGTTCATAATGTTACCCCACCCAGCAATTGGCCGTGCGAATAATAATTTATTAAAGTAATAACATCAACAGGAGTGTCCCCAGGCATATTTACTCGTACATTTGAAGGCATATTAACACGAACATTTATTTGTTGCATTTTATTTTGGTTGCCATTGTTTTATTGTCCATGTGACATGTAAATCCGCTTCTGGATGAGTGCCTCCCAATGCCTTGCAGGCTGTAATAGATATTTGGCCATACTTCACTCTGCTGGTCAATATGGGTTGGTGAAGGGTGCGGGAAGTAAAAAACAATGGATTTTTCTGCACCGCTCTCTGCTGTTCACATTGGCTACCGAGCCTGTCCATTGCCCACGGTGGCCACCCATCCAAGCGCAATCCAAGCTCAAACCTGCTTAGCTTTCGAGATTCGACAAGACCGGGCACATTGACGGTAGCGAGATGTTTACTCCCTCGCCTGGTATACAGGAGGAGCGTGGGTTCGATCCCGACCCTGACGCCTACTGCTGTATATTTGGAGTTTGCGTGTCTCTCTCCCCGTGGTCACGTGGATTTTTATCCGGGTTCTCCGGGTTTTCCTCCACGTTTAGAAACACGTGTTTAGAGTATTTGGCTGCTTTAAATTTCCACACGATGACCCAATTTGTGCCTAGGTACCTTCTGAAAAAGAGCTGTGTAGCTCAGTCGGTCTTACCTGGTCAAATAAAATAGTTTAGTCTAAAAATAGTTTAGATCCAGCCACGGGCGTTCATTTGTTGTTTTGGTTGATTCATTGCTGCTTTATTGCCATCAACATCGTCAACGTGGTCGTCATCAATGGCGCCTCGCGGAGTAGCGCTACCTGCTGCTTGAGCTGGCTGGCAGAGTCGCTTTGCTGGCGCAGGGCGCCCTTCAGCGCCTCCACCTCCTCCTGCCGCCGACTCTCCCTCCGTTCCGTCTCTTGCAGCGCCAACTGCGGCAGACGGCCACGTCACAAACCTCACCGGGTGTTGTTGAACTAGTAACGGATTGGCACGTTTTGTTTACGTGACAAACCTCACTAAATTGCTACATCGGGTGGTGGCGGGTTTATAACGACACAATTATATTTACGCGATCTAACTAAACACCCCCTCCCTTTATTACGGATAATAATTGGTCGCGAAAGCCTACTACTACTGTGTGTTAAACTGGCGACGTCCATCGCACGCGTCAGCGGAGGCTCTGGGGGCAATCTGAGTCGATTTTTTTTTAAATCAGGCGGGGACTCGCACAGACCAGGATGAGTCTCATTTACAAAGAGTGAGCCCTGGGGTCACCGAAATGACGAACACAAAACAAATTAAAATAAAGTTACAGCGATGAAGCGAAGAGAAATCGGAGCAAAAAGCAACCGTGTCGTATGAGAAATCAAACGTTTTGCACGAAACATAAACCGATATTAAATTAAATAAATTCCTTGTAAGCATACTTTGGCTCGGGAAGATCGTCGAACTTTTGATTTTGTTGGCGTTCCTCGAAAGTCACCTCTGTCACTGCGACCTCGCGTTGACAGAAGTGACTTGAGCATGGCGCAGAAATGAGAAAGTGCCCTTGGCCAGGTCGAAAGATACTCCCCTGCAGGGCCCGATTAGTGCGGCTTCGGTGCTCACAGTGAAGTGTGATAGCCTGTGCTGCAGGCCGTCTGGAAGCAGTCGGCTTCAGGTGGCCAGGGGCCATGCCAGACGAAGTAGCGGGTGGCAAACCGGGCCCACGAAAGTCAACGGCCACCCAGCACGGTGGGCAATGATGCGACGAAGGGATGATCCATGCACGTGGCTGCGATTGAAGCGTGCGAGTTAAATATTGAAGGCGGAGCTCCTTGGCCGAGCATGACGTCCAAAGCCAGGGGGGGTGGTGTATGAGAACCCTGACTCAGGGGTACTGCCAGGAGACAATGTGGAGTTCTTCTTCTTGATTTTTACAGATCCATGTTCGACTCTGTGTGCATCCCTTTCTGCGTCTATGTATGTGCTTTGTACTACTTTCGCACCGTACGTAGCCAACCGTGCTAATCAGAGGTGCGGGGGAATGACAACAAACTAAACACAAAAGACAGTTCTAAAGAAGCGAGTTTTCAATCTAGATTTAAAAGTGCATGAAGTGACCGGACGTGCCCGACCCATCGGCCATAGGTTCCACACCCCCGCCCTAAGCACCGAGACTCGGCGGTGACGCCATCCCCCCCCCCTCCCCACCGCTCCCACGGCGATGGCATCGCGACAGCAGCGGCGGCCACCTGCAGCGCCTCGTTGTCCGTGCGGAACCGCGCCAGCTCGGCCGCCAGCGCCGCCAACTCCTGCCGCCCCGAGGGAGATTCCTCCAGAGCCCGCACGCCGTCCTGCAGCCTCTCGATCCGGCTTAAAAAAAAACACACGTGGGAGGGAGGGAGACGGAGAGAGGGGGGCAGCTGAGCTACGCAGGCTCAGGAACGGAGGTCAGGGGTCCGCGTGCGTTGGCGCGCATCGATATCCATCGTTGCACAGCACCGTGCGTACAATGCTCCCACGTCTCCTGGCTACCCACTTGGTGAGGAGCTCCGCTCGAGCCGTGAGCGCCGCCTTTTCCCGCTTCGCCTCGTCGTACCGGCGGCGCCAGCTCCCCATCGCAGACGACGCCTCAACCAAGCGCTCCTCCTGGCGGCAGAAACAACGGCGACGTGCCACGAAACGTTTTAATCATCCCGACGGCACCCGGGTGGCTCGCGTGTGATGAGATGTTAACTACCTCGCTTGGTGTACAGGACGTCGTGAGTTCGATCCCGACCCTGATGACGCCTGCATATTTGGAGTTTGCGTGTTCTCCCCGTGGTCGCGTGGATCTGGGTCCTCCGCTTTTTCCCTCCACATTTAGAAACATGCGCTGAAGAGTATTTGGTTGCTATACATTTCCCCGTGATAAACCACTTTGTTGAGCTACCATTTGTGGCCAGGTCACTTCTGAAAAAGAGCTACAGAGCTCAGTGGGCCTTACCTGGTAAAAATTAAAATAGTTTCGTTATATTTATATAATTTTCAAGTGATTTCTTTCGCACCGTACGTAGTCAATAGGCGGTGTGGGGAAAGGACAACAAACTAATCACAAAAAGCAGTTTTAAAAAATTAGTTTTCAATCTAGATTTACCGTTAAGGCAGCACCGCTGAGATCCTGGGTTTTTGAATGCGGGTTTCAACCACTGCCCTGTGATTAAACCAGGTTATCAGGTGTGGCGAGTTGATGGTCTCAGCCCGGTCGCAAATGATTGCACAAAACAAATCACCACCGCACTTAATTTGTTTCTGCATTTAATTTGGCTGAATGGCAGCGATGACAATTAAATATATTGCTTTGTCTGTCATGCTCTGGACATTACTATCGGTGGCACAGAAGGTGGCACAATGCTGCCCCCTTCCGGTTTGATCAGATGTCACCTGAGGGGACCTCAGAGGGAGTTCTGTGGTATCCATTTCCGTGGGCCGTGTTTAAGGGTTGCACTTGGCTGCCACGGCATCGTTAGCTGGTGACATGTCCCGTCAGTCATGCCCACTAACTCGACTATGATTATGTTAACCCTTTCTCGTTCCAAGACGTCTACAAGTTGCAGAGTCGGTGTCCCGTTCGCCGCTGAATCTCCGAACGTGCAAGCGGTTAGTTTATTGGGAGGTGTAGTAGTGCCGTTGTTTTTAAAGCCACTATATTCGCCGCAGAGAACTGTAGTGATACGAGCGCATTCTATGATAGCTGGTGCCAAACTGTGCCACATGCCCTCCCACATGGTTTTGTGGGAGCCTCGGTACAGATAAAGTTATTGAAAACTTTATTTTAATTCTGTTCCGATGACGTACGTGTAACTAAGCCTTTTCCATTCCGATGATGTATATGGCCGCTTGTGTTGCGATTCAAAAGCTGATTAAAAAAATCGTATTTATTTATTTCTACCCTACCCTGGACCGTGTTCGTGAACATCAGGCAGATTTTAAACACGGTAGGACCAATACTTCTGCCATGGCTAAGCATTATTTTAATGCGTCTGGCTCACACGAAATTAATTTCTCTAAGACAATGGTACTTTGCAAGCCTGCTGGCTATCAACAAAGATTCGTTGATGAAGCCATCCATATATACAGAGACAATTTCAACCGAGAAGAAGGTTATAGACTCAGCAATCATTAGAAAGATTTAATCAACCACTTTGGGTCCTGACTTGACTTGTGTTTTCTTGTCAATCAACAACCTCCACCGTCAGCAGTGAGGTGTGTGGAGCGGGGTGCAGTCATTTATTGGCGGCCCTTTGCTGCATTGACATTGCTGCTCCGCCCATGCTGTTGGTGCTGCTGATGCATTTGGGCTACGCCCATCTCCAAACCTTTATAAACAGTTTGCCTTTAGAGGCTAACCCCTTTTTCTGATGACGACCACTTGTGTTGCGATTGAAACGTCGTGATGTTTTCATTCACTTTATTTTCATTTTTTCTATCTACGTGACTTTACCGAAAGAACCAAAGAATATAAATGTTCAGGTGTTATCGGCCAATGAATGAGTGTATACACGTGGGAGGAAACCGGAGCAGCTGCAGAAACCCACCCGTGCGAGGGGGAAACACTCTATCCCATACAGACGGAAGAGGTGGAGTCCGCATCGGTGCTGTACTTGCCTTCTCCTGGCAAGCCAGGGTATGGCACCTTCACGCCCACGGGAAGGAAGCTTCGCAACATTTGTGCGGCGATCCACAAACCCTCACTGCCTTTCACAGAGCCGGATTACACGCCACGTGCATTCCCACCACCGCCCGGCTAACCGGCCCCATCACTTCTGCTCATGCGCACGTTCGCCCCCCAACGTGTCCGTGCCACGCGCGCGCGCGCGTGGGTCGGTCAGAGCGCCAGCGGGTCCGGTGTCCCGTGAGCGTCGACGTGCCCCGGCGCCCCGAGTGAGGGGCGTACCGTCTCCCGTATCCGCGTCCCCAGCTGCCGCGCGTCGCGCTCCCCGCGCTCCGCTCGCCGCTTGTAGGAGCGCGCGGCCGCCTTGAGCGGCTCCCTCTCGCGGGCGCGCGTCGCCACCTCGCGGCGCAGGCGCCCCGCCTCGGCCCGCTGCCGCGACACGGATTTCTGCAGAACCTGGCGCATGGGGGGTGGGGGGAACACGGGGTCGAGGGTCGGTGAAAACGGACGAGGGTGCAACCGAGCCTGTGCATGGTACCCCTAATTTTGGAGTTGGCCAAGCAGCCTAATATAGGACCACAGAGCTTGGGCGATCGCTGGCGCCGGTTCTGGCTTCCTTGACGCTGCTCTGTGGTTTCCTGCGCCTCTCAATCATTCTCCATCTCTGAAATGTAATAATACAAATATCTCTCATTTATTTCTAGCGCTACCAAATATAGCTCTGGCTCATTGGACGGACAATCCTCCCCGCGGCCCGGCTGTTGAGTTGCGTCCGAGCGAGCGGGCGAGCGGACGAGCGGGCGGGCGGGCGGGCGGGCGAGCGAGCGGGCGAGCGGGCGGGTGGGACAACTCACGGAGAGGCGCACCGCCATGCGGTCCCCGTCAGCCGCGCGGCTCCTCAGCTGCCGCTGGAGACGAGCGCGCTCGCCCTCCAGCTCCCGCGACTCCCACGCGGTCACGCGCACTCTGTCCTGCGAGGAGGGGGGGGGGACAATGGAGACGGGGAGACATGCAGACGGGCGAGGGTCGGGGGGGATGGAGAGGGAGGGGTACAGGAACAGAGGATAATGTGGACACGGGCGCACAGAGAAACAGTGACATGGGGGACACAGGTGAAATTGAGACGTTGGGGAGATGAGTAGGACAAGAGGAAAGGAGGGGTGGATGGGGAGACAGGGAGGATGGAGAGACAGGAGAGACAGGGAGGATGGAGAGACAGGGAGGATGAAGAGACAGGGAGGATGGAGAGACAGGAGAGACAGGGAGGATGGAGAGACAGGGAGGATGAAGAGACAGGGAGGATGGAAAGACAGGAGAGACAGGGAGGATGGAGAGACAGGGAGGATGGAGAGACAGGGAGGATGGAGAGACAAGGAGTATGGAGAGACAGGGAGGATGGAGAGACAGGGAGGATGGAGAGACAGGAGAGACAGGGAGGATGGAGAGACAGGAGAGGCAGGGAGTATGGAGAGACAGGGAGGATGGAGAGACAGGGAGCATGGAGAGACAGGGAGGATGGAGAGACAGGGAGGATGGAGAGACAGGAGAGACACGGAGGATGGAGAGACAGGGAGGATGGAGAGACAGGAGAGACAGGGAGGATGGAGAGACAGGAGAGGCAGGAAGAATGGAGAGACAGGAAGGATGGCAGGCAGGGAGGATGGAGAGACAGGAGAGGCAGGGAGGATGGAGAGCTGAGCAAGACTGGGAAGGGGAGGACAGTAGGAAAGTAGGATAAGGAGACAGGGAGGATGAGAAACAGACGTGGCGGGTAAGGTCGTTGAACTGGATGACAGAGAGGCACGCAGGGCATGGACGAGGAGGATGAGGAGACAGGCGGCTAACGCAATAGGTAGAGACAATGGAGCTGTGGTTAAGGAAACCCAAAGAGCGTGGGAGGAGGTTGGGGGTCGAGGGGACAGGGCCCAGGGGAGACCCCCCCGGGGAGCCTCACCTTCTGCATCTCCAGCTGCGTGGTCACATGCTGCACGTGCGCTTGTTTTTCCTGGAGAAGCTGCGAGAGCCTCTGCTCCCAAAGCAAAGACAACATGTGACAAGTCAAGTCCGGGCTATGACCCCAATCCTGCGAGTCGTGACATCAAACTAACAGGAAGGGAGTTTCTTTAAAAAAAAGGGTAAGTCGTTAATGGTGACACTTAATGTAATGTCTTTAGCACAGTAAAACCGCTGCAAGCCAGAGACACAGGGAAGCCAGAATCCAGAGTTAGCCGTCTACAGCTCGTAATGCATTTCATATTGCTTTTCATAGTCTAAGATATATTCAATGCGACGTTCATTAGAGGTAATCAGCACCACTGCGACGCGGGTTCGGATTGCGCCTCGGGTTCCTGCCGTCCAACGAGCGGTCAATACCCCCCAACGCGCACCGTAGACCCCCACAGAGCAGCAACAACCGCCAACACCCGCAAAGTCATTCTCTCGTCGTCGTGCAACAAAATAAATGGGGGACCTGTTTGCGGGTTTGTTTTTTTGGATGGCACGGGCTCCGTTCGGCTGCTCACGGCTCATTTCGTAAGGAGACACCCCCCCCACCTCCCGGCAGAATTTCCGCCGAACAGGCGACCGAGCGAGGTCGCAACTCTGAGCCGCACAACCCAGCTCGACGGCAGTCGTTGTACGGCGCTAAACTAGGACTGTGCTGACGGCACGTCACACGCCCCCTCCCCCGGCATATTCGTTCCAGTTATTATTGCCGAACTTATTTCGCACTATATTTATTGGTTCTTTCGGTAAAGTCACGTAGAAGGGAAACAATAAAATTTTTCTTGGTTCTTTACCGAAAGAACCAAGAATATGAATCCCTGCAGTCACGAAAGCCTTAAATCATAATTTATTTCGCACCGTATGTAGCCAGCCATGCTAATCGGAGGTGCGGGTATTGTGTATATCACGCAGCGGGTCTCAGTTTCAGATGGAAACGGTTCCGACGTCACCTCGTTGTCGAGTTGCGACTGCGTGAATTTCTTCAGCAGCAGTGTCTCCTCGTCCCGCAGGCACAACTTTTCCTTCTGCGCGGGGGAAGCGGCGAGCAGCGGTAGGGGCAGTGGCGGGAGGCAAGGTGGCAGACAGGCCAGGAGAGATGGGATCAGCGCACCGACGTTAAACCACAGACTTCGTCTCATCATCGCCAACCTACGTGATATCAAGGAGCATAGACTGTCACGCAAACTCCGGTCATCTTCGCAGCGGTGGCTTTTGGCGAGCCATCCAACAAAGACAGTCACTGCATCGTGCGCTGTCAGATGTTTAAGAATTATAAATCCTATTCATAATGGTATATTCCTAGGCACAGTTTTAGTCTTAAATTTTAACAGTTTATCATGTCAAATGATGGACTGCTATGATTTTCATGATGTTATATTTAAGGTCACTGCATCGTGCGCTTTCACATGCGCTTCTGTGGCCATCTGGAATGCTCTTCCTTCCGATATTGGGAAGCCACTGGAGCTATGCACTTTAAATCTATATTGAAAACTCACGTATTTAGAACTGCTTTTTGTGTTTAGTTTGTTCTCCTTCCCCCGTACCTCCGATAAGTAGGGATGGCTGTGTACGGTGCGAAAGAAGTTCAACATACATATATGCATATGTGGAAAAGCTACCAACTAATTTCACAATATCCATAACAATCAGAAAGTGAAGTAAGCTATTTATTATCTGGCAAGAGGACATTAACGATTCAAAGTCTCGTTTTTAGAGGGGGCGTCTAGGTGGCACAGCGTTTCGTTGACACTGTGCTCTGGCCGTGAACACCCGAGTTCAATTCCAGACCATGGTACACAATCAGTGGCGAGTGGTATCTGAACCAGCCCTGGGCTCCAACTTCCACGAACCGGTACTGACCAATGCGATGAAGTCTGCCCAAACAAAGCTCCACGATAGGACACAGGGGAGGGGCCCTTCATCGTCCAGCGAAATGGACAAAGGGCTGCAACTATAATCATCCCACCACCTTGTAAATCCACCGCTGGATACGCGGCCTTGCGAGTGAAACGAACCTCTTGGGCTTGCTGCCTGCGTGCCAGCGAGCCGAGGGCCCCATAGGCGGCCTCCACGCTCACCAGACTGCACAGAAGGACCTCCATCCTGGCCGCCTCTGCACAGGTCAAGTCACCTCCCTGCCCACACACGGGGAGGGGAGGGGGGGTGTAAGTAATGAAAAAAACACAGTGCCACAAAGGGTTCGCCGATCCGCAAACGTTCCCGTCAGTCACCGTGCTCGACGATGAAGATCAATGACAGTGCCTTGTCTAGCAGTTTTGGGCGAGGCGGCGGCGCAGTGGTACGCCCACTGCCCTACGATCCCGGTGACCCGAGTTCGATTCGCCATCCGCGCGATTAAGTACGGTTGGCTACGTGCGGTACGAAAGAAGTTGAACAGATATACATACAGAGGCCGGTAAACTAAAAGGTGATTTAGGAGTGTTGACGTTGCTAGGTGGACGCTCCAGTAGCAACGGTTTAATCAGCACCCCCGCGGACTCGCCCGCTAATTACGCGTGTGACACGACACCACGGTCGTTAGTGAAGCTTGCGAATCTCTGGGTAATAAACGTTTGAAGGGGTGTAGCGATGGAGCAGTGATTACCGCACGGTGCAATGAACCCGGCTACCCGAGCCCGATTTCGATTCCAGGCCCTGGATGACGTCGGTGGCGAGTGACATCTGAACCAGCCCTCGCACTGACCAGCGTGAGGCCTTCATCCAATGGATGAATGATCGGATAATTTAATAAATGCATAAATGGGTAAAACCACAATAGTATAAATCTACAGGCACACAAACAATTGATAGAAAATACTGTGATACAATTTAGAGCTACCCTGGTCTCTACTCCTGCCAACAACTTGCAGATTTCTAAACTCATTAAATAATGCGATTGCAGGTGATGGGAGGAAACCGGATAACAGAAAGGCACCCGAGTCCGGGATCTAACTCAAGCCCTTGTTACTGCGAGGCGCAAGGTATTAGCACTGCTCTGCCACCACCCTTCCGCCCAATCCGCGGGCCGAACGGGACGAGCACGCGTGCGCCGGGCTGTACGCACGTGCGTGATGTCATGGACAGCGTCCCGGAGAGCGGCCGCGTAGCGGCACACCTCCCTGCTGCCCTCCTCGGCCTCCTCGAGGCGGCTCAGCACCGAGCCTCGAGCCTTGAGGAGCCGCCGCCCTGTGCTGCTGCCCTCAGGCACGTGGGTCACAGGGGAGGGAGGGAGGGGACGGGGTCAGAGGTCAGACTGGGGAGTTTAAAGAATCCCCGAACACGTGTTTGAACCTGGACGGGCGACCACTGCGCATAACAGGTGTTACGGTTTGCGGAGCCAGCCCTCACTGACCAGCTCAGTGAGGTATGGATAAAAAAACCCACACGACCTGAATGGCATGGGGAGGCCCTCAACCAGCAGTAGATTTGACAATGGGGCACTTCCGATGAGCCCAGCACCCCTGATCATCACGGTGGGCTTTGTTAATTCAAATCTTACGGTATCCGAGCCACCGCACAATAAAATGAACGTGTTTTTGCAATTAATCAGTCCTGTGTGTATATTGAACTTTCACATCGTACATAGCCAACCATGCTAATCAGAAGTCTTCCTGTCCTATGCTCTTCGTAAGCGAGATCACGGGAAGCATCAGCTCAGAGATGTTAACTTCCTCGCCTGGTATGGAGGAGGTCATGGTTCCATACCGTCCCTGACGCCTGCTGTATATTTGGAGTCTGCACGTTCTCCCCGTGGCCGCGTGGATTTTTCTCTGGGCCCTCCGGTTTTTCCCTCCACATTCAGAATCAACATCATGCGTTTAGAGTATTTGGCTGCTCTAAATGTCTACGTGATATGCCAATTCATTTGGCTATCATGTGTGACAGCCAGGTCGCTTCTGTAAAAGAGCTATATAGCTCAGTGGGCCTTACCTGGTAAAATAAACACAGTAAATAAACAATGTATTACATGTTGTTCCGTTACAAAGCGACGGTGGTAGCCATGCTTCCATTTGCCCCCTCAGCCCCGACCTCTCCCCAGGGCTCCCCCCACCGCTCCACGATTCAATCGTCACGATTCTGATTATTGCTCGATTCTAGAAGCGATTCTGTTTTACCTCGTTTGTACAATCTAACGATCTACCTCATCTTGTCTCGTCCCGTTTAGTTGGATGGTCGTGGCCATGCACGTGGCCTGTAATCCAGCGCCGTGGAGGTGAGGGTTGGTGCATCGCACACAGATGTTGTGAAACTCCTTTTTCCGTGGGCGTCAAGGAGGAGCCATACCCTGGCTCGCCGGTACAGAAAAGCACGGCCTAATGGCCAACTGTTTCTATCTGTACGGGGATAGAGTGTTGCTCCCTCGCATGCGTGGGTTTTATTATCATTAATTGGCTGAAAACACCTTGAAGTAAAAAACCCAATATTAGGACCCTTCTGAAAATGAATCCTACAACTCAATGTGGCTCTTCCAGAGAAATAAATAAATTATTAATATTATGTCTGTTCTTTCTCGTTCGTACCTTTAGCATAAAAGTAGCATTAACATACATCGCACCTCCGATTAGCATGGTTGGCTACGTACGGTGAGAAAAAAGTTCAACTTCAATACATACATATGCATAAAATGTTAGTACATTACTATACGGACGATAGGATGCATATTGTATCCGTGGGCATGAGAATACAATTTACCGCATCGTTGCCATGACCGAAGCCATGGCAACGGTGTGGTCTGTCACACCTGGGATTGTGGCGCCTCTAATGAATCGTGCAGCGTCAGGTGCAACCGCCCGTAGGGGCTACCGAGCTAAATGTGGGCTCATTAGGGCGTCTCAATCCAGTGCTGGTGTCATGCCCATTATTTAAACAGGAAAACCTCACCGATTCTCAAGCCTCTATATCACGAGTTCAATTCTCGTCCAATTACATTTGGTGGCAGGGCGATACGGCAAGAAGCCTGGTTTCGCGTTCCCGACTCGAGCGTCTATCTGTGTAGAGTTTGTATGTTCACCTATTCTGCATGGGTTTTCTACGGCTTCACCAGTTTCTGCCCATGGCTAAAAAAGGAAAATCCAAACAATAACCAGATACCAATGCTGCTGTGTGGTCCAGAAGTCATTTCAAGAGTCCTGAGAGGTCGCTCTGTGATATATGCTTTTGTGGGCCATTCTCTAAGAAGAAGGATTAATCCTCGCCAGGTCAGTCTGGCTCAGCGACCCGGTAAATATTTCCATGACTGGCATTCTGCATTCAGGATATCTCTGACTATGGCTCTGGCTTCTAGTCACATGACTGACACCATTCTACAAGTGACCCGGAATATATTTGTTGAGAAATTATGCGAGAGGTCCAAACGGACACGATGTCTCACGACACGTTAGTGAACGGCAGGATCGGGAAAACATTGGGGGGAAACGAAGAGGAAAAAAACCCCATAGAAATGTAAACGAGTCTTGAATCCACGAGACCCCGCCGAGACGTGGCCGCACGGCCGAGGCCAGCTGGTGCGGCGGGTTGGCACAGGTGGCCGACGGGAGCTGCCGCGCACCTGCCAGACGCGTCACCTCCACGAGAGTCTCGGAGAACGTGGGCCAGCGGCGGGGAGACGTCACCACGGCATGAGCAGCCTCCGTCCGTGTCCCTCGCGGTGCCGGGCGCGGCCTCCTCCGCCCGCCATGTGGATCGTGCTGCCCTCTCCGCCTCCAGCTGGGGAGCGAACAATGGGGGGGCGGGGGGGAAGACACAAACCTAATGACGGTCTCTCACCGTACCGTTCTGCGAAGTGTGTTCGGACTGTGCCAAGGGTTGCTACCGAATAATGCGGCGTCATAACCTGAACGCGTATTGTAGAGCCACACAGCAACGACCGCGAAAACCTGCAAAGTATTCTCTCATCGTGGTAACAAAATAAATGGGGGACTTATTTGCTGGGGGGTTTTTTTGGATGGCACGGGCTCTGTTCAGCTGCTCACGGCTCCTTTCGTAAGGAGACACCCCTCCGCTGACCCTGTACCGGCCGAATTGCCGCCGAACAGGCGAACGAGCGAGGTCACTTTCCGCGGCCATCGCAAATTGTCGTTTTGAGAAAAGCGTCTCCGTTGTGGGGCGGAGGCAGCTGCACTCACGGGGGTGCTTGAACAAAGCAGAACGAAGACAGACAGACGCCCGGGTGCTGAACAAACTCGTTTGTTTAAAACGCCCGCTGTTAATAAACACGCCGCTGCGGTTGCTTTCACAGTGACACCACTGGCTTGAAAGGACAAAACATAAACATCACCCAGCATCTGAACGTGCACCCGTCCGTTGTGGTTCAAGCTTCATTTATTTAGCGAATGACATGCTTGCATATTAATCTCAAAAGCAAATAAATTAACTATTGAATAAACAATTGTGAGCAATTGCATTGATATATATGTGTGTGAAGTGGACTTTAAAGTACATAATCTGTCGAATCTATATATATTTGAAAAAATAATGCGATGTAATCAATGCTCACAATAACACTTCTCAATATGCAGCATAATGAATTACAGTGGTCCACAGAGCTCTGCACACTACAATTAAGAGCAGTTTTAATTTGAAAAATACGTTATGGCTGCACGGTGCTCCACGAAAGTAATTTGAGGGTTTACGTTGACCCACGCTTCAGACCCATTCCATACTCTTTGTAAATTGGGGTTGCTTCATAGAACGCTAAATCATGCAATATAGCAACGACGATTCGACTCGATTGATCGATTTACATTGTACATAACGGCGACTAGAAACCACAGGCGCTGGATGTGACACACGTGCACTATCGCCAGGCCAGTACAGGTGGAATCGAGCATGCACGCACACATGGCGTGGAACAGCCATGGCATTTGGTTCCCGGCCCTCCGATTAGCACGGTTGGCTACGTACGGTGCCCAAGAAGTTCTCCAACAACGACTCTCGATCCGTGCCGAGCCCCAGGCTACGTCTCACCTCGTCCGTCAGGGCCGCCACCTCGTCCCGGAGCCTCTGCACCTTCTCCCTGCAGTGTCGCTCCGCCTCCTCGTCTCTCCCTCCCCCCGTCGTCGAGCCGGGCGAGCGCCGCTCTGCCTGGCGCGAGAGCTCGCTGACACGAAGTGGCGACGGGGAGCGGTCGCGTGGCCGCGGGGCGAGCGGCACGGAGACCGCACCGGGGACATCGCCCTGCCGGCGGGCGGCACGGACGCCGTCGGTTAAACCGCGGGCACGGTTACACGCGAAGCGATTCTTGCCCTCGTGGTGTACGTGGACAGCCCTTTTGTCAATCCACTGCTGGATGAGGACTTCTGTTGCCAATAGACTTTTGCACGGCCACAAATTAAGGTCATCTGATTTATTAATAAGGAGGTATTTGCTCACGATGGAGATGATCGATGTAATTCTTTCTTATGCTGATGGAAGCATTCGGTTCTGACGATAATGAAGGCAACGATGATGATTTTATGTACCTGCTTCTGCTCTTGATTATGATGATTCAAGTAACTACTCCTGAGGATGGTAATGAAGATGATGATGATGATTCACGGACATTATTCTAATGATGACTTTTCAGGATGAAAGCACTTTCCTCCGACGAAGATGACAAAATAACCGATGACAATGATGGACGGAGACAGGACCTTGCGGTAGTGCATTCAGCATTTGGTTGCAGAGGCTCATGGTTCTAATCCAGCGGCCACCCTCATAAATACTGCGGTTGTATTAACCGTGAAAATACTACACACCATCTGTTTTGGAGTGGGTGTTAGATATCCCATGACGTAATTCGCAATTTGCCAAATTTCAGAAATTACCCAAAGCTTACTCAATTGAGGTAGTAACATAGCAAATCCTAACAATAGTGAGTTCAAATTGTAACGCGCACAGTATTCGCTCGCTCTCTTAAAAATAGAATGACTCAAGAGGCGTGAGGAACCACAGACAAGCTACAAGACAGCCGCCTTGCAACCAACAACTGTCCAAGCACGACGGTCCTCTATATATTGAGGTGTTATCGGCCAATTCATGAGCCCCATTGTTGCCAAACTTAGCAGGACCCTCCTGAAAAATAGTCATTGAGACTCGGTAAGATTTTGTGGGTAAATAAGCAAAACAATAATCATAATAATAAACTATTAACTATCATAATTTGACCAGGTAAGGCCCACTGAGCTATGCAGCTCTTTTTCAGAAGCGAACTGGCCACAAATGATAGCTCAACGAAGTGGCTTACCACGTGGAAATTTATAGCAGCCAAATACTCTAAAATGCATGTTTCTAAATGTGGAGGGAAATATCGGAAGACCTGGAGAAAAATCCACGCGATCACGGGGAGAACACGCAAACTCCAAATATACACCAGGCGTCAGGATCGGGATCGAACCAACGATCTACTGCATACCAGGCGAGGTAGTTCATGAATGAGAGTGAGGACAGCTCGCATACCGGCTTGCCGATCAGCTGCCCTCGAGCAGGCGACGGGGGCGAGCAGGTGACCACGCGCGCCGAGGGCCGCCCGCTCGGACGCACCGCCTTTGACCTCAGCATGAGACGCAGCGGGAAGAGCTGTGGACACGTTTGACAGACGTCGCTGTCCGTTTCCTCATTCGTTACGAGTCACGCGGTACGCTCAATGTTTCTCTAACTCAATTTGTAATTGTATTATCTACACGAGCCGACACACGACAGGGAAACGTGCTATTTTTACATTGATTTAGATTTGTGCAAGTAAAGTAAATAATAAGTGACATTTATACCGCGCCAGATTTTACAGACAAGTCAACAACTCAGAGGCGCGGAGCAAAGCTCAGGGCGGCTCAAAAGAGATAGAGGAGGCCTTTAGATTTTCCTTGAAAGTCCGAGTGCAATTGATGTTGCGGATGTGCAAAGGGATTAGAGAGTTCCACACTGAGGGGGTTGACAGCAGAGAACCAAAGTGAGGCCGTAACAGTATAGTGTAGGGCATAGCGTATAATAGTTTATAGTATAGTGTATAGTAGTGTAAAGTAAGTGTAGTGTATAGTGGTGTAGTGCAGTGTATAGTAGTGGTGTATAGTGGCGTGTAAAGTGTACAGTATAGTAGTGTATAGTGTAGTGTATACCGATGTGAGGCTGTAACAGTTCGAGACCTCGGTATCCGAAGCAGATTTTGAGTGACGCTGCTGCTGCTGCTGCGTCGGGTTCTACCATGAGCCTTCAGTGCAAGGCGAGAGTATTGAGGCGAGGTGTGGTGGGGAACCGGTGGTGAAGGCGCGATGACAAAGGCAGGCGCGGTTTTAGAATTTGACCTGCTGGCGAAAGGCAGCCAATGAAGAGTTACGGGTGGCCGAATCGAGTCGTAGATGATCGACACCAAGGACGACATGAGCAAGGTGCTTCTGTGACCGTCGTAATTTAAAGGGAGTTGCCCCGTTCACGTCGGGGGATGCGTTCCTGAAAGGTGCCACGATGAATATCGAAACGTCGTCAATTCGAAGAAGCGATTCACAGGGTACCGGTGGTGGAGGCGAAGGCTGAGAGGCGACAGATAACGAGATAGGACGGACGATACCATTCAGCGTGGGCCGAGGCGATGCAAATCAGGTGGCGGCGTTAATAAAGCGACGATGCATTTGCGAAACGCCGTATAAGGGAGGAGACATAAATCTGGGTATTACTGTGTGACAATTTTATTTATTTACCGTGCGACAATTTTTTTTTATCACGTTTCCGTTTGCTTCATTTCTGTACGCGCCGAGTGTCTCTCGAGTGCGTGGTCTGTGCAAGACAGACCACCTATTCGGACTCGCCTTCCCATACACTCGAAAATAAAAATGGTCTACTTGTATTTGATCTACTACTTACCTTTTCCATGCAATTCGTTGCGCACGGTGTCACTTTATTTTGGCGTGCGGTCGTGCTCTACTTTGTCGGTGTTTGCCGCCGAGGGTCAAGGAAGGGGTTATTATTTTCTCAGTCCTTGCTGCGGTATGCTCCCCCTGTACAGTTCCTGTGCTACTTGATTTAGGGCAATATTAGCACGTAAAATAAAGATTGATTTATTGATCAGTTTTTATTCTTTCCAAATCGAGACTCTATCCTGGCCTCCCGAGTTCCATACCTATCAACCCCTTGTCAATTCAGATCTTATTGTCACCCCGTTGCCTTATAAATTTCAACGTTCATCCTACAAAGTCCCATCGCAAGGGAGAAACACAGACAGAAAAAAAGTTGTGCCCGTATTGAAACGGCTGTACGCCGTACAGACCTGAAAACTCAATTCTCCCTGTACAAGAATCCGGAGTTAAACCGTAGGGGGTTGTTGACACGGTATATGGTTGGTTACCAACATTCTCCCCCAACGACGCTGTGTGTTTGTGGAGTCAGGGAGGGCCATGGAGTGCCTGGGAGTGGCGTGCTCCTGACAAGTCGCGACTTGGGGGGAGTTGTGGCGGGACCCAGAGCGGGAAAGGGACCGGCCATAAATGACGTCACGCATGGGTGGACAGGTATGAGTAACAGATAACATTTAAGCAGACATAATCGCTCGTCGCTTCCTATGTCTGTCTCTCCGCACCAAATACAATTATTTGTTACGTATCCTTTCCGAGGGTATATCTTCATAGCTCCGATTAGCACGGTCGGCTACGTAAGGTGCGAAATAAGTTCAACAAACATACATTACATACATCTCCTTTAATATTCTTAGCTCTTTCGGTAAAGTCACGTTGAAAGGAAACAATAAAACAACAAAATATATATAAAACAACGACGTTTCGACCATAACACAAACGGTCATCATCACACCTGATGATGACCGTTTGTGTTATGGTCGAAACGCCGTGAGAATTTTCATTAGTTTACATATATTTTGTTGTTTTATTGTTTCCCTTCAACGTGACTTTACCGAAAGAGCTAAAAAAATGAATTACTGCAGTCACGAAAGCTTTAAATCAAAATCTTCTTTTATATTTGCTCTCGTGAAACGAATAATCCTGACCAAGTGACGTTATATCAGCCCCTCCTGAACAACATTATCCACTGCGTTGGGGTTTTCTTTTAAATAACGGCACTTCACGAATCACTCATTTAAATCACTCGGCTCACAGCAACGCCCCACAGACAATTCGCCGTCAATCGCCGCTGAATTGAACGCAATCCTCGATTGGGGTGACTAAATAATTGCTAATCTTCAACTATAAATATATTGACGATATCACGTTAAGCTGACAATGTCACGGCGACCCCCTCTCCCCCCCCCCCCCCCCATAATGCGGTGTTCATATTAAAACAAAAATAACCCCATTCATCTTCTGGTGGCAACAAACTGACCTCCAAACTCTCATGGAGTGGCCCCAAGCACTGCTAATCTGGCCAAGAGGGCATCAAAGAAGCTCGGGACGGCTCTTTCAACTCAACTCGTGAGTAATTACGACTCGTACCGGTCGGTCCATGAAAAAAAAAACACAAAATTCGGCCCCGACTTGGAATAATTCACCCAGCTCCTAGCTCCAAAAGGTCGGCGTGATTCATGATCCATGACACCACTCACTTTGACTCTCCAGTCGCCTTCCTCATCATCACTCTTCCATCTCTACCGCCGTGGTCAACCCCCATCCCCGTGAACTTGGTTCAGCGATTCCTCCATCCGTGTCGGGAGGGACTGTCTCGTCGCAGCCCATGGAGTCAAAACGTCGTGTAAAGTCCACCACGAGAGCGCTCAATGGAATGGGGGAAGTTAAAAGACTCAAGCTTCAAAGACAATGCATACCTATATTCTTGGTTCTTTCGGTAAAGTCACGTTGAAGGGAAACAATAAAATAATAAAATATATATAACAATAAAATTCTCACAAACAAAAAAATACAATGCATACCCTCACTCTTTGGTTATTTCGGTAAAGTCACGTAGGTATAAAATAAGTTATACCGAAAGAACCAAAGAGTATTGATTCCTGCAGTCACGAAAGCTTCAAATCAAGATTGTATATCCTACCAGAGCATGTTTTTTTGTTTGCATGGTCACCCCAAGTACGTGTGGTTAATGCAGACAGGATTCCTTAAAAAAGGATTCTGTTTGGTGTTTTAACATCTCAACACCGGTGTTATTGTCAGAAAGGGTAAATGATATTGTTTTATGTTGATACTTGCAAGAAAGGTCCCGTGGAGGAAGAGAAGATGGAGCAGATCAAAATTCATCTCCGTGTAGCTGTGTGTCTCCATGTCTCTCTGGTGTCCCTCTCTGTCTCACAACTGTAGGTCTCTCTCCGTGTGTTTGATGTGTCTGCGTGTCTCTGTTTGTCTCTGTGTATATCCTTCTCTCTACACGTCTGTCTCTACATCTTCCCGTGTCTCTATAATCATACTGTGTGTTTGTGTACACACAGTATCATTATACGAGTGTGTTTCTATGTGTGCTTCAATGTCTTCACCTGTGTCTGCCCCTAACTTTAACTTCATATCTGTTTATAACTTCATATGTTTAAAAGTGTATCTGTATTTCTCAGCCTGTCTCCTCTCCCTGCACTATTGACACGAATTTCTGTCTCTCCATCCGCTGATTTATATTTACTTCATTGCTGTACAGTACAGAACTTTATTTCTTTTTGCATTTGTAATGTTGGTGACCCAGGCCGCTCTTGCGAACAAGCCTCTATCCCGGCCTCTCGAGTTATCGCCAGGTTCAACAAAATCAACTTCTTCATCCCCCCCCCTCCCGTCTTTCAATCTCTCGTGCACTTCTGAAACAATCTGTCTGTGCTTGGGGTCCAATACCATAGCCGCCACAAACCACCACAACAACAACACCACCACCACCCACGCGCCTTCCCTTCCCATCGTCAATTCAACTGCTGCAACAACAAAAAACCCATTCGCCACCAAGTGGCGGTCACGACACTAACGGCGCCTGTGCCAGGCTAGGTGCACTTTAGGGCCACGTGAAGTGTCGAACGCCCGCTGGCAAGAGGACACGGGGCAGACCCAGCAGGTGCCATGGGGTCGACTAACTTAGATGACCGGCCCGATGCACCACCTGCTGTAGCTGCCGCCACTTCACCACGTTCACTCACTCACTCACCTGGGCCGTGCCAACGAGCGCCTGCAGCAACGGGTTGATGGCGGTAGTCGGCGTGCGAACGAACGAACGAAACGAACCGCACGACTCGACGATTGAATGAAAACTGGCGGCTCGTCGCTCCCGCCGAACAGCTGATCACTTCCCGCCAAAACGACCCCCACCAGCAACACCCCCATTGTCGTCTCCCTATTGGCTCGTTCAAACGCGGTCGACCGTTGAGCCGAGCGGCGATTGGTCGGCGTGGACGTGACGTCACGAAGTTGTTGCCACGCCCTCCCATCGCTCTCATCGCCGCGTTTCTTAGGGTTCGATGGTCTCCGGAGCCCTCGGTGTGGCAAGCCCATAGCACCTGTTATGCACGATCGCTCACGGCTCTGCCTGATGAAGCTGGTTGTAATTACTGGTGAAACGTCGAACTCAGATTGTAAATATTGTGGCTTGGCTCTCCAACACACCGGTGTGCTGTACTAGTAACGAATTGGCCACGTTCTGTTTACCTGACAAACATTACTCGCTGGCTGTGTCGGGTGGTGGCGGCTTTAACGACACATTTACGCGATCTAACGATAAAAAAACTTTATTTTTTTTATATTGGTCGCGAAAGCGTAGGTCAGTTTAACACGTAGAGGCTTTCGCTACCGACATTATCCATAAGAGGTTTTTTTTTGTCCGCCAGACGATGCTGGACGTAATTACCGGCGAAACGTCGTGACTCGAATTGTAAATGTTGTGTGTTTACTCTCCAGCACTCGGGCGTTTGCACTCCCAGACGGCCGTGGAAGCCGACACGGGCTGTGCGATAAATACTCTCCGACTTTACGTTGAGAGAGAGAGGGGGCGCGGACGTGCGAAGGGATTGTTGCTGATTTTATTTTTGTCGCTCTCTCGTTGTCGGCGAGTGTCGGAAGTTTTTCAATTCCGTTGTACGAATTTAGTGTGTTGGGTTTCTGTGATTAAAAAAAAACAGAAACGCGAAACACGTGCGGCTGTCGGGGCGCCGCGGGGGTCCGCTCTGGCTCGCCGTAGCCCGCACCGCCGCCTCCACACCCCTCCGTGAAACTCTGACCTCTCAACATCGCTGGCGTCTGTCATCCAGCAGCAACAACAACAACCACTACAACCACCACAACAACAACAACCTCGTCTCTCACCATCTCACAGCAGCACGTTCCACGTAAGCCCGCGGGTCTGATGCGTTGCGGTGTGCGCTGTGTGTGTGTGTCAACGCGAGCTGATGTGTGTGTGTGTGTGTTACGGGTGGGGGGAGGCTACAGCTGGTGTGGGTGCATCTACCGGTCATCTCAGCCGACCCATGGCCACCTGCAGGGTCTGTCCCCGAAACCTTCCTTCTTCCTGCCTGTCGGCGAGCCCTCGACACTTGACGTGGCCTCAAAGTGCACCTGGCCTGGCACGGGCGCCGCGGGGGTAACGTCACCGTCAACTTAGTGGCGAATGCCGAGGGTATTGGTCTGTGAGCGCGTGTAGGCCCGAAGATAAACGGCGATGCTCCCTCGACCCAAACGACGTCCTTAATTGGTCTAATACGAGATTAATTAGACTGCCAAATCGACCGCCGTTGTGGTGGACTAGCCGTCGGTGTTGGCTGCGCAGACGCGGCGAGGCAATGACGGTGGTGGTTTGGTTGGTGTCAAGGCCGCCGGGTGGATTCCTGAACGAACTAATGAATACATCCGCGAAGTTAAATTGATTCCTTTTTTTGTTTATTCGCTGGAATCAAGGCACGGCCCTTGACCGAATCACACCCCCCCCCCGGGGAATGCGGCCCATCTCGATCTCTCCGAAGCTCGGAGGGAGGATTTTCGAGCCTGTGCCGAGGTGACCTGACCGCCGTGCATAAATCAGAGATTCATTGTTGGTAGTGGTGGTGATGATGGTGGTGATGCTTCGTTGGCATTGTTGGTGGTGATGGTGCTCCATTGGCAGTGGTTGCAACAGGCAAGCAAATTAACCACCCGACAAAGCCAACTCTTAAGTTTTGTCGCGTAAACAAAACATGCCAATTCGTAACGAATTCGTAATGAATTGGCATGTTCTGTTTAGGAATTCGTAACGAATTCGCATGTACTAGTGATGAATTGGAATGTTCTGTTTACGAATTCGTAACGAATTGGCATGTACTAGTGATGAATTGGCATGTTCTGTTTACGAATTCGTAACGAATTATCATGTACTAGTAATGAATTGGCATGTTCTGTTTACGAATTCGTAACGAATTGGCATGTACTAGGCATGTTCTGTTTACGTGACAAATCTTACTCTTTGGTTCTTTCGGTAAAGCCACGTAGGTATAAAATAAAACCTTACTAGTTGGCGGGTTTAACGACATATTTACGCGATCCAACCCAAAAACAAACCTATTATGGGAAAAAACAAATATAGGCGACGTTTCGGACGATGGCCCGTCTTAACATGCACTCTAATGGCGAATTGTAAACACAACACTAACTGTTGCCTTATGATAAACGTCTCGCATGTTTTGAACGGGGGGAAGGGCGGTGTTATTGACGCATGCAAAAAGACAAAGTGCTCTTAGAGTCCGCCGAAGGGAGCCACTGTGGTCCCTGGTTGGGCAAAGCGCAGCAGAACCCATTGTTGCAATGTACTTCTATGATTCCAGCGCACGTATGGGCTCCGCGCCACCTTCGATCCCGCACCGACCACAACGTCGAAGTATTGGGTCAATAACCACCACGGCCTGCACGGTCAAGGGAGGCCCTCATCCAGCGGTGGATTGACAAAAATTCCTCTCTGTGTTCACGGACCTGTCAACCCACAACGCTTTAACCCCGTATTCTTGTACAGGGAAATTGAGTTTTCAGGTCCATACGGCGTACAGCCGTTTCAATGCGGGCACATGTTTTTGTCTATTTGTTTGTGTTTGTCGTTTGTGATGGGACTTTGTAGGATAAACTTTGAGATTTATAAGGGCACGGGGTGACCAATAAGATCTGAATTGGTCTGTAATGAGGTAGGTACTAATAAGGGGTTGACAGGTTTGGTGTTCACATGTACATGTAAGGCCCACTGAAATATTTTGCAGAAGCGACCTGGCTATCACAAATGATAACTCAACGTAGTGGCTTATTTTGTGGAAATGTATAGCAGCCAAATGCTCTAAACGCGTGATTTTGATTCTAAATGCGGAGGGAAAAACCGGAGGATCCGGAGGAAAATTCACGCGATCACGGGGAGAGAGACACCGCAAACTCCAAATATACAGCAGCAGGCGTCAAGGCCGGGATCATCGCCACCGCGACTTGGCTGGCATGAGCGTGCAGGGCAAAGCAGAGATGCCTGGACAGAGTACAGTATAGCAAGTCGGTTACATACACGCCGTTTGAATAGCAGTGTGTGCGTGCTGTGCACAGTTGAGTGTATTAATAATGTTCGTTTGTGCTACCATCGATTACTAAATAATGCCAGCTTACAGTGCTTTGTTAATCCAATGATGGATGAAAGTGAGTTATTGAAGGGGATGGTGGAGGCAGGAATGGTTGATGTGATGCACGCCAGTGATGTTCGCCAGGAATCTAACAGGAATCTAACCCAGGTGGCCAGGTTCATAGTGCAGTGCGCTAACCGCTGTGCCACCACTCCTCCCCCCAGAGGCCCATCTGTGCAAAAAACATTAAGTTGCCATTGATGATTGTTAACAAACTGAATAGCAAACATACCATCGTTATTTCACACTAATGGGAACAATGTGCACACAGCGCATGAATTGAAAGGGTCACCCCATTGGCCAAAAAGACACGAAGCAGCAACTAATAGTGATAACGACATGGGTAATGATAACCACGTGTTCGAAAGGACTGTTCCACTCTTCAACTGTTAGTCATTCTCCAGTCACTCCCCATCCCCATACTGGATATCAACTGGGCTGTACAATTGTGCTATTTTGCCATACAACCATCATCATTATCATCACCACCACCATCGCACGTTAGACGCAAGGGCAAGAATGTCTCGTGCGTTATCAAGTCACGCTGGGTCCTTTGGGCTGGTGAGCTTGCCAAGTCGATGTTGTCACGGTCATCTGGGTCAAACATTGGTAGGAGGAGTCGAGTTGAATTTAGCTTTTATTAAAAAGAAAATCAGTTTTATCCCTGAAAAAAATTGATAACCTGCATCACCCCTTTAAAAAAACATATACAGGTAGTCCTCTACTTACGATGGAGATGCGTTACGACGACCCCATCGTAAGTCAAAAATATCGTAAGTCGAAGATGGCCTAGCCTACCCAGGAGTCTTAAAGAATGGTGATAATTTAGCAGAGCAATTTACAATACCGTACTGTGTAAACTATATACTGTATGTATTTATGTATGTATTTATCGTACCTCGTACGCTGCTGCGTTTGCCTGCCGCGCGAAATGTAAAATATTTTACAATTTTGTTGTATCGCTATCGCCATTGTAAGATCGAAATATCGTCAGTCGGGCCATCGTAACTCGGGGACTGTCTGTATATATATACAATCCACTGCTGAAACAAATCCCCCAAGTGCTGTGTTAGTCATGGTGGTCGTTACCCCATACTTCACCTAGCTGAATTAAGAATGCGGATGGGCGAAGGGGTCCCACCCACGACTGGTTTAGATATCACAGTCCTTGCCGCCGTTAGCCGTGGCCGGAAATAATAAAAAAAACGCGGTTCGCCCGGCTTCAGAGCACCGTGCGTGCGAGCCCCTTTTGCAGGACGCCCGCTCGGAAGCGACGCGCGATCGTAACCCGAGCGGGGGGTCCATGTGCGTGTTGTTCGAGGACGCAGGGTGGGGCCGATCGCTGACCCGGAGCCCCGTTCCGCCACGCTGCTCCGAGCCCCTGCGCTTCTCTCCATCCCACGGAACACGCAGCTCGGGGATAGAGAGCACTGTTAATCGAGGGCAGATTCGCGCGGCTCACGGAGAGAGTACAACAAAGAGGCTATGTTGCACAGATACACCTGTTGATGCGGTTCACACACTGCAACACGCAAGCTACCTAGCGCGGATGCACTGACCGCGCGGTGTATTCAATACACGGGCAGGATACATTGTTGAAATACGTTATCGACGCAGTTCACACACCCAGCGCAGTGGACATAGTTGGCATGCATTGTTCGCATAATACGTGCACCCAATACAGGCAGCACACATAGCCGAGAAGCATTGTTCACGTGTTTGAGGCACATTGTATTGTACGACGTATGTCATTGAGCGAATAGTTTATTCACAAACAGCACAGACGTCTTCACGTAGCTCGGTTCCAAGCAGCGACTCATCTTGAATTCATATCAGGGATCGGCTGGCACCAAGACCGTAAGAAGTGGAGGCGTTGGGTCGCTTGGCGCGTCAGTGGCACGGGACAGACTAAGCACGAAGGATCCACTCTAATCCGCACGCACGCACGCACGGCGCTCACCCCCCGCAGTCCGATTTGTCCAGGCGTCCGTTCAGAAGCGCGCCTGAGCCCTCCCACTCCCGCGCCGCCGCGAGCCATGTCGTCGTCGGTGACGGCGGCTCTGGAGGCGGCGGTGGTGGTGGCGTGCGTCTGCCGCCTGCACCTGGCCTCGTGGGGGCCGCTCACGGCCTCGCTGCTCCTCCTCGCCGTGCAGACCTTCTACACGCAGCCCAAGTGGGGCCGCCTCATCGGCGCCTCCCCAACGCTCGGCGCCGCCTTCCGGTCTGGCTCGGCCTCCGCGTGCGGCCTGCTGGCGGGCGGCCTGGCCGTCCCGCTCGTGGCCGCGGCGCTGGCCCACCGCTGCGCCGGCACGGCGGCCAAGGCGGCGGCGGTGTCGGCGGCGCTCTCGTCGTCGCTGCTGCTGTCGCTCACCTCGCTGGTGGGCCTGCTGCTCACGCGGCCGCTCCCGCGCCGGACCTGCGCCATCTACGTCGCTACCACCGCCCTGGCGGTTCACGCGCTGCGCGGCGGCGGCGCCGGTGCCGACGGCGCCGCCGCGATCGCCGGCCTCCTCCTGGCATCGGCCGCCTTCCTGCTGCTGCTCTTGGTGGCGCTGCCCGGCAGCCTGTCGCTGGGCGAGGCGCTGGTGGTCGCCGAGGGGCTGGGCGCGCCGGCGCACTGCCTGGCGACGTGGACGGTGGCCTCGGGCGGCGGCGCCAAGCGGGATGAGCTGACGAGCGTGCTGCTCGTGGTGAGCGCCGGCGCCGTGGTCGCCGGCGCCGTCTTCAGCCTCCTCTTCCGCTTCATGACGTCGAACCACCTGGCGCGTGCCGTCTACTTCTACGGCCTGTGCCTGGTGTTCGCGCTCGGCATCCTGCTGCCCTGGCTGCAGCACCTGTTCCACTCCGACCCCTTGCTCTGGCTCGCCGACTTCCTGAGCCGGCCGCGCGACCGCCGCTACACGCTCGCCTACTGGGCTTTCCTGCTGGCGGGCGCCGTGGCGCTCGCGGCGGCGCTGGGCGGCGCCGCGTGGCCCGCGGGCGGCGCCCTGCCCCGCACGGCGGCGCGCAAGGCCTTCCACGCGTTCGCCGTGGCCGCCTTCCTGCCGGGCCTGGCGCGCGACCGCGCCCTGCTGCACCTCGCGTCCGTGGCGGCGGCGGCGGCGTTCCTGGGCCTCGAGTACGCTCGCGCCTTCGACGTGCGGCCGCTGGGCGGGATCCTGCGCGCGTCGCTGCCGGCGCTGGTGGACGAGCGCGACTCGGGCCCGCTCGTCCTCACCCACATCTACCTGCTGCTCGGCATGGCGCTGCCCCTGTGGCTCTCGTGGCCCGCCTGCTGCCCCCTGGCCGGCGCGGCCGTCGGCCTCCCGTCGCTGGCGCCGTACGCCGGCGTGCTGGCGCTGGGCGTGGGCGACGCGGTCGCTTCGGTGTTCGGCTCGGGCCTCGGATGCTGCCGCTGGCCCGGCACGTGCAAGACGGTGGAGGGCACGGTGGCGTCGGTGTTCGCGCAGGTGATGGTGCTGGCCCTGGTGGCGGTGGCGGACGGCGCTGTGCGGCTCGGGTCGGAGTACGCGGCGGTGCTCGTGTGCGTCACGCTCGCGGCCCTCCTCGAGGCCTTCACGGCGCAGATCGACAACCTCCTGCTGCCGCTCTACGCCTTCGCGTTGTTCCTCGCCTGAGCGACGACGGCGGTGTCACCGGCGGCAAGGTGAAGCGTGCCGAATCGGCTCGTCGTCATTTCTACCTCCCTCGTGTTTTCCGTCGGCTCCGCAGCGCGTTTTCAGGTCGTGCCGCGCATTCGGTATGACGCCGTGGTACGATCCGAACAACCGCGTCCCTACGGGGGGTGGTGGGGGTGGAGGGGGCGATTCGGCTCGCTAGACGTGAAATCCTACGCAGTTGTTTCCCTCGCTAGAAACTCACGGTCCGGCTTTTCATTCCCAGTGGCCCTTCCCGTACATGTGTGTGTGTGATGCAGGGAACGTACACACGGCTGCCTTGCATGCATGCGCTCTCTCGTCTGTTTCGGCCGTTTGTTTTCATGGCTACTATTCTTCTTAAAGAGATTACTTATATAATTTCACTTGGGGTCACACTGCCAGATGATTTGTTTTTTTTATCATATCGTGAAGGTTACCGCACAGCGTCTTTGTCGTCATATTTTACATTCTTGTTTTTTTGGTCGAAAAAAAATGAGCTTTGTTCAAATCACGTTAAAAGGGGGATAAGGATATCTATTTTCTGCAGTAATTATTTTGGAGCGGCGACGTGTAGTGGGTCTGCTGCGCATTGCAACTTCAACCATGATATTATAAGCGGTTCTCCCCCCCCCCCCCCACTACCGCCCATTCACCAACCCGCACTGACCAGCGCGTGGTGAAGTATGGTCACGCACACTTCACCCGTGACCAACGACACACCATGAGGGGGAGGGGGCATTGATCCAAAAGTGGATCGACAAAAGGGCTGTGAAAGGAAATTGGGTGACACGGGTTGAGACGGACCTCCTACTTCCTGCACTAGAGAACCGGGAATTTAAAATCAGTTTGCCGCCTGAACTCGCTTGCTGTAAAGTGGGCGCTATGAGCCCCTGAGCCCGGAGACACCTGGTCACCCAAAAGGGATCGCTGTCGTTGCACTCGAAACCACTCGAGGTACGTAGCGGGGTGGTTCACGTCGATGCTCACGCCGGCCATGCGCGCCCAAATTGTGTAGGCGTGAGAGATATGATCCTTAAGGCGGTACCCCAAGGTACCAAGTAATACAAAATGGCCGAGGCAATTAAATATTTTATTTCTGGGACACTATTTTTTCCAGGGGTGTACTTCACTCAGCTATCAATCAATCCGAAATCAGCGCTACTTCGTGATGTCGAAACGCCAAACATTAACGTAAAAAAAAAATCTGTTTTCGAATAATTCTACTTTGAATAGTGCATCGTGTACAGCTCGCCGAGATGAGTCGATTGCCGCATCGCCGACCATCAACAGACTAAAAATCACTGCATCACGGACATTGCGCGAGAGCCGGGGTGTACTATGGTACCCCGGGGTACCGCCATGAGGTTCATTTGGGTTGTTCTCAATACGTGCTGATTTATACGTGCGATCTCTTTTCTTCTTTTTAACTGTCAAAGGCGAATAAAACAATACGATATCGATGACTGGGCAGCACAAAAGAAGGGACGTGCAAATGAAACAACAAAAAATGAGACGGATAGTACGTGCGGTGCAAATGAGACGTACGAAGCGGAATGCAGTCGGTACAGGCGAGAGGGCCTGTGATCGAGCACCGTTGGACGCAGTAAGGGTTGGTGGATCACACGAATAGTGAAACCCCCTTCCCGTGGGCGTTGAGCAGAGGTGCCATACCCTGGCTCATCAGAAGGCGGTAGAGCAAATGCGGAATAACATCGTCCGTCCCTTATGTATGGGACGGGGGGGTTGACCCCCTCGCGTGGTGGAGGTTTTCTCTGGGCGCTCCCGTTTCTTCCCGCATATGTGAACGCTCATTAATGTGCTGAAAACATCTTAGTATTGAGAGGACTCCAGAGTTTGAGCGATTGTGCCGGCTCACCACCTGGCTACTGCCTTCCAACTTATCCGTGGTTCCTCAGCGATTGTGAGCAGGGGTGGCCTGCGCCGTCCATGTAGGCGAACGAGGGCAGTTGCCCAAGGAGCCAAGTTAAGTGGGGCGCAAATTTCGAGGGAAAAAGAATACAAATAAAAAATCACGAAGATGTCATTATTTCAATTCCCCATGCACGTACAGAGGGAATATTAATCATAATTAATTTCTCAACATTTCTGGGAATGTATTGGGTTGGACAGTTGTACGGACGGACAAACTGAATAATTATGCCTGTTTAAAAACAAAAACGCTTAAAAAACACATTAAACGTAAAATAGGGGCAAAATGTTTCCCAGTTTACCAAAAACCTCAGCCTAGATCTGCCCTTGGGGTTGAGGGCTGCCATTTGCACTTGCTAGCAGCTAGTCTTGGGCCACCCCTGATTGTGAGATGCACTTTGCATGAACAACGACAAGGCTATAGTAATAGGTTTTACCCTTTTAACTGGCACAAAAAACTGACACCTTTATTCAAGGCATCATGTCTGCAATAACCACAACACAAGCAGTCAAAATGCAAACAAAAAGACAACTCTGATAATAATATGCACTGTCCTTGAATTTGATTGGTCCACACCCGAGACAGCTTTTCTTAGAGCCTAGGCTCCATTGGTGTTGGACCAGAAGACGCCAAAAGGCGTACAACTCAAAAACAGCGCACTATCAGAGTATTGAGGGCTCGGGGTGAGCATTTACTTTATGAGACCTCCTTTGCCAGTAACAAGATATAGTAATAGGTTTCACCTTTTTAACTGGCACAAAAAACTGACACCTTTATTCAAGGCATCATGTCTGTACTAACCGCAACACAAGCAGTCAAAAGGAGGTCTCATAATGTAAATGCTCACCCCGAGCCCTCAATACTCTGATAGTGTGCTGTTTTTGAGTTGTACGCCTTTTGGCGTCTTCTGGTCCAACACCAGTGGAGACTGGGCTCTAAAGAAAGCCGTCTCGGGTGTGGACCAAACAAATTCAAGGGCAGTGCATATTATTATCAGAGTTGTCTTTTTTGTTTGCATTTTGACTGCTTGTGTTGTGGTTATTGCAGACATGATGCCTTTAAAAAAGGTGTCAGTTTTTGTGCCAGTTAAAAAGGGTAAAACCTATTACTATATCTTGTTACTGGCAAAGGAGGTCTCATAATGTAAATGACAACGCTGTATAAAAGTCAACATTATTATGAAAAAGGAATAAAACAAATAGAACATAGAAGACAGTGTAAAGGATGCAACCAGAACCAATGAGGTGGAATGAATGAGACGCACGCTGCAAACTGGAGGCAACAAAGAAGGCAACAATCCGATCTCGAATCGAACTGCGGCAAGCTGAATCGCCCGAGCGTGCGAATCGTCGCGTAACTTACCTTCGTGAGTTGATCGGCAAGCGGCGGGGAATGGCTGGCTGGAGCGGAACCCTGCAATATAGATGAGGCTTAGGAGAGCGAACTTCAAGAAGTCCTGACTTTGAGTTTGATTTACAAGCTGCCCAAGGTCTTTGAGACCTATTAGTAGCAGTATTGGTTCTTAACTCCGTTTGCCATGGTTGCACGAGGCCTGGGGTTTTTGCTCTGTTCGTTTTTCGTGCAAGGGCCATGTGAAAGGCCCCCAAGCAGATGATCAATTTGTCAGTGTCGATGTCGTTTTTAAACTATAGCCTTACACCACTTTGAAATGTTCGTGTTAAGACCCTATGGATTTTTGAACGTCTTGGCAGCACCCCACAGCCATAACCGACAGATGTTTGCGTTTTTTCCCAGTCGGGGGACGAAGCGACTTGACTTGCATCTTTATTTGAACAGGAGAGAGGTTAGTCGGGTGGTGGGGGGGGGGAGGTGTCCCTGACTATAGGGGACTGCAGTGGAGAAGGAGACCTCTCAAATGAACTTAAGTTGACTGTGGAGTTTAGTTGCTGGAGAAGAGTGGCACGGGCTGGTTTTCTTCACTTTTATAAAGCGCCTTGAGATGCACGTGCATTTAGATAATGAAGCAAGTTGGCCAACCTTTACAGACCCTACGAGCCTCGTACCACATGGCTACGAGTGGCAAGACACCGAGTGCTTCACTTCGGGTGGTCACCTGGGGTGGTCACCTGGGGTGGCCATTGGGGTGACACGGTCACGTGGTCACGCGGCCCGGTTTCGCTGTCGCTGGTTGGCCGTGGGGCTTTTGAGTTTAGAAATCTGCGGTAGAACCCCCCCGGAGTGTGCTCGTGCCGGGCTCCGTTTTCGGAGGCGAGTGTCGCTGGCTGCTCTTGCATTACCTGGGTTTTTCTTTCCTGTTCAAAAGAAAGTTTTTTTATTGAAAATTTGTTTGAGAGCTGCACTTGAATTGCCCTAGAGATTTTGCCACCCCTGGCCGTATTATTTTTTTAACTAAAAGCTTTTTATTTTTTATTTTACCAGGTAAGGCCCACTGAGCAACACAGCTCTTTTTCAGAAGCAACCTGGCCACAAATGATAGCTCAACGAAGTGGCTTACCACGTGGACATTTATAGCAGCCAAGTACTCAAAACGCATGTTGACTCTGAAATGTGGATGGGAAAAACTGGATGAACCGGAGAAAAATCCACGCGGCCACGGGGATAGAGACATGCAAACTCCACATATACAGGCGTCAGGGTCGGGATCGAACCCAACGACCTGTCTACCAGGCGAGGTAGTTAATATCTCGCCACCGTGGCACCCCAATTCAAATTGTTGTCAGTGATGGTGGTGGCTGTGGGGGTACTGGTGAGCCACAATAGATTCGTGCCGTATTCTGTCATGTGCTCTGTGTATGTTTTCCCCTGCGTATTTAATTGTCACCTCTGTAAAACCTTTCCTCCTGATGATAATGATGTAAACTGCCATTATAAATTCCATTTACATTTTTATCGTGGTTTGTGGTGTTGCACCATAGTACATTTCACCGGTTGAACTTTCAAAAGGGGGGGGGGGGGGGACTAACTTTTGAAGCTACCATTGTATACTCGTCACACACCAGACCTCCACCGTGTACACCAGCGATGTCCATCGCACTTCCTTTTGTAATACGGATGTTTTCTACTCGGCAACAGAGCGGCGCATGATGTGTTTAAATTGCGTGCGGACAGGCTCCTCGACACACACACAGTTTGTGATAAACTGAGCAGAGCAGTTGCTGCTGCTAGAGTTGGTCCGTCCGAACTTAAGTAATCGATTACGAATTACTAGTTCGATTCCTGCACTCGTCAGTAACACAAAAATAGTTGGGAGCGGGTTTGGGAAACGGTCTCGCTTCTGTTCCCGTGTGCGTCCTGGCTGGACGAGAACCGTTTAGCGCGATCGGTGGTGGCATCATTTTCCGCGTCACTCTAGGCGAAGCTTCTTGGAGGGGGAGCCCCACCTTAAGAAGGCAGGACTTGTTGGGGCGGCGCCGACATTTTTTAAAGGGGCTTGAAGTTAATCGACCACGAAAAACAGTAGTCTGTTACATTTCCCGTCCATTAATCGACAGCATCGTCCCAGCCCGACCTCTCAAAAGCAGCCACGCCATCAGCGCCTGGCACCCCACTCTCATGCGAGCGGCGATGCGTCGCAGCCTCTCCACGGTTTCCTTGGGTCACTTGCTGCCCGCGGAGCTCCCGGGGTGTAACCACTGGGATTCACAAGTGAAGATCGATCGATTTAATCGGCCATGCTGCTTTTCCCCCCCCTCCCTCCCTCCCGTGCGAACTTGGGGATAGACGTCATGGGACCTCCCCTGGCAGTATCAAAATATAATAATAGGTACTCTTTGGGTCTTTCGGTAAAGTCACGTAGTTAGAAATAAATAAAAACATCACGACGTTTCGATTGCAACACAAGCAATCTTCATTAGGTGGGACAACCACAGCAAGAAAAAATTGCTGTGGTTGTCCCACCTGATGAAGGTCGCTTGTGTTGCAATCAAAACGTCGTGATTTGTTTTATTTTATTTCTAATTACGTGACTTTACCGAAAGGACCAAAGAGTATGGATTCCTGCAGTCACGAAAGCTTCAAATAATAATAATAGGTTTTACCCTTTCTGGCAATAAAACAGTTGTGTTAAGATGTTAAAACACCAAACAGAAACCGTTCGCAAGGAATCATGCCTTGCATTAACCACATATACTTGCGGTGTACATGCAAACAACAAACATGCTCTGGTAGTATATGATGCATTGTCTTTGAAACTGATTGGTCCACACCATAGACAGCTTTCTTTCGAGCCTAGTAGTCTCAAACAGTGACACGATTCCTTGCAAAAGGTTTCAGTTTGGTGTTTTAACATCTTAATACAACTGTTTTTATTGCCAGGAAAGGTAAAACTTATTCTTATATATTAAGGAAGGACGCTGGGTCGCCTCCAGCGTGGGGCTTGAAGCAACGACAAGCGACTCCACTTTTAATTTCGTGGGGACATAGTCTTGCGTCTGCACGGTGGGCCCTTCCTACTTTGTGAATACCTCTTTCACCCTTTGAGGCAGAAATGTCCTGATGTGTTGTACACCCCCTTGAGGTCGGCGACCAGTGCGGGGAGGCCGAAAGCCAAGACACGGGATGTTGTCAAGAGTGGACTGTGTGGGGCGGAGTGTCAACCGCGCAGCAGCGTTGGAATCTAGATGCTGAAGCCACAGTGACGTGTGGTGCCAATTGATCTCATGTGGTGTCACAAAATAATATGGGTGTTTGTTTGTGTAGAGCTCGTGTTTAGATTATCACAGGAAGTACCAGCTGGAAGGAGGGACCTAAATGTGAATGTGCCAATATGCAGATTTATCAATTTATAGATACCCCACTAATTTCTAATGATGCACTATTTCACAACAGCCGATTGCATATGGTGATAGCGATGGCTCCTTATCTTACATAGTGAATATTCAAAGGTTTAATCAATGTCTCGAGTTTGGCGGGAGACGTGCAGAGGCTTTGTAATAAAATGCTTTCTCCAGTTTATATCATTTTAGTGGGGAATCTATAAATGAATCACCCTGTGAAATTTCGTACGAAAAGTTAAATGTTTATAAATGATTCGTGCAAGTTTTTAAATCTGTCGATTACACTATTACAGTATCGTGTTTATTTGAAAAATCATTGCTTACTGTGTCCTGTATTTAAATAAATGTGAATGCTTTACTCAACAACTGTTGAAACGTTTTGGCGGTGATTTGCAGCGTGCCGATTGAAATAATATTTTTCACGGAGCATTACGGGTAGGTCATTTCATTTCCACTGTGGTTATGTCCATTCCGTATAATTACAAATTTTCGTGCAAAAAATAGCCTTTGATAAATCTTAACTGTGTAGTGGGTCCAAGCCGACGGAGACGGTTCGTTAGAGGCAACACGTTTATTACAAACTAGGGAACATAACGCAGAGGGGCAATGGCCCCTCACACCCGATATCCTAAGGAGGTAGCCCCTCTCCGGACTAACGTGCCCTTACTCTGGTTACAGCGATAACCCTACACTGGTTATATCTGAACCCGATCCTAGCTCGGGGTCCGGGTTCTGCCCACTGGGCTCCTCGCTTCAGGTCTTCAGGGTAGCTCTTCGGGTCTTCAGGTGGACGAGGACTGCCGGACCCGTTTAAGGGTGCGGCTTTTATACCCGTTCCAGGGTCTCTCCGCCCCTAGCCACGCCTCCTTTCTGGAACTCTCTAGGGGGCCCTGGAATATCCCCCAGCCCCCCTCTTGGGGTCTGGGGACCCGAGTGGCCCAAGGGCCCGGCTCATCCTACCTAGCCAGTCTACCACCCCCTGTTGACAAATGTCCGCTACTACAGGTAAGGATGAATGGGAATATACACAAATGCCTACACCATGCTACTACCACTGCACCTACGTTAATAATGCATGGGATTCGCAGACATTTGGTTGAATTGCTTTTATTAAGTGCAACTTGGCATGCTTTGGCGTGGATCAAAAACATGAACAGTGACAAAGAAAATAGAACAAGCTGAAAGTGAGAAGCACGGAGAAGCGCACGCATAGAATTACACGGAGGCAGAAAGAGGTGCGCATGGATTAGGGAGCCAAGGCTACAGTCTACATTATAGACTGCCTGTACACTCACTCCGATTAAGAACCAGGCTACAGTCTACATGAACGGTTTTGTTTATTTTTATTATTTTATACCTACGGGACTTTACCGAAAGAACCACAGAATAGCATATGCCAAGTTAGACACACCATGCTGAATGTTAAAAATACTGTGTGCTTGGGCATGATACATTGCTTTTAGGAATGATGGGCGGTGGTCAAAGGTTACCGTCAAGATTGGCAGCCATAGGGAAGATGGAGCGATTAAATTAGCTTGCGGGCAGCAACTACTGTACGTTGATGCATCATGGGACATTTTACATCTGGAAGCCTTAATCCAGCAGTGGATGGATCATGGCTGATGATGAAGGCGTCTTGCTCACGCCAGTCGGTGGGCATGTAACGACGCATCAATACTTTATTCTTGAGCTCACAATACACACTGTGAAGTTGTGTGAAAATATATATATTTTTTAAATGAATATACAGTCTGTTCTCCTATTACGCGATGTTCATGAATGATGTCGGGTTAAGCTCAGTCTGCGGTAACACGTGAGATGCGTAAGCAGGTCGAAGACTGAGGCACGTGGGTAGCATCTAGAAGCATCCATCCCGCCGTGTGATGCTATGCCGAGCAGCCGTACGACCGCTTATTCCTACTCGCGCGACCTCGTTCCGTTCACTCAAATCGCGTTATATTAAATTCGTGTCATGAAAACACGCAGCGTTATATAACAGACTGTACACTTTATGAAATAATGGGAATCAATGTAATAAGTGTTGAGCTCACTGCACCATGAACCACAGATACCGCTCGACCATTCATGGTCGAGCGGTATCTGAACTTGGCCTGGTATCCCCCTTCACTGACCCAAACTAACCTGTGTGTGAAGTATGGTCAAATAACCTCCCATGACCCACAGTGTGGGGAGGCCGTCATCCAACAGCGGATTCTGTGCAATTTAACGCACTACAAAATCTTGTTTCATTTCCTGTAAAATACTCCGCGGGGTTCCACAAATGAATAAAGGTGAACGAAAATCCATTATTTTTTCCATTTATTTGAAGGCAGAAAATCTGTGAATAACAATTTTTTTTAGGAACAAATCTAAAACTCTGCATGCAAGAGAAGTGACGGTTATTCACATGGAGGTCGAGTGAAAAAGCAAATAGTGGCCGTAAAACAAGCGAGTGGAGATCTCACGACCTGGCTTGAAACGGCGTTTGTGTGAATGTGCGTTTAACTTATTTTGCAGCCTTACGTAGCCAACTGTGCTCACGTGTTGTCCACAACAAGACAACGGGGAATTTAACGCAACATCAAGACACGGTGCGAGATTTCACAAAAGACGCTTTGAAAGTTTAATTCATCCAAGCTCTCTTCTCCGTATTTTCACTCTCCTCTTTCACATCCACAATTTTTTTTTAAATTAACGTACAGACAAAGAACACAAAACAAATCGCCTCGCCCGAATTAATTCCCAGATTACAACACGCCGTGAACACATTTTCAGACGTGCATTGAGTAACCACACGTGATCAACGAAGACGGCCATAAACCCCACACACACACACGACAAACATTTCCCTTCATCCTCTTCCCAAATGTGAATCCACAATAGATCATCAGTATTCGCCGATGGTAAAATCAGCTTGTGGTAAAAAATCAGCAAAATAGTTTCGGTTCAAAGACTGCGGGGCGTTGTGCGTCGAGATGCACGTAACGCTATGCCATGGCGGCGCTTCTCACAACCCCCAAACACCGTGCGGACCCGCCACTTTTCGATGCCGCGATAATTTCCGCAGGGGGCAAATGGCAGTGAGAGAGTGATAGGGTGTGAGAGTGAGAGGGTGACGACATGTGCAAGTGTGAGGCTGTGCGAGTGTGTGACGGAATATGTGAACCGGTCCTGGGCCTCCCCTAGGTGGACTCAGCCACACTAGACGGTGGTCACCTTCTCCACCACCATGCCCTGCAGTGGAGGTGTTTGTCACACGGCAATTAAAAAGGAAAACAATTCAGTCGTCACGTGTGGATTATTGAAAGGAAACCCAAACCAACTTTGGTACAATGTCATTTTAGGAGTCAAAAGAAAGCCCCCAAAAATATTTTCGAAGTGTTTTGTTGAATTTCAAAGCGGTCACCACGGCTGATACGATACACGAGAGGGTTAAAAATTAACAACCAAACTTAATATGGTTGTTTAATTGTGCAGTCACTGGTGACCAGGCAGAAATGATCAACTCGCCACATTTGAGAACCTGGTTTACTTAACAATCATGGGGGTGGCTGCCCAGATTTGAACCCAGGGACCTCGACAGTGCTGGCTCGATACTCCGACACGATATTCGATCACGAGCCACTCGGTCACTTGCACTCATTTTAATTGTGCACTGCTTTAAGCGTAGCCAAATCGCGAATACAATCTACATTTCCCGAATGATGCCTTGACAACAAGGTGGATTCAAACGGTGCCAAAGGATGCGCGCTGTCGCAGTCCGTTTCAAAATCACGGTGCAAACACGAGAGGCCACAGTTTTGTGCGACCTTTAGCGGCGTAGTTCCTGAGCTCGTACACACGCGGCGGGGGGGGGGGCGCTGCCAACAACAGCAAAAAACTTACAAGCGAACAAAAAGTTGAAAAGGGGCGCTGCTGGTGAGGTGTCTGAGTCAGGGTTCAGTCGGGTCAGTGCCAGGTGCCAGCACTGGCAACTGACGTATCTGCTAGAATTTAGTTTTTTAATGGTTATTTAGGCTGCATCGTTGACTACGCTGTGGGGCGGTGCTAGTACAAGCATGCCCTGCCTTAACAAAAACAGTGCCACAGGCAAACAGATCATGTAGAGAGCACCGAGAAAATGTACCGATAACCCTGTCATTAACTTTAATTTGTTAACTGTGACGTGCGATCACCCGTTATAGACATATATAAATGCTCTGTAATTCACCTGTTACACTGGGTCGAAAGCATTGTTCTCTGTATACGGTGCTTAGAACAAAAAAATATCTTGGCGACCCTCGCAGTGCTATGTCGTGGTGGCATGCATACTCATATCATAAACTGTCTGCTCTACATCCCCATTGTGACGTGTGTGTGTGCGCCCCCCCTTCTCACTTTTTAGCCACTTTACACAGTATGTCCTTGAAATAAACGTGGGCATATATAAATATTGACCCGTATATAGCGGGGAATTTTTGGGGAACTCCAAATGAAATATTTTCAATCGCTCTCTCTCCCAGAGCTCAAAAATGTAGTAGCTTGTTGTTCAGCGCGTGTCTCTATGCGGCGAGGGGGGGGGGGGATATCAGGGAGTCCCAGTTTAGCACTGCACAGTCACTACTGTAAGCATTATGTCGTGCGTTCCGAAATCTGCCAGTTGATTTTCTGCGGTTGATTCCAGCAATATCAATAATATTACAAACTGTAAATGGTCCAACCTGGATATATTGCGGGTTTTTAAACTCCTCGTTACACGTGACAACTTGATTTGTTTCGCTCTGTCGGGTGGCTGGAGAGTTACGTGGTAACAACCAAAATGGCCAGATTATTACGTGGCTTAACTCAAACATCTACAATGAATCGTCTGAGTTTTGTTGAGAGGACAAATCGACTGGCGCACCCCGGGCCCCTGAATTAGCCCGGTGGTATTTAAAGGACACACTGTAGTGCTGGCATTTGCAGCGCCTCTCCAGAGCGGAACACGGGCAAAAATGTGAGCGCGCAAACATTTCTCACACATCACACGGCTGCACACGGAGCTCAATAAAGGCACATGGTTAACAACTGTTTGCGTACAACTCACCTGTCTGCTTTCACAATAGTCAACGCTTCCGTCAGCAGCCAACGTTATCCGTAGTTTCCAAATTTGCATTGATAAGATGTTAAATGTTTTGACTGATTTATTGCTAAAACTGGCATTTTTAAGATATAAAACAAGTTTCCTTCCTTAAAAATAGTTTATATATAAACAACGCTTTTGTTCAACGTTGAGAAATGTTTCAAAAATACGAATAGAGCTCTTCCGTAAATTGTTGCGATCTTTTTGCGAACGCATTTTCCACTATTCCTGTAAAAACTGACAAAGGTTCAACTTTGCATTTCCCTCCATAAGAAATTTGCCCAATTTAAAACATGCGACGACTTTAAAAACTGTGCTCGAAACATTACTCGTGGACGGGGAAAATTACAGAAGTTAAATAATCGTTTTATTGTAAACAATACTTGACATTTTTGGTGCAAATAACCCAAATATCGAATCGTCATTTAAGCTCCGTTTGGCGATTTGCTCTAAAACTTCGTAGAAATTAGCATCCGATCTGAGTGATTATTTGGGTCTACAGAATTAATTGTACGTTTTTTTTCAAGAAAACTTATTCAAACGTATTCACCAGTCCCATAAAAATCACCATCGGCTCTAAGAATGATGCTAACGTACAGCAGACACATGGCCTAATTTGGGTTCATATAAAGGAAAGCAAGAAAAAAATTAACTTCCAGCTGCAAATCACCGTGTCTGAGGTAAAACATTCGGCCAGTGTGAAAAGCCTCTGTATTAAAATGTTGGGCCAGCTTTCCAAGTCAACGCAGTCATACTCCAATTTAGGTGCAATTGCATTTCTACTGCATTGGGAGGCTATGCATTTGGCGGATAGCGCGGGGCAGTGCAGTAAAATCCATCGTCGCACTGTCCTGTGCCCTCAACATCTATGCCTCTAACCTTCATCCCACGCTGACCAGCATCGTGAAGTATGGTCAAATAATCCCCTCCCCCCCCCCCCCCGTGACCGAAGTGGTGTGGGGGAGGCTTTCAGCCAGCAGTGGGGACAAGGGAGCTGTGAATTAAATGAAATTAGTGCAGTAAAATCTGAACCGAATCTGCACCGCTCAAGACCAGACGCGGCCACCAGCTATTTGAGTAGAAAGCCCGGCAGCATGCGACCGTGGAAAAAACCCTGACTAGACCGTGGCCCACATCGTGAACCATTGTGAACCTCGGGTCAAATTCAGCGGAGGGGTGTTGAAGACATCATCCGTTCAAGCTTCCCATTGAGTCTCTGCTTTGGCGATCACTCACGAGTTGCTGTATGCAAGAACATTTGTGCAGTGAAATGAAAATGCATCCGTCAGCGAGCGGACATGGAACAAAAGTGCCATGCAGGAAGTGATGGAATGAAAACTGATGAAATGGAACCCCCAAGACCCTATCTTAGTGACCCGCATTGCAAAGACACTTGGTGGTATAAAAACGACAATAAATTGTGCTACTGCTTTATGAGTGGCCGGTTAATAATTAACAGAGAAAGGGCAATGAAGCAAATATAAATACCCAAGAACATGATGGACCTTGTCTCATGATTCCATCAAGACTCAGCGGAAACGTTCAACTTGGTTCATTTGCTGCTCACAGGGGCTTCTGCCTGTCACTGAAAAAAAATGAACTGATAACATTTAAAGCTATCACATTAATTTGCCTATGGCCAACTCACCCAGACTGTGCCCGATCTCGTCAAACCTAAGAAGCTAAGCAGAGTCGATGAGCCTGGATAGTGCTTGGACGGGCAACCACCGTTCACTGCAGTTTGTTACAGGCTGTGGTGTTACATGGAGGGCAGTGCAGAAAATCCACTGTTGCTAAGCTCCTGCAGCTGCTCCCCACCTTCACTAACCAGCACTGTCTGCAGAGGACATAGAGAGGCCCTCATCTAGCAGTGGACTGACTCAATTCTGTACAAGTAAATGTTAATTGATTTCAATTGTCCACAACTGCCAATTCAGTTAATCCAGCTCCTCTAATGTTTTTTTTCTTTCTCTAGGTATATGAACATACTGGACTGCGAGTCATTTTAAAAGGCTTTGCTCACATTCATTTAGGAAGGGCTGGCTTGCGTGACTCGGCTGTTATGCGTGGGCTTAACACAAGACAAATTTGACCTTCACAAGTTAGACACAGTGTGCCAGGTTTTGTCATCTTCTCAAAAACGGTTAAAACGCATCGCCTTGACAATTCATCCCATGGGTATTGATGGAGACATAAAATGGACATAAAAGCCATTCCTTAAAGTGCAATTTGAGCTCTAATTTTAATAAATATCACCAACCACACATTTGAAATCCTAAACATCATAACTTTGGACGACAAAAAAACAGCCAATTTTGTCAGCTATGTAAGTGCTCTTGTGTAATGGATTATTTATTTATAAGGTTTTTTTTACCCAGGAAAGCATCACTGAGTATCGGGTTTCACTTCCAGGAATTATGCCGAATTTTCACAGTAGGGGGTATGTTGCTATGTGTAATCCCAGTTAAGTAATTTGCAGGTCATTTTTGGTTTGTTATTTATCATTGCCATGTTTGCTCAATTCCAGTTGTTTATGCATGTTTATTTTAGCTATGGGAGGAAACTCATGCCAAACAGGGGGAGAACATACAAACTGCACAGAGTAAGGAATTGAACCTCGGTCGTGAGGCACAAGTGTTACCACTGCACCACCATGCTGCCCCAAATCAACCACGTACCACATACATGCCAAAGCATGTACACATAATTTGTCTAAACCACCATTAGCATCAAAACTAAGTCAGATATTGAACAGTTTGGCCCAGATGATTGCCGATTCAGCTTTCCTGTTATGAGACTAAGCTCACAAGTGTGAACTTAGTAAATGTGGCTTTCATAGTGACTTGCCCATGTACTGTATCTATCCAGGTCAGAAGCAATGAGACTTAGAAACAAGTTTTTCGAGTAATTGGCTGTGAAAATGTTCCACACGAGAAGCCATTTTGTTGACCTGTGGCCAGGTCCCTTCTGAAAAAGAGCTCTATAGCTCAATAGGCCTTACCCGGTAAATAATAAACATGCAATTTAAAAATAAAATAGTGTATGAGATGCATTCTCAGATATATGTATGTTGAACTTCTTTCGCACCATACGTGCTAATCAGATGTGCGTTGGAGACTGTGATAAGCATTGCGATGTAGTGATAGTTCTTCATGACACGGTACAACACGGTACAATGACCGACGCACGTACAGACAATACCATGGTCCCAAAATTGCACTTGAGACGGCAAGCGAATTAAACATGCCATCGATTGAGCATGAAACACTTCATGCCAAGGGTCCACAGTAATGTCACATCACACACACACACGAACCTCATTGCCAATCACTGTTCTCAACAATTACAAATGTTCATTGCTACAGTGCGGACGCCACACTACAATGCTGTTAAAACGGTCGAGATTGTAAAACCATGAATGAAAAGAAGACACTGCAAAGGATAAAATAGATCAGAAGGGTTAAAATAAAAGTTAGAACTAATTAAGGATGATGAGGAAGACGATTACTGATGATGAAGGTGTAATCGCTCAGCTGAGCCACTTGCTGATGTAGCGGTCGAAGACGGTGCGATTTGAATGCCAGGAGGTGTGCGTCACCCCTGGTACCTCGTACACCGTCAGCCCGCCTCGCTCATCCAGAGTCCGCAACCCAAACATGTCCCGCTGGTACACCTGCACAGAGTGCGCGGAGTAGGGGAGCGGTGAGCTATTGAGTTAGTGCGTAAATGAGTAGATGAGCCGGTTAGTGCGTTGATTGAGTGCAGAGAAGAGTGGGAGAGTGTGTGCAATTAAATGAGCGAGTTGGTGTTTGAATTGGTGTGTTTTGACTACACGAGTGAGTGCACGACTAGGTGAATCATTTGGGAAGTAGAATCGTGGGCGAGTGGATAACTGAATGGGTCGGTAGTGGTTGAGTGAGTGGGTGATTGAATAAGCGAGTGAGTGGGTGATTGTATGTATGCTGAACTTCTTTTACACCGTACGCAGCCAACCTTGCTAATCGGAGGTGCGGCAATGGGTGAGTGCTGAGTGGGTGAGTGCTGCGAGAAATCCTGCAGTCTAAAGTGTTCTGGGCATCATGAGAGAAAACATTTACAGTAAATTGCGCAGGGACACGCAAAAGACTCATGAAGGCATGACACACGAATGTGGGTGCTGAGTGGAGGTACTCTGATACATTTTGACAACTCTGTCCCCGAAAGTCTCCACCGAGTATGAAGACTTTATTTTAGGTGGGTAATGTGCTTAGGGGCTATGACCAACTCACCGGTAATGCACTCAATCTCATCAGATATCGGAAGCTAAGCTGAGCTGAGTGTGAATAGATGGTACTTGGATGGGCGTCCACCATCCATAAAACAAACGTTCTAGGCTGCTCCCGGGCTACGGCATAGAAGAGGGCAGTGCAACAAAACCCATTAATATACTGTATTGACCGGTATGGTGGCGTCAAATAACCCCCCACGTGCCTTACGCAACAAATAGGCACTCATCCAACAGTGGAATGAGAAATGGAATGTATATTTGAGATCCTTGGCCAATTCCCCTGCTGAAAATGATTGCGCATTTAATGGAAAACGAGAGTGCCAGGAGTAAAGCCACGCATACGTGGGGATAACAGAAAACACCCACGTCGATGCAGAGTCGCCACTGGTCAGTAAACACCCACGTCGATGCAGAGTCGCCACTGGTCAGTAAACACCCACGTCGATGCAGAGTCGCCGCTAGCCAGTAAACACCCACGTCGATGCAGAGTCGCCGCTAGCCAGTAAACACCCACGTCGATGCAGAGTCGCCGCTAGCCAGTAAACACCCACGTCAATGCAGAGTCGTCACTAGTCAGTAAACACCCACGTCGATGCAGAGTCGCCACTGGTCAGTAAACACCCACGTCGATGCAGAGTCGCCGCTAGCCAGTAAACACCCACGTCGATGCAGAGTCGTCACTAGCCAGTTAACACCCACGTCGATGCAGAGTCGCCGCTAGTCAGTAAACACCCACGTCGATGCAGAGTCGCCGCTAGCCAGTAAACACCCACGTCGATGCAGAGTCGCCGCTAGCCAGTAAACACCCACGTCGATGCAGAGTCGCCGCTAGCCAGTAAACACCCACGTCGATGCAGAGTCGTCACTAGCCAGTTAACACCCACGTCGATGCAGAGTCGCCGCTAGTCAGTAAACACCCACGTCGATGCAGAGTCGCCGCTAGCCAGTAAACACCCACGTCGATGCAGAGTCGCCGCTAGCCAGTAAACACCCACGTCGATGCAGAGTCGCCGCTAGCCAGTAAACACCCACGTCGATGCAGAGTCGCCGCTAGCCAGTAAACACCCACGTCGATGCAGAGTCGTCACTAGCCAGTAAACACCCACGTCGATGCAGAGTCGTCACTAGCCAGTAAACACCCACGTCGATGCAGAGTCGTCACTAGCCAGTAAACACCCACGTCGATGCAGAGTCGTCACTAGCCAGTAAACACCCCTGTCGATGCAGAGTCGTCACTAGCCAGTAAACACCCACGTCGATGCAGAGTCGTCACTAGCCAGTAAACACCCACGTCGATGCAGAGTCGTCACTAGTCAGTAAACACCCATGTCGATGCAGAGTCGTCACTAGTCAGTAAACACCCACGTCGATACAGAGTCGCCGCTAGCCAGTAAACACCCACGTCAATGCAGAGTCGCCGCTAGTCAGTTAACACCCACGTCGATGCAGAGTCGTCACTAGCCAGTAAACACCCACGTCGATGCAGAGTCGTCACTAGTCAGTAAACACCCATGTCGATGCAGAGTCGTCACTAGTCAGTAAACACCCACGTCGATACAGAGTCGCCGCTAGCCAGTAAACACCCACGTCAATGCAGAGTCGCCGCTAGTCAGTTAACACCCACGTCGATGCAGAGTCGTCACTAGCCAGTAAACACCCACGTCGATGCAGAGTCGCCACTGGTCAGTAAACACCCACGTCGATGCAGAGTCGCCGCTAGCCAGTAAACACCCACGTCGATGCAGAGTCGCCGCTAGCCAGTAAACACCCACGTCGATGCAGAGTCGCCACTGGTCAAGCGCACATCAATTTAACGGTTTTCTCTGAGAGGACCGGGCAGACATTAAACTTTGTGGCTGGGGAGAGAGAGAGAGAGTGTGAAGTTTACTGAGACAAAGCCTGGCTGCTCACACAAACCTCCTGGTCCTTCATTTCTTGCACCGTTTCATTGCCATCATAGAAGCCAAAGTGACTGGAACACAAAAATGAACACATTTAGTTTGCACAATGACAAAAGGCTTGAAAAAAGGTTTTCCCATTTTTTCTGGCAACAAAACAGTTATTAAGATGTTAAAACACCAAACTGAAACCTTTTACAAGGAATCATGTGTGCATGAACCACAACACTTGTGGTCAGAATGCAAACAAAAAACACACTCTGAGAGCATATGCATTGTCTTTGAAAGTGATTGGTCCACACCAGAGACAGCTTTCTTTGGAGCCTCGTCTCAAAAGGTCTTAGACCAGAGGACGCCAAAAGGCGTACAGCACAAAAGTATTCGCAGACTGTTGGGGCAAGTGCTGCTAGCTAGCACCTATGAAGGCCGGCACGGCACACAAAGGGGGTGGCCAGCACCATGCCCGACCGCCTTTGTCTCCCCAGTGGTGATGTTTACACAGCACACCAGGTACTCATTTGAGGCTGAGTTGACCTCGGGGAGGCCCAGGACCAGTTCAGATAATCGTCACTGGTATTGGCCGTGAGTGGGAATCAAACTCGGGTCGCCAGGTTTGTAGTGCAGCGCTCCCCATTGGACAATGACATACACACATGGCCTACAAGGCAAGCTGCCCACCACAATCAGCATTCCGCAGTGGAAAACCAGAGCAAAATGCAATGGAGCAAAGTCCATTGCTGTTTTGGACTTCTATGCCCCTGCACCTTTGTTCCACGCCTTCATAAGCCCGCGCTGACCAGCCGTGGTCAAATACGGTCAAGTTAACCGCCACAACCGGTACATGGCGTGGGCAGGCCCTCATCCACCAGCGGATTTAAAACAAACAAAAAACTGTCCACATACTTGCGCGCAAATACAAGAGCTGCGTGTGGAGATTGTCTTTTTGCTAATTTTGAACGAGCGCGGCAGACGCAGCACTGCTCCTACCTGGACTGCCAGGGCGTGATAACACCGTCGTCCGGTCCGCCGATCAGCACCAAGCGGTTGATGCGCAGAAAGTTTTTTTTCCATTCTGCACAAGGAACGGAGAGGAGATGACGAGACACGGCCGAGGCAAGGGCTGATGCTCTGGCCGGAAAGTCTGTATTGTCGCGTTCATATACGAATGCAACTGCTCAAATTTTCACTCATTTGTTGGGTCTCTTGTTTCATTGTTTAGCTGTGTTTGGGCTTTCACCTTTATGGTCACATGCAAGGCATTCGGTGACTAAATAATAAATTACTCGGCAAGTAATGATTTACCCACTCATGATTCACGAATCGTCACAATCCAAGGTCAACATTAATATCAAGAATACATTTTGCCGACTCATTTCAGTTGTCTGTCTCATATGTCCCTGTTTTGTCCCTCCTTCATTTGTACCACAAGCCAAAATGTAACATTCGCATCAACATTTCATTAATCAAAAAGTCTATTCTAATGTGCATGTCTCGATGTACGAACTGATTATAACTGAAGAGCTGTTCCATGCCTACTAGGAGCACATCTACGAGAGCACCAGTCTCGAGGTGGAGCAAAACAAGTGGGGAATCATGGGTCAAGGAGCATAAACCATCATCAGGCGAACTCCGGTCATCCTCACAACAGCGGCTTTTGGCAAACCATCAAAGACGGTCACTGCATCGCGCATTCAGATGCGCTTCTGCGGTCGTCTGGAACGCCCTTCCGATATTAGGAAGTCACCGGAGCTGTGTACTTTGAAATCCTATAGATTAAAAGCTAATTTCTTTAGAATCACTTTTTGTTGTGTATAGTTTGTTGTCATTTACCCGCACCTTTGATGAGCACGGTTGCCAAAATACGGTGTGAAAGAAGTTCAAGCATACAATACGTATAAAACGGTGGGGTAAGTCACGTGGCAGGGGCGGTAACTTAGTGCCTCCCTCTAAAGTCTAAGGCGTACCGGCAGCACTTGCGTGCTCCCTCTCGTTGTTGAGAAAAGACAGGAACTGGCTGTTGTTGAGATACTCCCCCAGGTGGTGTGGATCTGCACGCGAGCACACGTGACATCCGTCGTGAACGCTCGCGCCAACAACAACAACCCCCCCTCACCGCTGTGAGACCCCAGTGACCCATCCTGCTGCCGTTGCCAGCTGGGCCTGGCTTGTTGGAATTTTCATATCAATGTTCGCCACTTCAAAGAGGGGCCCTCATAATGATTTACCACTCATCAAAATATAAAAAAACACACGGTTATAAAGTTCAGCAGACGCAAAGTAAGGGGAAGCTCGATGTATGATGCTAAAGCAAAAAAACGTCATAGGATTGAGCCTCTGAACAGCATCGAATTGGAACTGATTTGTATGGGATTCATGTCCTAGTATGAAATGTAAAAAACCGTAAGGTCATTATAATACGATATAATTCACGTTGAAAAGCCCGAGTCTCAGGTTTTTCGAGACGTTTAGCCGATTCCTTTTTAAAAGAACGTTATGTGCGTGAAGAGGAAACCAGGGTACCTGACAATACTACTCAAAGATTCATACAGATGGATTCAGAAACTAATTTGCTGCTGGGAGGTGGCCAGGAGATCAGTTTTTTGGCAACCTCCCAACCCTGTGGGCTTTTGGGAGTTTCACAAATCTACGCGATCCACAACCTATGGTCTCGGAAGAACTGGATAACAGGCATGCACGACCATAGCCATGGGACCCTTCATACAGGGCACGCTCGCATTAGCATAAGCTAAATTGATTCAACTCCTAACACGTGAAGGACACATCCTCATGTGGCATGGTTAGTTACCACATAAAACGTCCCTCAAAAATAGTCGAGACTAAACATGGGGCAGCAGGCAACGGAGGGAATGTGTCAGCGGACATCCGTGGAGATGGAGAGATGAAATCGGCGTGTTCGCAGGTGCAAATTGGATTCTTGCATTATAGGATATGGTGATGGCTTGGGGAGCATTATAGAGTACAACAGTGTCACCTCAAAACACTGAACTAATTCAGAGGTGGAGTGCCCTGGTATAGCCATATGTTAAACAAAACCCCATTATTTCCATGAAGACAAAATCGAGCCCATTTACAAATTGTATTTAATTTTAACTTAACAATTCATATTACATTAAAACACAAGTATATAATAAGAATGGTCAAAGTAACTTAAAAAAAATATGATGGGAACCGAATTGGTCTGCAGGTAGTTTCAATTTATTGTGTAGTCTTCTTTGGTTCTTTCGGTAAAGTCACGTAGAATGAGAATAAAATAATAAAATAAAATAAGACAATAAAATTCTCACGACGTTTCGGCCACAACACAAGCAGCCTTCATCAGGTGAAAGAACAGAACAGAACTTCATCAGGTGCAATAACTGTTCTGTTCTTTCACCTGATGAAGGCTGCTTGTGTTGTGGCCGAAACGTCGTGAGAATTTTATTGTCTTATTTTATTTTATTATTCTCAATCTACGTGACTTTACCGAAAGAACCAAAGAAGATGAATCCTTGCAGTCACGAAAGCTTTAAATAAAAATTATTGTGTAGTGTTAGGGACTTCCTACTCCGTGTTGTTTCTATGGTTAATTAAAGGGGGGGGGGGGAAACGTCACGGAAACCCCCAAAACTCACAAACCAATTCTGCAACGCACAATCCACCACTACCATAGTTTCTGTGCATTAGTGAACTGGGACTGCACTGGAGCATGACCTCTCTGCAGAGAATTACACTAAAAACTAAACTTTTTATTTTACCGGTTAAGGCCCACCGAGCAACACAGCTCTTTATTCAGAAGAGACCTGGCCACGAATGACAGCTCAGTGGCTTATCATGTGGTAGTGTATAGCAGCCAAATACGCTAAACGCATGTTTCTAAATGTGGAGGGGAAAACAGGAGTACCCAAAGAAAAATCCACACGGCCACGGAGAAAGAGACACGCAAACTCCAAATATAAACAGGCGTCGGTGTCGAGGTCGCACCCACTACTTCCCGTATACTAGGTGAGGGAGATAACATCTCACCACCGTGGCGCCCCACGGAGATAAGGCAATGTAGACACGGCTAACAACAAGCGGGCGCGCTGCTGGGCACGCCGCTCAAATGTTAAGTTTCCGGAGTGCAAGTTTCAAATTCCTTTTTGAAACATTCAACAAATTGAGCAGTTCCCCAGAAACCCCCATTGTACGCGGAACATTGTAATACCAGTCCCATGTTATTCGAGGGCTCTCTGTACATTATGTCCATGTGCCCTCCCACGCCACACCTTTCCAGTAGTTGCAGATGGAGACGTCCTGGCCCAGCTCCGTGTAGCAGAAGTGGAAGAGTGTGGACTTGACGTACTTCGGGAAGAGCCACCACAGGTAGTTGGTGTCTGGCCAGGAGAGTGAGCAGGCAGAGAACACCACATCGCGATTAGCCACTGGTGTCACTTGCACTGCACGGGATAAAACAGCGGGCAATAAGTGGTGACGGCGGTTTGTAAAAGGTGCTGATATGCACCAAAAAACTAATTTTACGTCCAAAATAACATTATCTTTCTTAAAATTTGCAAGCACACGAGAGATGGCGGCGATTTGGCTGATGACGATAATGATGAATCCTATTCAATTTCATTTAATGCAAAAATTATGTTCTAATTCCTTTAACGTGCATTTTATACTACATCATGTGTTATAGTGCAATTAACATACATGATATACTACGTGATAGTATGCTAGTTAATTTTATATCAGATTGCATAGGTTGTTTGCTAAATCGGCAGCAAACTGCTTATTTTAAGAGACACAGAGTAAATGACACATTTGTTGGCTTCACACCAATTCTAAAATCTAAAACTATTTTTTATTTGACCAGGTAAGGCCCACTGAGCTATCGAGCTCTTTTTTCTAAGCGACTTGGCCACAAATGACAGCTCAACGAGAAGTGGGTTTTCGCATGGAAATGTACAGCAGCCAAATACTCTAAATTCTACACAGGTGAGCAACAAATACTTTATAGCCTAATATAATCGTACATAAAATGCAAAGCAAAAAGCAGACAGCCCTTATCTTGTCGCTACATACCCAGGCTGTTTAATACAAGTGTAGTGTAATAGCGCCGGCTGGTGCCCAGCAGCGGCAACTGTGGTGGACAGACAGTACACATGCCGGTGAGGGCGTGCACGGGGTGTTGGCAGAGCGGAGGAACTGGGGAAAGGGTCACGGAGGACCCCATCTGGAGGCCCCTGGAACCTGCTAGCGGGTTCGTTAAGGGAGGCGCGGTCAGGGCGGAGCCAGGCCGCGCTGGGAGCATAAAAGGAGCCGAGAGCGGGGGGCTCGAGGCTGCCGGTTCTGGGAGTGGAATCGTCTCGTCGTTGCTGTCGTCTCGTCGCCGTCGTCGCTAAATGTCTCCGCTAGACGTTGCGCTACGAAGGATAGTAGCTGGCTATCTTAGTCAGCGCCGTCAGTGTTAGACGGCTAGTGTTGTGTGCAGGCGGGGCTAAGATACTGTGGAGAGTATGTGGACGAGACCGTGGAAGTTGTTAATAAAGAAGGCGACTCCTATAAACTCTGTCTCTGAATCGATGACACTACACAAGTTTAAAGGTCCATTACTCAGCATACAAGAATTTCGTTTTTCATCAAGTGTGTTATTACAGCACTCAAACAATATCATCCATTATATTTTAAGGTCAATGGAGTGTGCTGTCACTCGTGTTGCCGAAAGACAATTTAAAGTATTTATCTCTCTTTGACGAAGCTTAAAACTCATGTTGGATCACCCAGGAACACATGAAGTAGGTAGATATATGAACTGAGACAACCGATGACAAAATACCTGAAATGCACCTTCTTTTGTCAGATCTCAGAAGCTAAGCAAGATAGATGGGTGACCATCAATCAGAACAGGTGCTTGAGGCTGTGGGGTTGTAGGCAGCATAGGGCGGGCCACGGCCGCAAAATCCTTAACTGTACTGCATTTATATTCTTGGTTCTTTTGGTAAAGTCACGTAGAAGGAAAACAATAAAATAATAAAAATATAAAACAATCAAATTCTCACGACGTTTCGACTGCAACAGAAGCAATCATTACCAGGTGTGAAAACCACAGCAAGAACATTTTTAAAAAGTGGCGTTTTTTTTTACGTTAGCACCACGGAGAGCGATTTGGCAGTTATTCAGATGGACGAGTCCATCTATGTTCGGAAAAGAGGAGGGGGGAGACGAAAATAATGGATACGGTCTGAAAGCCACCGTAAGCGTGAACAATCAATTAAGACCCGAAATGGTTTATCAAATCCTTCCAATGATTGCTAAGCCAGAATCCATCTTCTCGGCTGAAATTGTCTGTTTGTATATGTGGATAGCCTCATGAACGAATCTCTCATGGTAGCCAGATGGCTTGCAGAGAACCTCTGTCTTAGAGAAGTCAATGTACTGCACTTGTATGCTCCCCACTGAGCAAAGGTTGCATATCAGTTAAACTAACTGTCGTTTTTTTCCTGCACTTAAGTATTCCTGCACAATAGATTTGTTTATATGTTTCTGGTCTCCTTTATAAGAGGCCCCCTTGTTCTGGGTGGGCTTTCACCTGATTATAAATAAACTTAATGTGTGTATATGTGCAGATGGTGTTATTCAATATGCTTGGGTTTGTATTTCCTGTTCTGTTTTGTTTAAGCTTAACAGATGTGCAGGCTTTCAAGGAATGCTGTTTTATATTCTGCCCACTGCTAAAGGGCTGTTAACAAGAGCCTGGGGGTGTGTGAACTTCCTTATAGGCAAAGCTTAAATAAATATTTCTATCTTACACTAACCAAGATAGCCTTTTGTTAGGTGCCATAGAAGCAAAGTTAAATCAAATTGTTTAACTTTTTATTGAAATAAACATGCCATTTTCATAAAGGTGTGCACAACGCATAACACAAATGAAGGTCATCTTGATAACAATCTTATGTTTTATATATATTTTATTATTTTATTGTTTCCCTTCAACGTGACTTTACCGAAAGAGCTAAGAATATGAATTACTGCAGTCACGAAAGCTTTAAATAAAAATTCAAACTGGACAAGTTATGTATGTCATATGTGATCTAATCAGTAATGTGTTTGCTTGAAATATTATACACTTCCTTGTTGCAAATGTGGCGAGATGAAAAGTACAGTTCTGTCAACATTCCCATCAAGGTCAGAAATTTGTTTAAATTAATTGGGGGGAGCGTGTCTTGGTAAAAAGACAATTACAGTAAAACCTTGTGGATTGCGAGTAACTTGGTCTGCGAGTGTTTTGCAAGACTAGCATATTTTTTTAATAAATATAAATTTGATAAACGAGCGAGGTTTTAGCAATACGAGTAGTACGTACACACGCTTTGTCTGCCGAGCGTCACGTGATCACAACTGATATACCAGTGCTTTGGATTACAAACATGTTTCCGGAACGAATTATGCTCGCAAACCAAGGTTTTACTGTATCTGCAAAAATCTAATTTTCCAGACAGTAGGGTTTTTGTTGTCAGTAGTGTGTGATATATAAGTGGAGGAAAACATGTAATAGATAATTTAATGGTTATACCAATGAGTATGGCAATGATTATGTTAATTATTATCTTAATGATTATGCTAATTATTGTGTTAATGAAAACATGTGAATGATTACGTTCATTTGCTTGTCTTCTCTGGGGAGATGATGCCAACAAAACTATTAAAATATTTTTTTTCTACAATGATGGGTTGTTCATAAATATCGAACCTCCTCCTTCCTGGCATTCCCCCACTTTTGTGGATTCAGCCTTCCGGCTCCTCATCCCCATCCTTGGCCATCATCTCCATGTCCACTCCACATTCCTTTACTTCATGTCCTGGTTACCTACACAGAACCACCTCTTTCTAGGCCTGCCTCTCAAGTCTACCCTTGGTGCTTCCATGTTCATCGCCTTTCTCCCAGAGTGGTTTTCATTACATATAAACGAAACAAATATATGTGGGTTATCATGGTTTTTTTTTCTCCTAAAAACACCCCTCTATTGTAGGACACAAAACACGGGCTCACATATACAAAGATCCCCCATATTACCTTGAACAGACTGTTGGGGCAAGTGCTGTTAGCGAGCACCTATGAAGACCAGAACGGCAAATGATGGGGTGGGTGGCCATGACCACGCCCGGCCGCCTTTGTATTCCTAGTGGCGATGCTTACACATCGCACTAGGTACTCATTTCAGGCTGAGTCGACTTAGGGGAGGCCTATGACTGGTTCAGATAATCGTCGCTGGTGTTGGCCGCGAGTGAGAATCGAACTTGGGATGCCGGGTTCGGAGTACATCTCACTAACAGCTACACTACCGCTCCTCACATACAAAGACACACACACGTCGGTAAGCAACGACTCTGTAGTTAGTCCGAACAAGTCACGTCTCTGTACCTCCGTACTGCCCGGCTTGCGGCGAGGAGAGGGAGATGAAGGTGTCCACGTTATGGTTCGGCATTATGGACAGCACCCCTCGGCACACCAACCCCCCTGCCGAGAAAACCCACCATCGGTTGGTCCACACGAACGCACGAGGTTGCACACACCCGATTCTCGTTCACATTAGAAAGGACCATGGTGATTGCTGCTGATGATGATGAAAATAATAAGGCTGATGACAACTTGATGATGCTGCGAGCGGAGAAATTGTTATTTTGTGCCATCTTTTGGCTTTGAGCAGTGCCAAATTTAACACTTGTGTGTGTATGAACATTTTTCGCACTGTACGTAGCCAACCGTGCTTAATCAGAGCCTGATCGCAAAGGCCACTGGTCACATATACAGGATGGATTAGAAATATGGGTAGAATTACAAGGGAAGCGGAACAAGAGCTGAAGAGTGAGCATTAGGGCAGTATCGAGAGATGCAATTCTTGGAAATACACTGGGACAGACAGAGGAACATATGGATAATTACGTAGCAAAGCAATTTAAAGACATATTGACTGTCAACTAACAAACAAGTGTGCTGGGGCAAGACGCATTGTGTATGTATGTTGAATTTCTTTAGCACCACGTACGTTGCCAACCATGCTAATCGGAGGTGTGGGGGAAGGACAACAAACGAAATACAACAATCAGTAAAAAAATGTTTTCAATCTAGATTTTAAAAGTGCATAGCTCCAGTGGGTTCCTAATAACAATTATCTACATGGACTGTAACAATTATGGTTACAGTCCATGTAGATAAGTTGGCTACGTACGGTGCGAAAGAAATTCAGCATACATACAATTCCAAAACATGTTTCTTTGTTTTGTTTGTGCTGTATCATTTATACAGTATGTACTATTTGCCTCATTTGTACTCTCCATCTCATCTTTATCACTTCTTCTGTCTCGTCTAAGCCATGCCTCGTATTGTTTGTATTTTCTTTCTCTTTTGTTCCATAAACCTGAGGCGAAATGCCCAGAAACTGTGCATAAATCGTATATAAATAAATAAACATTCAAACACGATTCAATGCCTGTATTGTGAGCATGAATATCTACATTAAATCAATGAACTGTCACAAGCCTGTACACTATGAATCATTGCACGCCTCTAAATAAATAAATAACTGTAGCTGAACGCACACCTCAAGAGACACAACTTGAGCCGCCGTCCTTTATGTTTAGAAAGTGCTTCCAACACCTACACATCACAAACCCTGTCCCGAGTGTTTTGATAATGACCAAAGCCTAAAGTCGGAGCCAAACGAAACATGACTGACGCAACATGGAGGCCAAATGAAATTGACACTTTAAATAGACAGGCTGAAATATTTGCGGATGGTGGTTGGGTGTTTACTGACATGGAAAGGCCACTGAGTTTAGCAAACACTGTCACCAGAAACCCGAACCCAGACTGTCAAATTGCTCAAAGTCGAGTCAAAGTGTTTATCTACTCCAACTAATGAGAAGCGAAGACCCTTCCGTAAATGGCCTTGAGCAATAACGGAAAGTCCACATTCCCATGGCAGTCTCTCCAGAGGACAACTGTTGTTTACTTCCCAACAAAGCGGAACTTAACTTGCCAACTATGACTGAAAATATCATTTAAATCCTCCCGACTGCGAGTTTAAGGTGAAACAACAATGCCACCCCAATAGATGGCAACGTTATTTACTTGGGTTTCGAACCACAGTATTATCAATGCATTTACCCATGAAAGATATACCGAGTCTCCCAAGACTCTTTTTGTGAAATATATTGTTTTGCGCTGTTTGATTAAATCACAATTCAGCATTGTTTTTAAGTTGGATAAAATCAGATAATTTTATGGCAAACCCAGAATGGCTTTAAAAACTCAACTCACAGTAAAGAATTGCAGCGTGATGAAGTATGGCCAAAAATACCCCAGGACCAGTACGGCATTAAGAGTCACTGACGACACAATTGAATTACATAAGGGATGCATATGTACATTAATGTGATCGTGCATACAAACAGTTATAGATTAATTAAAACACTGGGGTGCCAGGCAGTAACCTGCCAGGGCCCAAGGCACTTGCAAAGCTGTCTTAGACGCAGGACGGCCGGAGGCCACCGTGTGCCCGTGTGTGTGTGTGCGCGAATGTGTTGCTCTTGTGTGTGTGCGTGATGGCGACGAACCCTGGGAATAGCAGATGATGTGCACGCCGTCAGGAGCCTCTTGCATAATGGGACCCATCATGGCTCCAAAGCCCTTCACCTGGCTCCACAGGGGCTTGAGGCTGTCCATGTTGTTGAACAGGCTGAACACCGTTACGTTGGTGCCCGGGTGGGCCTGAAGAGAGAGCAAACGGGTACAGCGTGAGAACTCCGGCATCCTCCACTCCTTCACAATTTCACCTTCGCTTCTAGTTTTGATGTTCATATTTGTGTTATTGATGATTTGTGTTGACTGGCATGATTTCGAAATGAGACTTACGTTTCAAGCCAAGACAGCTTTGGCGAGTAAGACCATGTTTCATGATGCCTGAATGGGTTTTTTCTTCTTCTTATGAAAGAAAGTTTAACGTTGTTTTTCTAGGGATGCTGCCAAGCTCTAATAGTTCTGGCGGCAGCAGTTGAGACATTCGTCAAGTTTTATAAATCCACACTTCTCTGTCCACCCAGCAGTATAATCGAGTGCACCACGTGAAAATCAATCAGCGGGTCGCACGTGCTTGTGTAAAGTGTGCAAGGCTGCACCTTGACATTTTTTGTAACTTTTACTGCTGCTGTACCAAAACTATGTTCGGTTACAAAGGTTTTCTCAAAGGTGCAAACATATTCTCATGAAAATGTATCCAAACGCCTCAAGGTAGAACCTTCCTGAGAGAACTGGGATTCAGTGAGGGGAAGTGTTTTTAAAAAAGGGACACCACTAATACCTTCAGCTACTGCTAGCTACTACCACTCCCCTACCACTCAGCTACTGCTAGCTACTACCACTCCCCTACCACTCAGCTACTGCTAGCTACTACCACTCCCCTACCACTCAGCTACTGCTAGCTACTACCACTCCTCTACCACTCAGCTAGTGCTAGCTACTACCACTCCCCTACCACTCAGCTACTGATAGCTACTACCACTCCCCTACCAATCAGCTACTGCTAGCTACTACCACTCCCCTACCACTCAGCACATGCTAGCTACTACCACTCCCCTACCACTCAGCACATGCTAGCTACTACCACTCCCCTACCACTCAGCTACTGCTAGCTACTACCACTCCCCTACCACTCAGCTACTGCTAGCTACTACCACTCCCCTACCACTCAGCACATGCTAGCTACTACCACTCCCCTACCACTCAGCTACTGCTAGCTACTACCACTCCCCTACCACTCAGCACATGCTAGCTACTACCACTCCCCTACCACTCAGCACATGCTAGCTACTACCACTCCCCTACCACTCAGCACATGCTAGCTACTACCACTCCCCTACCACTCAGCACATGCTAGCTACTACCACTCCCCTACCACTCAGCTACTGCTAGCTACTACCACTCCCCTACCACTCAGCTACTGCTAGCTACTACCACTCCCCTACCACTCAGCTACTGCTAGCTACTACCACTCCCCTACCACTCAGCACATGCTAGCTACTACCACTCCCCTACCACTCAGCACATGCTAGCTACTACCACTCCCAAGTATGGCCAGGCTATCCACGCGAGACAGGACACAACCGATCCCACAAATGGCAAAGATGGTAGGATGATAGCGGCTTGGAGAAGGCCTTTACATCCAACATTTATAACCTCATTCACCTCACTGATTACATCTATTTCTAGAGTCGACTGACAGAGGGCTGTAAATGTCTTAAATACGTTTTATTGTATTGTATAAAAAACAGGAAATGTATTAACACAGTGCATACTGTATAATATACATTATACACTCATCAGTATGAATGATCAATAAACTTCAAAAATATATTAACAGTGTAGAGTACATATATCATGATAATATGGTTTTCCACTTTTTTCTGGCAACAAAACAGGTGTTAAAACACCAAACTGAAACCTTTTACAAGGAATAATGTCTGCATTAACCACAACACTTGTGGTCAGAATGCAAATAAAAAAAGACAATATATGCATTGTCCTTGAAACTGATTGGTCCACACCAGAGACAGCTTTCTTTTGAGCCTCGTCTCAAACGGTGCATTCTGACCACAAGTGTTGTGGTTAATGCAGACATGATTCCTTGTAAAAGGTTTCAGTTTGGCGTTGTAACATCTTAACAATTGTTTTGTTGCCAGAAAAAAAGGGGAAAAACCCTATTATCGTATTTTGGTACTGTCAAAGGAAGTCCCATGATACATATATCGTATTTAGCACATACTGTATTACACCACCACTACACTATACCCCATTAAACCAATCAATACTCTACGGCCGAGTCCTTAAATAGGCGGCTTGCTGGCCAAATATTACCAGCAAAGGCTTTTAGGGGTGACCCACGGGGAGATATGGCTCGCCAGTACATTAAGAGATACAGATCAGCAAGATGAGAGAGAGCACTAAACGGTAGAGGTGAATGTGTGGGAGCTGCAGACAAGAGAAAACATTGAGGTGAAAAAGAGATCAAAAACAAGAGATGAAAAAGTGCCACAGGCAACAACAATAAGAATAATTATGCACTTAAAATAGCGCCTTTCACAAAAATGCTCGAGGCAACGAGCGTGTGAAAAGGAAATAATCGATAAAGAACCACCGGGTGAGCAAAACAAGGAGCCAAAAAGTAACAAAACGAATGATAAAAACAGACACTTTTTCTTCACGAGATTTAAATGCCGTCACCAAGTATTCCAAAGCCTCATCGTACAGGTCACTTGGTCACATGTACAGGATGGATCAGAAATATGGGTAGCAGTACAAGGGAAAGCGGAACAAGAGCTGAAGCGTGAGCAACAGGGCAGCATCAAGAGATGGACAGTAATTCTTGGAATTACACTGGGACAGACGGAGGTACATATTAAGCAACAAAAGCAATTTAGAGACGTATTCGCTGTCAACAAACAAGTGGGCTGGAGCGGGACGCGTCATATACGTATTAAATAGCCTCTTTCGCACCGTACGTAGCCAGCCGTGCTAAATCGGAGGTGTGGTCATTGGCAGCAGCAGGGACCATGATGATCGGTGGTCGAGACTAACCACAGAGTGGCAGCCAAAGGAGAGAAACGAGCCCGAGAAGAGGTCGTCCAAGGCTGTAGTAGAGGGATGAGACTACCAGCTCCTGTGTTGTGGCTAGATGGGTCGCGTGACATTGTGTGTGTGTATGTTGAACTTCTTTCGCACCGTAAGTAGCCAACCGTGCTAAATCGGAGGTGCGGAGGAAGGACAACAAACTATACTCTTTGGTTCTTGCTGTGGTTGTCCCACCTTCTTTTCTAGATTTGAAGCTTTCGTGATTGCAAGGATCCATACTCTTTGGTTCTATTCGGTAAAGTCACGTAGGTGGTCCCTTCACCTGATGAAGGCCACTTGTGTTGTGGCCGAAACGTCGTGATTTTTGTTTATTTTTTACCTACGTGACTTTACCGAATAGAACCAAAGAGTATGTTGTCCCACCTGATGACGGACGCTTGTGTTGTGCCCAAAACGTCGTGATTTAATTTTATTTTCTACCTACATGACTTTACCGAAAGAACCAAAGAGTATGGATCCCTGCAGTCACGAAAACTTCAAATCGAGATGGACAACAAACTAATCACAAAAAAGCAGTTCTAAAGATATGAGTTTGTCACTTTAGATGATTTAAAGTGCACATTTGCAGCGGCTTCCTAATATCGGAAGAGCGTTCCAGAAGGCCGCAGAAGAGCATCTGAAAGCGCGCGATGCAATGAGGCCATCTGTGTTCGATGGTTCTCTAAAAGCCGCTGCTGCAGCGGAGATGAGCGGAGTTTTCGTGACGGTGGTTTATGATCCTTGACGAGGATCATAAACCATCTTCACCAAGCGGTGCATAGATCGTGGCTGATGATGATCGACAAGCACAATCGCCACTGCACTTTAGTCCAATCAGCCGATGTTAGTGGCCTTACGGACCAATATTATCCCGCAGCAGTGGCAGCATTGGTTTCAGCAAGCCAAACTCTAGGCCCAGTTTCGACCGTCTGGGTCTCAATCAGCAGTCGCGCTTGCTAAACAAATATGCTAAGGGGCCGTCCATAAATGACGTCACGCACCTGGGGGGGAGGGGTCAGACATTTGTGACAATGTGTGATGAGAGGGGGGAGGGGGAGAAATTCGACATCACGTCAAAATGCGCAACTTTAAATAAATATAGACAACACGTTCTACTTAATTAAATAGACTTTTTAGAGTTTTCTCCTACAACATCAGAGTGCTGCGCCACATTAAATACGCACTACAATGACAACAATAGTTTAAAGCGATTTGAAGCATGTTTTTTGTGGGGGGGTCTGACTTTTTGTGACGCCGTGTGACGAGGGGGGGGGGGGTCAAAAATCGTCCAAAATCGCGTGACGTCATTTATGGACGCGCCCCCCCCCCCCCAACGACATGTTCGACGTTTAAATTCAGTGACGAGAAGTCTTAATTCGCCGGTCAGTAGGGAGCAGCTTTATCGGTTGGAATTTCCCCAAGCACAGATTGTCACGCACGACGAAAATCACGCAGACATTACCTGTGGACCCCTTATCAGTGGCTACCTTATACTGGTAGGCACGAAGTTGTGAACTGAGTGTACCAGCCTGCAATAGATTAATGTGTCCGTCCGTCCGTCCCCTTTCAATACTTTAACGAAGTGAAAAATTCCAATGTTCCTACCAGCCCACCCTGCAGGGACCTGTTTAGACACCAATGCTGACCTCATTGATCAGCCCGCCGCGACACTTATACACCTCAACGCTCGTCCTACAAAGTCCCATCACAAGCGAGACACACAGACAAAATATATATTGTTCGTTCTTTCGGTAAAGTCACGTAGAAGGGAAACAATACAATAATAAAAATATAAAATAGGCAAAATACATTGTTTGTGCCACGTATTGAAACGCCTGCACGCCGTATGGACCTGAAAAACTTAATTTCCCTGTACAAGAATACGGAGTTAAACCGTATGGGTTTGACAGCTATGCATTTATAAATACATGTTTTGTTTAGATTTAAAGCTTTCGTGACTGCAGGGATTCATATTCTTGGTTCTTTCGGTAGTCACCACCACGTAGAAGGGAAACAAATATAAAATAATAAAAACTATAAAACAATAAAATTATTATTCTTGGTTCTTTCGGTAAAGTCACCACCACGTAGAAGGGAAACGATAAAATAAAAATATAAAACAATACAATTCTCACGACGTTCAACACAAGCAATCATCATCAGGTGTGAAAACCACAACAGGAAAATTTGAAGAAATGTTTTCCTTTGTGATCATCGTCACAGTCGCGTCGGGTGGCGGAGGGCTACCCCGACAAAGTCGAATTGGGGGTCAGCCGAAGCGGGACAACGCAACGAGAGTACACAAAACAACAACGCAATCACACTGCACACAACAAACTCTCTATCTCTCTCGTTCACAACAACAACAACCACAACAACCACCGCCACCGCCACTGGCGCTTCGCCGCTCGCCTGCTCAATGTAGCCGCGCAGCGCCTGCAGGTGATCGGGGTCGTCGAAGAGACCGTGCACGATGAGCACGGGCTTGGAGGCTTCGACTGTCGCCAGCGGCATCATCAGCGTGAGGAGCAGCGTGAGGAGCCCCCGCGAAGCCCGGAGGGCCCCGAGTCGCTGAGCCATCGCCGCCGCCGCCGCCTCGCGTCTCCAACGCAGGGTATGAGGGTAGAGGGGGGGATCGATCCTCTTTAAATCGAGATTGACGTATGCGACGCGAGCAATTACTTCTGGAATCGATTCCGTCGGTCCCCGCGGTTGTACACGTTGAGAGCGTAAACAAGGGGAATCGATTCGTGTCTCGAAGTGTGTAGGCGTAATCTGGAATCGATTGGTATTTTTGAGAATTTTGCTTGGCAGTGTATAGTGTGGATTGTAACAGAATCTAACGTTTAACTCTTTGGAGGGACACACATTGCATTGTTTCTGTGTAAAGATCGTTTTCTCTGGGGTTTATGTCGTAGGAATCGCTTAAGGGTCGCGCTGAATACCGATTGCAAGCTTGTAAATTTTGGATAAAATCGTCTCTAGATGTTACGGGTCGTGGTGGAGAAACAAGCGCGATTTTAAATCCCAACTTGCTATATCCGTTGGCGTGAATGCAAATAAAACGCATTGGCTTTGCAGGATGACTGCGTGCTTACATTAAATTAAGCCGTGAGACCCGAGGGACACGCGCCTATTAATGAATATATCATACAAATTCACGATATTGCCGTTTGCGTTGGCCAGGGCACCACAGTTTGTACGCAGTGCTTTGGGCAAGAACAAATACAAATGGTACTGTGTAGGAACCTCCTGGTTACTACACCAGCAGCAGCAGCACAGGGGATTGTTGTTGTGTGCGTCCGGCGTGCATCCAAAGATGGGTGGGGAGGGGCTGGGTGGGGAGGGGCTGGTCACCCCGTGGTGCCCTTATAAAACTCAACGTTTAACCTACTCACGCCGGCTTGTGCCCGCCCTCACAGTCGGGCATATTGTGCTGAATACACCACCACGTGGTGCCGCCGTGTGACCCTGGCCATTGACCGAGCAACCCGACGTTCCTACCAGCTCCCTCTGCAGGAATGTGTTTAACCCAACAACAGCATTTGTTTAACAAGCTCCATTCTGTCGGCGAGGCTACTGCGAGGTCCACTTTCTGCCCTAACTCCTCCCCCTACTGGCGAAGCCTACACTATATAACCTCGTGCCACGGTAGATCTTGTTGTGGTTGTCCCACCTGATGACGATTGCTTGTGTTGCGATCGAAACGTCGGTTGTTAAGATGTTCATACACCAAATATATACCTTTTGCAATGAATCGAGTCTGCATTAACCACACGTACTCGTGGGGAATATGCAAACATCATATGCAGTTTTGAAAAGGATTGGCATACGCCAGGTGTGATTGTGACCATGATATTTCCACCCATCATCCCTTCCGTGTCACATACATGTCAACCCCTTATCAGTGCCTACCTTATGCCAGAACAATTCAGACCTTATTGGTCACTCTGTACCCTTATGAATCTCAACGTTAATCCTCCATTCCCATCAGAAGGGAGACAAAAATAGACGAAACAATTTTTCCCGAATTGAAACGGCTGTACGCTGTATGGACCTGAAAACTAAATTTCTCTGTACAAGAATACGGGCTAAACCGTATTGTTTGAGAGCTATGGTGTCACCTGTCGAGAAAGCATCGTTTGTCTGACGATCTTATTTATAGAAAGTACTAGGATTAGTTTATCTTCTTTGGTTCTTTCGGTAAAGTCACGTAGAATGAGAATAAAATAATAAATTGATAAAATAAAATAACACAATAATATTCTCACGACGTTTCGGCCACAACACAAGCGGCCTTCATCAGGTGAAGGGACGAGACCAGGACAGGCCACTTGTGTTGTGGCCGAAACGTCGTGAGAATATTATTGTGTTATTTTATCAATTTATTATTTTATTCTCATTCTACGTGACTTTACCGAAAGAACCAAAGAAGATGAATCATTGCAGTCACGAAAGCTTTAAATCGAAATTTAGGATTAGTTTGTTAAAAGTTGGCACACAAAAACATCAATCAAAACCCAGGAGAAAGTATTTTTGTCAAATGCATTTATTAAACAGGAAACATCCTAAAATGTATTTTAACCAATTAATGAAATATCAGATCAGAAATGTGTTTCTGTCAAAGAGCTGACACTATCCAGAGCATTTGTTTTGTCATGCCTATCAAAATCTGTGGACATACTACCTCAACCAACACTTAACATTATACTGCCATTGCTTAATAATGGAAAAGTTCAGCAAACGTAACATTAAAATAACATTGGAATTAGATTCCAGAGGAATATTCATGCCCAATAATGAACGTGCAAGTCCACAGATTTCTTAGGCATTTAAAAGGTCTTTGAAAAATCCCAAATTAAAGACTAAATAAGTACCGTATCTTGAAAAGCCACATTGGGATTTAAATTTGTAATTCCATGTATCCACAATCCATCGTGGCCGTCGGTTTGAATAAATCGAGGGTCACGGATTTAATCGACCACTGCAAAATAATATTAACAGCATCGAAATAATCGCAAATTCAAATTGGAGCACTTTAATCCAAATAAATGAAAGGCCCCATATACCGGTTAGGGTTCAACATTTATTTAAAACACGTGGATTGTTCTCTCGACCAAGTCATAGCTTATTGCACGTCGATTCTTTCCGCAGATTACAAACAACATTAATATCCCTCCATCATAAGGTTCAAGAAAGCTAAAATACTTTAATCCTGCCTGCTACTACAACAACGCCCGTGATAATATTCTCTACAGTATATTAATCTTTGAAATCGAGACGTATAAAGTTGTCTAGATTTTTTTTTAAAGATGTGAGCCGGTTCGTACTCCCAGCCAGTCCAGTATAAGACAAGAGAAACACAATCGAAGATTACCAATCACAACATAGGGGTAGGTTAACAGGAAAGTTTGAAAAGCGATCGGTCAGAAAGCCCTCATTTAATGCAAAGCATCCCCATGACAGTACAAGCACGTATAAAAATATGCCTGCAAGCGACGCATTCATCTAGCAGACACGGTCTGCACAATGGGACCTTCAGCAGCGCTGCCAACTCCTTAAAACGGAAAATCAACAAAAAAAATTGAACCTCCGTCATGAGATGTCGCCAAACAGGCCCTTTAAAGTCATCAGAACGTCTCACGAGATTATTCACAGAGTACTACACACAGTAAACGGATACAGGATTGTTAATACACACTTGGGATCGCTTCTGCATATGCAAAATATTGTATGTGGGTAAAGTTGCTAGATTTGTCGTTCGTCCCTTAGACAAAATTTGACACAAGGGAAACCCGAAAATAAGTCGCTACATCTTAGGGACAACATCGCTAAGTTGGCAACCACTGCTCTTCAGCGGGTTCGATGAGCATGCGTAACTTCGGGTCTCAGTCACAGGCTTGCCAATATTGTTTCTATTTGGTGTCACTTCGTACATTTGTTTTTTGGTGTAAAAAATAATTGTGTATATTTTTGTTTGTATTAAGCGTGTGGTAAAGTGAAAGGGGACTGTGCAGCAAGATCCATTGGTTGTACCGAAATTATATTCCCCCACATGCTCCCCACCACCTTTCATCGCCAACCCACACTGACCAGTGTGAAGTAGAGTCAAATAATTATTACAAACAGCGCAGCATGGGGAGAGGCCCTAAATCCAGCAGTGGCTTGACAAATTGGCCGTACAAAATGCATATCCTCAAATATGAAACGTGTCGATAACACAGCTTAACACACAATAAGTGTTAAACTACCAGTGCTTTATAAAACGGACTAAGTACAATTTTAGTAAGACAATGGTAGTTAATGAATCAATCATGAAGTGCTCCAAATGATCAAACTAGACGCAATTATTTAGGTTGCGATGCGTTTTCGGGTTGTATCCAGAACGGTTTCGGAATTATGTCCGACGTTTTACTTGGGGTGTTGGGGAGCTTCTTTAGAGCAAAACTTCGGACATCGTGCTGAAAAAGTTGTGCCGATTCTAAAATACACGATATGTATACAAAAATGCAAACAAATCTATGCAGTAGGCATTACCAGGATAATTTCTTGACTTCTGTAAAATCGTTCCTTACACAACATGAACATTCGTGGAGATCACAAGAAATGTAGCCTTCGGAGCCTTGGGCCCAGTTACAATGACTTGGGATTCTGAACACGAGCTGAAGAAACCGAAATAAAACTTCACCTAAATGTTATGCACATTCCTCTTTGGGTCTTTCGGTAAAGTCGCGTAGATAGAAAAATAATAGATCACAACGTTTCGATCGCAACACAGGCAACCGAAGACCCAAAGAGTATGAATTCCTGCAGTCACGAAAGCTTTAAAGCAAGAGTTATGAACATTACTTAAGTCATCGGAATTCAGTAAACAAGGAGCCATTATCTTCAGATTATTCGCCCATGCCATTTGCTAAAAAAAACAGCAAACTGTTTGGGCAATCAGCATTGGCAAACGGTTTGCATTGGGAAAATCAGCATCGTGACATTTATTCACCCAGGAAAGCGTAACCGAGCCATATTTCTTTTGAACGAGGGTCCTGATAAATGTTGCCGCGGTCTGATGTTGCTTATGTGATTTCCACATCGCGCAATTTAGGGCAATTTTTCCAAATTTGGCAACGCCGCTGTAGTGCCCGTGCGAGGTGCAGTGCAACGCGTGAGGGATATTACCACACTTCCTGGAATTCCCCCACTCTTTTTACATGAATTGTACACGAGAGATGTTTGGACAGTGGCTCCAAATTGAAGTTAAGGCACTGCCACATGATGACATTTAGGAGAGAAATAATACAATATCAATTTTAAACTTATCAAGCCTAATAACAGGACAGACGGGTGCAACTAAATCACCATTTCCACTCTCAATGCTCATATACAAATATATTAAATACTCTAAATTATATCATGGGTAGCCATTAAAGTGGTTTTGTCACCTACACCTCTGCTCTACACTGCACGGACCGGGGAAAAGGCTCAGCTTGTAAAAGTAATATAAAAAGAGCGCTACATTTACAGCTATTAATGTGATGTTATAAATAGGGCTTTCAGTGCCAATAGATGGAATGGCACAAACATTATTAAAATATGGTTTCTATATTTCTTTACCACATAACGCACTGTTCTGCGGATTAAAACCCCAATTCAGAAGGATCCTGTATAAATCACAACAGTGTTTATATTCGCCATCACGTGAAGCAAACGATTTTCACCACAGACGTCACTTATGCTCAGACGGCCTAAGCACAGCTCAATGGAGAACCAATGCTTCCCTTAGAGCAGTGCTGTCACTTCCAGCTGAGATTAAGGTGAAGATTTTATGTTTGTCTCGTTAAAAAAATTCCATTCAATTTTTTTTTTTTAAACTCAAGGCTGGCTTGAAGATAGGCAACACAGCTGTCAGATGGCAGTGAGAAAGTTGCTAGCTTCTGCTGGGGTGATTTTGAACGTGTCTAAAGAGTTCGTGTATTGGGCGTATTCGGTGATAATGTACGCAAATAGATTCCTCGTGAAGAATCATTGTTGCTGCCGCATCCATTAAAATAGATTTCTATTTTTGCGTACGATTGTCTAAATGTGGCTCGTGTGAGTGTGACCCCACCATGCGAGATGAGCAGCGACCCTCTGAGCAATTGCGTCGAATGGGGAAAAAAATATCCCTCCAAAAAGCACATCCATCCCTTATAAATTATTCAACTGCAACCAAATATAACGCAATTAAATCAAACAAACAAAAAAGTCGAAACGGGGAAATAAATATAGAAACCAAAATAAAAACTTAAAACCCAACTTATAATGCATTTGTCGTGACATGTGAAGCGCACACAATGGAATGTGTGCCGCTGCGTTGCGTGTTCGGTGAAATTCTTCACGAGCCGCCGTGGTCTCGAAGAATAGACGGTTGTACTTCCTTCCCGCGGTAACAACCAAAAGACTGCTCGCAGGGCATCGCATTTGTCAAATGTAAGCCACCGAGAACAGTCGTGAGGACAAATACCCAACACAAAACACATAAAAGAGGAATGTGTAAAATGCCATGTTGTCTCTGGGGCCATTCGACCAGGTGTTTCCATCATTATAAACGCCCCCAACCATAGGACAATGTGCATTTCTGTTTAAATGAATCACTTATTCGATTCTTTTGTCAGACAAACTTCTCAAAATATACCACAACAGTTTAACTGCAATTGTTACCCCCCGTGTCTCGTGATGGTGAATGCTTGCTACTTCTCAGCCAGGCGATTGCAAATCAATCGAATCCACAGCGCCTCTTTTCTAACGTAAACAAAATAAAATCACAAGACACCTCACCTTTATTCCCAAGACCAATTTCCTCTTTATTTTTTTCTTTAAGAGCAAATGAAGCACTTAAACCGTGACCACCACTCTGTGCTGTTACAGCACAGGTGGGGTATGGATTACATCATTCACAGTCAACATTCAGACTCTAACCTGGTAAATAAATTCCATCAATATCCATCAACCTTTTGGCGTGCGGTGCGTGTATGTGCGGGCTGTTTATATATTTATTAAAATTCTTTACAGACACTGAGAAGATTCTTGGTAGGAGAAATTCGCCACCATTTCGCAGTGCCCGGCGTGAAGGTCGCAAGGCTCAGATCACTTCATGGCCGGGTACTTGCGCGCTCCCAACCGACCCCCTCTCTGGCCACCGGCTGGCATCCCCGTGGGCTGAGGAGACAAAAGCAACGCGTCGATGTCATTCAAAGGTGAAAAACAACAGGGTTACGTAGTCGTAACTAGGAAGGTAGGACCGGGGTTCGATTCCCGACGAGAGTGCCTTTGCTGTAGAGTTTGTACGCTCTCCACCTCATCTGCATGCATTTGCTTTTTTAGGTTCTGCAGTATCCTCCCATAGCTAAAAAGAGTTCCAGAAATGTTACCTGAAACTACAAAAAACATAAAATGCAGGTTGGGCTAGAAGGAGACAGGAGTCCATCCACAGGCAATCACAGTTTGGATAGATGAATATCTGAACCCTATGGCGATACCCCGGGGTCCCATAAGCCTCCGGCTCTCGCATAAACTGCGTTGCTACGATACGGCAATCTATTCCTCTCGACGAGCTCTACACGATGCGCTAATCAAAGTTTTGTTTATGACTACGGCAATTTTGGCAACGCCGAGTGCTTGGTGAAGAACGAGAGGATTGATTTCTGGTGGGTCGCGGCGTTTATGTGCGCGGTGGGACGGAGTCGCCAAAAACAAATTAATTACGATTTTGACTTCCCACCATGAGGTTCAATTAAACAAATGCAATGTGATGATAGATTGTAAAAAAATGTGACTGTTGCAAAACAGAAGGCACGAACTGCTGCTGTTCTTGCACAATTTGTTGTGTAAGATCAGAGGAGCGTTGCGCAACGTGTGGGACCTTTGCCCCATCTGGCTTCGGCAAAATGCCGACGTGTGTTTTCTGCATACTCAGCATGAACCACGATCATCTCTGCTTCTATTAAAATGTAAACAGTGTAAAGTGCATGCCAGATTACTAGCATTTTACATTTCACGGGTACATCAAACCCATACTTCATTGCCTTACGTTGCCTTTACAAAATCACCTCCCCCGTTTCATTGCCACGAGGCACATTTCCCCCCCCCCCCATTCTCCTGTGGAGTCTGGAGATGCACTTGCATTGAGACGCTATATGCATCCAAACTCTACGTGGTGCAGACAAAAATGAGGGACCTTAGAAATGCAGAGTAAATTATAACAGATGCTCAAAATGTCCATCGTTGCTTGGACACACGTCTCACTCACAAATTCACAAACAGGATGCTCCAACAATCCTTTGACATATCCACAGCGACCTTACCTTACCGCGCTCGTATTTGTGCCTTCAGTTCTTCAATGACTCCGGGATGATTGGCCATAAACGACTGATCTCAAATGCCCCCACAGAACAAAAGCCAAGGGGTGCGAGGTTGCGGTTAACCCGAGTGGCCATTCAATGGGACTTCAATGGGTCAATTTTCAGTTCATTTCTTCTCTGTGCATACCAGACAACAGTATATTCTGAGCTGTGGTTCATGACTTTTGCTGCACCCTGTCCTGCATTGAGCCTCACCTGTGTGAATTGCGTGGGGTTGAAGAAGGGCACAAACCCTGCAGCAGGGCCCTGTGGCTCCGATGCATTCGCCTGCGGATTTGCACGAGAACAAGAGGACGCGACGTTACGCAACGCTCATCAAAAATTTTAATGCTTAAGAATCTTTTAGTGAAGTTTAGTAAGAAGCATTCTCACTCGTGTAGAATTGACAAGCGTCCTGGGGAAAAAAATGCTGATAAAACAAGTTTTATTTTTAAATAATACCCGCTTCTGGTTTCAATGACAATCCACTCCTGTTAGATTGTATTGTATCCTATGGCCACTACATCCACACAATTAACTTTACAATACCCTCGATTCATCCACTTAATGCACCTGCTCTTAACAAAACTCTTCTTTCTGGACAAATGACATTTGTGGATTATCAAGTTTCTTTCCAGGACACCCTTCAATTGCACATATATCTATTTTTTTTTTAATGACGGTTACTGAGCATAGGCCCAAAGGCCTAAATGCCAAGCAAATGACAACAAACAGCACAACTGAAGGTGTGATAGATACGAGTTAAAACATTTATTGAATTGAGCAACGTTATTATAAGAACTTGGGGAAAAATCAGTCGGTGGCAGGGAATTTCAAAGTCAGCCACGCAGCAGAGGCTCGATTAACTACACTTATTGCGAAGCATCGTTGTGTAAACAAGCACTTTTTTGTGAAATTAACTGAAACCGACGGCATTAGCCACAGCGAAGGGTGGGCAGTGCGAGTCAGAGTAAAGCACTGGCGGAGAGAGGGTGCAGTAGAAAAAAGGTGAATTACTTCACAATATTGTAAGTTCACCTTGAGATATTACAACCAAACAATGAAGCTCATGGTAGAACCCTACGCAGAGCGACTCAAAATCTGCTTCGGACGCCGAGGTCTGGAACTGTTACAGCCTCACGTCACTTTAAACCACACTATACACTACTATACACTACACTATACACTACGCACTATACTGTTACAGCCTGACGTCACTATACACTAAACCAGTTGTTCTTAACCTGGGGTGACGCACCCCCTGGGGGAGCGAGACATGGACAGATTTAATTTTTAGAAGTTAAATAATCGAAAACACGAATTAAGCATGGGCATGTACGTACAACTACTTTGCTTCATCAAACCTATGTATTTATTAACATTGTATATTTTTTTACGATTGAAAACAAAAACAGTGCAGGCTGCAGTAAAGGTTAAGAACCACTGCACTATACTATATACTACTATACACTACACACTACTATACACTACACTATACACTACACTATACTCTTACGGCCTCACGTTGGTTCCCTACTATCGCCCCCTCGGTGCAGATCTCTCTAATCCCTTTGCACATTCACATCATCAAATGCACTCAAACTTTTAAGAAACATCTAAAAGGCCTCTATCTGTCTTGGTAAGGCTTTCGAGCAGCCATGAGCTTGGCTCCGCACCATTATTATTATGACTGAAGGGTGACACAGCTAGAAGACTAATAACATGGCGTGGCCAACAATGAATGGAAGAGCAATTCAAAAGAGAAATAAAGTAAGCTCGTGTGGTAGGTACATACATAGGCTGTGTGTCCTCCAATCTGTCTGACATTGAGTTTGAAGCTTGAATGACGAAAATGTATTTTCAAGTAACATAAGCTGTCAAAAGGACCATCAATATGGATAGTGTTGTTGAGATTGACGTCACAGTGACGAGGAGTGGTACAAGTTCTGAACTCCTATCGGGCAGCCTAGACATGCAGCCTTGGCACGTATCAAGAAGGGATTTGAGCAGTTTTCTTTTAAATGACTGAACATCTGCTGACTTTTAGAAATAACATCACAGGAATAACCCAGTCTCGCTTCTCAATGCTAATAATAATGTGCCCTTAAACAATTCTCTGTTGAGGCATCACTGCTATGCCCTGTATGTAAAGTGACATAAGGCACGGGGACCCTCTGTTAAAACTATAAACTAAACAATTGTTTTTTTTTTATTTTGATTTAAAGCTTTCGTGACTGCAGTAATTCATATTCTTAGCTCTTTCGGTAAAGTCACGTTGAAGGGAAACAATAAAATAATAAAATATATATAAAACAATAAAAATCCTCACGACGTTTCGACCATAACACAAACGGTCGTCATCAGGTGAAACGTCGTGAGGATTTTTATTGTTTCATATATATTTTATTATTTTATTGTTTTCCTTTCAACGTAACTTTACCGAAAGAGCTAAGAATATAATTGTTTTTTTTTATTTTAGCAGGTAAGGCCCACTGAGCTATACAGCTCTTCAGAGGCGACCTGGCCACATGAAAGCTCAACGCGTGATGTTGTTTCTAAATGTGGAGAAAAATCGACGCGACCAGGGGGAGTACTGCAAACTCCAAATGTACAGGTGTCAGAGTCGGGACCAAACCCACAATCTCTTGTATATGAGGCGAGGTAGTTAACATTTCGCTACCGTGTTGTCACCATACCTGTACGTGGGGGCCTGGTGCGTCGGTGTGGGTGCCGACGGGCAGCGCAGGGCCGTCCGCAACCCCTGCAGGTGGCATCTCCTGGGGCTGCTGCTGTTGTTGCTGCTGATGATGATGATGATGCTGCTGCTCTTGCTGCTGCTCTTGCTGATGCTGCTGTTGCTGCTGCTGCTCGACGGGCACTGCATACGCGCAAACATTCGGCTCCCATTGGACTTCAGGAAGACGAGCGGGCCTTGTGGCCAGTACATATATGTAGGGTATCGCAGCCTTGTAGCTGCCACAGATTTGTAGCCAACAGAGCACTTTCACTCACACAGCCCAGTAGATGATACGAGTCTATCAAGTAACACAGTTTAGTTACAAACACACACGAGTAACTAACGCGCTCAAACACTCGAGTAAGTAATAGAGCCCAGCAGCTAATATACTTGTGGTTAACACAGTCCAGTTGCTAAAGCAGTCAAGCAGATAAAACACTAGTATTTGGCACAATTGAGTAGTGAACAGATTAACACTCTAGTAACAGTCCAGTAAATATGTATGTTGAACTTCTTTCGCACCATACATAGCTAACCTTGCTAATTGGAGGTGCGGGGAAAGCTTAATGATTAACACTCCAGTAGCTAAATTATTTCAGTAGATAACAAAGCGTAGTAGTTAACACCATCTAGCAGCTAACATTGGCAGTCAAGGGCAGTGAAGCAAAAACTATTGTTATACTTTACTATGCTCCCCACTTTCACCAACCTGCATTAAGCAGTATCGTGAGCAAAAGTGAAATAACTCAATAGGCTCACATGACAAACGGAGGCCCTTGTCCAGCAGTGGATTGACAAAATTGCTGTCCATACGTCCCTCGTGTGTTGTTAAGTATGGGACGACTCTCCTCTCTGTACTGCGGCCTAGCTGACACTGTGCTGTGACTATCCCCGGAGGGGCTACACTCGTGCAAGCAGGCAGGCGCACTACCACCTACCTGGGCCGGACGGCACAAAGAAGTTGCTGCTGAGACTGGCCATGGGGGCGAGCGGAGCAAACATTTCCGGAGGTGGCGCGGTCGTCTGTGGCGGCGCAGCGGCACCACCGGGGTTCATCACGTCCACATAGGGGCCCCGGCCACGTGCACCAACTGCTCACGTGGGCCAGAGGGGGACGCGTCACACGCTCGTCACACGCTCGTCACACGCTCGTCACACGCTCGTCACACGCTCGTCACACGCTCGTCACACGCTCGTCACACGCTCGTCACACGCTCGTCACGCGCTCGTCACGCAAAGGGGCGAGACGTCACGCGAGGAGATATAAAAGGGTTTTAGCACTTACGCTAAACCCGGTTTTCATAGTTGGCCACCGACACGGTCCGGCTGTACACAAATGTCGGGGTGAATTGTCGGGGGTGAGATGTCACACGAGGGGTGAGGCGTCATGTGAGGGGCGAGATGTCACGTGAGGTGTGAGACGTCACGTGAGGGGTGAGACATCACACTAGGGGCGAGACATCACGTGAGGTGTGAGACGTCACGTGAGGTGTGAGACGTCATGTGAGGGGGCGAGACGTCACACTAGGGGTGAGACATCACACTAGGGGCGAGACGTCACGCCAAGGGGCGAGACGTCACACTAGGGGTGAGACATCACATGAGGTGTGAGACGTCATGTGAGGTGTGAGACGTCACGTGAAGGGTGAACTCTCACGCCAAGGGGCGAGACATCACGTGAGGGGCGAGACATCACGTGAGGGGTGAACGCTCACGCCAAGGGGCGAGACGTCACACTAGGGGCGAGACATCACGTGATGTGTGAGACGTCACGTGAGGGGCGAGACGTCACGTGAGGGCGAGCTGCTACCTCAAATAAATTGTCATGTGAACAATAAACTGCCAAGCCGAAAATATAATTGCTATTTACAGATTAATGGGTATGTAACAAGGAGGGAAGATCAAATATCCCACATTTGGCTTTAGAAAGGTCTAGGGCAAGTGATGATAGTGAATTGATGAAAGAGCCAAGTTCGCATTATGGCCCCTCAAGAATTCCAGGGCAAATGATGAGAGCAAGTTTTTCATGAAGGCCATAAAGGAACTCAAGAAGACTGAATGATTATCACCACATGCCCGACTATGTCTTTGCCTTGCGAGCGTTGAGAATGATTAACATCTCGCAAATGACACGCAAAATAAATGATTGAATGGCGGCAAAAGCTCACCGGCTCTGCGAGAGAACATATTGACCCCCCCCTGGGGGGCAGAGGGTGCTGGGAGCCCACCAGGGCCCTGTTGACCCTGCAAGGGCCCCATTGAGCCAGGGGCGGCGCCGGGGAGTTGTGCCCCTTGTGCAGCTGTAATTGGTGGCGGAGGTGGCGGCTTGCTCTGCAAAAAAACGCCCACCACAGTCCATCCTCACATGAATACGTGTTTCACTTTGGTATAATTTATTTTATTACAACGAGTGATCCCAATTCCGCTGCGAGCGAGTGCCGAGCTTACGGGTTTGTAAACCCGTAAGCTCGGCACTCGACAGCTCGTTGAGGCTGCTCCCTGCGCTCTCATACCTCATCTTCGGGCTCCTCCAGGTTGACCCATTTTTTCCTCTTGTCATCCCACACGATCTGAGATGACACACACACACACACACGTGTGTGCAGACGGTTTTACTCCCCTTGGCTTATACACAACCCTTTCCCACCGACGCATCCGACTCACGCCAGGGTCATATGCCGAACCAGGTCGGCGCGGGTTACGGAAGCGCCAAGTTATTTTTCAACAACAGAAGCAGAGCCTTGCCGCAGACGTCACACGACGAGTCGGGATGCGTGCATATGACGTGATGTCACTACGCCCTCACGTTGTACTGACGCCAGATGCACTGAACCCATCATTAGCACCATCCTTCGGTCCTAATCGGCCCTAAGCTAGCTTCGAATGATGGTTTTGTCACAGCTCTGCACGGCAAATAACGAGTATAAACCACCTGGACCCCGAGCGCCCTGCACTGGCTTCGCTCAGATGTGCCAGTAGAAAATGGATTTCACACTTTCCCCCAGAGTGACTTTTGCCTTCAAGCCTCTGACTGGAAGGGGGGAAGAGATGTGTTCCTTAATTGGTAGGGAGACGCAACACTGATGACCACGATTATCCATTTTATTTCGCCTGTGACCAAATCAACCGATTAGCATGGTTGGCAACGTACGGTGGTGCGAAACAAATTCAACATAAAATACGTACGTATCGCTCTAAGATGGATTTTTCGGGTTGTACCGCGTGTTGTTCGGCACAATATCCGAAATTTCACTCCATGTTCTGGGAGCTTCTTTCGGAAACCCATTCAGCATTGTCTCACTCTTACATAGTAGGCAATCCGTGCGATCTTGCATATGGTGTCTGGCAGTGAGACTCACAGATTTGTTTTTGTCCTCCGGCAGATGGGCTTCATTCTTCTTTGTGAGAAGCCAACTGAACCAGCCGCCTTTAGACCCCTACGTGTGCACGACACGCCAGCCACACAGCACACACACACCAGGGACGTGCGGTTAGGGGAGGCAGGGCAGGCAGGGGAGGCAGAGCCTCGCCTGTTATACTCCAATGAAAATAGCTGTTATGAAAAGTAAAAAAAAAGAATAATCAAATATAATAAATATTCACATTTTTCCACTGATCTGTGTTATAAATGTAATTTCTGTACGATTCCAATCATTTTTATAGTCAAAGTCGCCAAATTTGCGGAGCTCCGCTGCAAATACAGGAAGAGACGAGAGGTGAGGCAGCGACGAGCTCAGCCTCCCCTCTGATTGCGCAACCCCTCAGTAACTGGATGGAGCACGGGCAATAAGCCTGTTACTATCTCAGTATGTCACCAATGTAATGTTTGTAGACCCCATCATTTCATGTCCTCGCCTTCCATACTCCAGGTAACTTATTTCACGAATGTGTATAAAGATATTTAGGCTCACTGGTCTCGTCATGAAACTGCAATGAAAAAGCACCAGGGGAGGCAGCTATGACATCTGCCTCACTGAGGGGGGTGTGTCTAACACGCCCCCCTCCGTGTGTGAATCTGGCTCTGACACTAGCCAGTGCCTCCCCAGCCATTGACCTCACCGCACGTCACTGACACACACAGGCCAATGGTCACAACGCTTCACAAAAGTCATCCATTAGGTGGCTGCGAAAAGAACCACGTCCTCAAAATGACTTTGGCAGATATACCGTGTCCCTGCGTATTACGGGGATTTTTTCGGGATCACTAAAAGTATTCAAGAAGTCTGCCACAAGGCGATATTTTTAATAATTATTATAAAACCATTGCAAGTAATGTCAAGACTGTAAAGAGAAGTGAACGCTATGAATTGTACGGCATTGAAATGCTATAGATCAATTTAATGGACAGCATTTCAAGAACACTGTGCAGGGATCATCTTCCTAAGTGAATAACAGTTCAGTGTATCCAAGAAGCATCTCACCCGAAGAGTAGCCCAGTATTGAGGACACACCATATACACGGTTTGATATGCGAGAATGAGCGGCTCAGCATGGTGCACGGCGACTCAACACTGGGCTGTTCCGTCCTCATAGTGTACAGCATGCCATTGTAATGCTGTGCGAGCCTATCTACATTGCATGGGCAGTAGCGTAGCTAACGAATGTGCAGACGGTGCGTGTCTGCACCACCCAAGACCAAAGATCTACGTTCAAAATCTCTTCAGGTGATCACAGGCATACAGAGTAGGGGGCAGCGCTATACAACCCACCCTGCTGCAGAGGGTAATGTCCGTCGCGTGATAAAGCTATATTTAAAATTCTCAAGAGTTAGAATTTAGCCAAGCTTAAATACACAAGAAGACATTTCATGTGATTTAAAGCTTTCGTGACTGCAATAATTCATATTCTTAGCTCTTTCGGTAAAGTCACGTTGAAGGGAAACAATACAATAATAAAATATATATAAAACAAAAAATAAAAAAATATAAAATTATCACGACGTTTCGACCATAACACAATACCTGATGACGACCGTTTGTGTTATGGTCGAAACGTCGTGAGATTTTTTTTATTTTTGGTTTTATATATTTTATTATTTTATTGTTTCCCTTCAACGTGACTTTACCGAAAGAGCTAAGAATATGAATATATATTTTATTTAAAAATCTATCATCGAAGTCCACAACACTCCCTACATTTGAGAACGCAGTTTAATCACAGGCGGCCGTCTGTATTTGTATCGAGGTTCTTGGCATTGCCAGCTCAGCGCTCTTACATCTGAGCCGCCCAGCCATCTCCTCGCGACCACTACACCACGCTCAATGCTGAGAGCGAGACCTCGGGCGAGGTTCATGAGGGTTGTGAAGGGAGTGGTCACAATCAAAAACAAAGATCCCCCGTTCAGCCTGAACAGACTGTTGGGGCAAGTGCTGTTAACGAGAAGCACCTATGAAGGCCGGCACGGCACACGAGTGGGTGGTTGTCGAGCACCACGCCCGACCGTCTGTCTTCCCCAGTGGCGACGTTTGCACACCGCACCAGGTACTCATTTGATGCCGAGTCGACCAAGGGGAGGCCCAGGACAGGTTCAGATGATCATCACTGGTTTTGGTGCTGGCCATCAGCGGGAATGGAACTCGGGTCGCTGGATTCGTCACGCAGGGCGCTAACCTCAGCACCACCGCTCCCCCACATTCGGGGCAGGGTGTGACACCCACCTTAGTTTTGTCCGTGGGTTTCTCCTTGTCCTTCTTCTCCGTCTTGTTGGAAAGCAACTTCGCGTCGGGCGCCATCGGATTGCTGTCCACCCCGATGGAGTGGACGGACGACTCTGACAGCGTGCGCGAGCGCCGACCCGTGGCCTGAAAACACCGGAGCAGAGGCAACGAGCGTGTGAACACATGGACAGGTGCGTTCACAGGTGCGTTCACATGTGCATGGAGATACGTGGAGTGACAAAAGCAATGTGTGTATATATGTATGGAGGAAGAGAAGCACCACAGAGACTTGGGGATGTATTGAGGACGAGCAGAGATATTGAAAGAGAGAGAGAAATGGGGATATATTGAGATGAGCAAAGAGATGCAGAAAGAGAGAAATGGAGATGTATGGAGTGAGGAAAGCAATGAGAGATGTAGAGATGTATTGAGAAGCAGACAAAATGAGAGAGGAATAGAATGAAGAGAGAGATTATACAGCATCAGAGATACAGTGAGAGCGAATGAGAAAGAGAAGCAGAGTAAGCCAATCAGCCAGCATGTCAAACGTTATATTTTACGAACATACATTTTTCCGGTCTTTTAAGCAACACTCTTTGAAGGTTGTAGCGCAACTACCATTTATAATATGAACGAGTTTTTGATTGCAATAGAGGAGCTTGATATAAATGATGTTTATGCAGTTAAATTATTTCTGATTACCATTGTAAACAAAAAGGCATGCTTTAAAAGATCACCAACAAACATTCAATTATTCACCATAATAAACCCACCACAAATATTCACCGCAATTATCAGGTCCAACACCAACAATCACCGGACACACCCCAACAGAAGGGCAGTGACCAACAAATCAAAGTGAGGTTCAGAGAGAGACCATGAGATTGTTTTAGACAGACAAGACACCGTCACCAAGACAATATTCAGATATTATCGTGGGTCAAAGCCACCAATGTCACCACACCACGCCGCCGACACTTTAAGACGAGGCATGCTATCACCAAAGCCACCGCACGCCCTGTATCAAACAGATTGACACATTCCCAGACAGACCACCTGAATGATCATTAATTGGTGTTAAATCACTGGACATTCAGCCAGGGATCATTTATTTCCACCCCCCCCCTCCATTCAATCCACTTCCACTTTCATGGCCGATTTAAATGACCACCACATCGCACAACACTGACGTTAAGCAGTAACTCTTTTTTCCATGAAAATACAAATGCTTCCAAGGATATTTGTAATTCGGATATGAAAACTTCTGTTCGGCGCTCGAGCCACTGGACAAAACCCGTCCAACATTGATCAAATTTCATGACGCACATCTGTCTAGATCTTGCGCGTAAATTTTGCCATCTTGACACCACTTGTGCGATGGGCGGCCAATCAAAGCAGTCACGAACAGTGGGAGGAGGATATCAGGCAGGGCATGCGACACCAGATGTGTGCCGTGAGCAGCACACTCGCGTACCCTGTAACTCGACGTCTCCGACAGGCGGGAGCTCCGACGCCTCTCCTGGACAAAACGTCACACATTGCCAGTCCTCGGGGGACACAAAACCTCCCGGACAAACCGAAACATCGCCATCCAATTCATTGATATGTTGTAGAAGCCTTGTCCGTCTCAAAGCTTGCCCAGTGGCAGGCAGTGCGACGGCAACTGGGGCCCACGGCTCGGAGAGGCCCAGGCGACGGGCCACAAATAGGTGGGAAAATCAACATGGGTTTAACTATTTAATTGTTTATATCGGGGCCCACACCAACCCGGGCTATGCCACGAGGCTTTACCCTCGTCTCAATTGTTCTGTTTGTCAATCCATGACACTTGAGTTGCACTTGCGTGCATTATGGTCACACTTGCATATACTGCGGAAGCGGGATATAAGCAGCACAGCTCTTATTGTAACAGAAACAGTTCTCATACTATCAACACATGCTTACATTTGTGGGGGGGAAGGCGAAGGGCAACTTCTGATACAAGCACACCAGTCCTTACACCCAAGGGATGTGCTATAACCCAGTTTCTCCAGAATTAAGTTAAGGAGTACGATGAAATGTTGCAGGAGCCTGTGTATTCTGTTGTTTCATAATGATGCACATGATGTACTGGAACAGTTGATTCTATACAAACACGATGTCTAAACACAACCACATTTTAAAAGAAGTCGCTCCAAAGGGACGCATGCTTTAACGTGAGACTGTGAGGAAGAGAGGGGGGGGGGGCACGGTGCAGCACCCAGAGACCATGAGACTGTTCCAAACAGACACAAGACACCATCACCAAGACAATATTAAGACGTCATCACGGGTCAAAGTCGTTTGATGCCACTACACCTTGATAATGCTTTCTACAAGGCATACTACCACCGCCAAACCACTCCACATGAACACACCCCACATGCATCACCAAAAAGATTGACACATTCCCAGACAGACCACCTGCGAGTGGTTATTATTTGGGGTTAAACCACTGGAAATTCAGCCAGGGGTATTGTTTATATTCACTCCACTTTCGTGGCTCATTTCAATGACAACCAACACCGCAGAGCACTGTTAAGCAGCAACTACTTTTTTGTACGAAAATACAAACACTTCAAAAGATGTTTGGAATTCAGATATTAAAAGTTCAGCAGACACTTAAGCTCACCGCTCGAGCCACTGGACAATATGCGTCCAAATGTTAATCAGATTTCACGTCACCGATTGTCTAGACTTCACGTGCAGATTTTGCAATATTTAACTAATACTGCTCGTGCGGTGAGCGGCCAATCAAAGCAGTCACGAACAGTGGGAGGAGGATATCACGCAGGGCATGCGACACCAGATGTGTGCCGTGAGAAGCACACTCGCGTACCCTGTAACTCGACGTCTCCGACAGGCGGGAGCTCCGACGCCTCTCCTGGACAAAACGTCACACATTGCCAGTCCTTGGGGGACACAAAACCTCCCGGAAAAAAACCGAAACATCGCCATCCAATTCATTGATATGTGGGTGCCTCGTCTGTCTCATTGTTTGCCGAGTGGCGTAGCTACCGAGTGCAACGGCACCAGGGCCCACGGATCGGCCCAGGTTCCGGGCTACAAAGGTGGGAAAATCAACTTGGGGTAAAAGGAAGGCCGCTTGTGTTGTGGCCGAAACGTCGTGAGAATATTATTGTGTTATTTTATTTTATCAATTTATTATTTTATTCTCATTCTACGTGACTTTACCGAAAGAACCAAAGAAGACAAAGAAGATCAACTTGGGGTAGCCAATTAAATGTTTACATTGAGGCCAACAATGAAGCTGTGCAGGTGTTCGTGCATCCTATTGTTCTCCATAAGGATGCACACAATATCCTGGAATCATTCTATACAAAAAAAATTGAATTTTACACTATTTAAATGGAACGACATTAAACAAGGATACATGCTTGATTGTGAGACTGAGAAAAACGGAGATCTTACGCTTCTTATTCTTTGGGTCTTTCGGTAAAGTCACGACGTAGATAAGTTGATATTTGATCCTTTCAGCGGTACCCTGGGGTACCAAATAATACAAAATGGCCAAGGCAAGTAAATATTTTATTTTTGGGACACTATTTTTTCCAGGGGTGTACTTAACTCCGCGACTGGGGATATCAATCAATCCAAAATCAGTGCTACTCCGCGATGTCGAAATTCAGCGAGGACGATTGCGCTGAAACCCTGAGCGATCGTATGCACCATAGTGCATTGTGTACAGCTCGAGATGAGTCGATTGCCGCATCGCCGACCATCAACAGACTAAAAATGACTGCATCACGGACATTGTGCGAGAGCCGGGGTACTATGGTACCCCGAGGTACCGCCATAAGGTTCAAATGCTGGTGGCGATGTTACCTTACATAACACTGCCAACAAGACGGTGTGGGAACTCGATAGACATAGAAATAGCTTTTTAATTGGGTCTGCATGGAAACTGATTTTCACCTCACGAACCAAAGATTCTTCATAAAAAAAAATGTACTTAACATACATAAACAAAGATCCCCGTATAGACTTAGCAGACTGTTGGGGCAAGTGCTGTTAGCGAGCAGCTATGAAGGCTGGCACGGCACACGAGGGGGTGGGTGGCCAGCACCACGCCTGGCCGCCTTCGTCTCCCCAGTGGCGATGTTATTACACACCGCACCAGGTACTCATTTGAGGCTGAGTTAACCTATGGAGGCCCAGGACTGGTTCAGATAATTGTCACTGGTGTTGGTGGCCGTGAGCGGGAATCGAACTTGGGTCGCTGGGTACGTAGCGCAGCGCGCTAACTGCTACACTACCGCTCCCCACACTTGAATACTTTTAGTATTGCACAACCATTGGTTACCAGGTTGATATACTGAAAAACACCACCGACCTTAAAATGACAGCGTCAGTACAAGTCAGAGTCGTTAAACACAGACGGAATAGTTTGATTGCTGAAGCAGAGGCATACGTGTCCGCAAAGGGAAGAGGGCACAGAAAACATGAAGGCTCTTCTCATCAGCTCATGATCGCCGCCACCAACATCATCTGCTTTATTGTAATACAGCACCGTCCTCCTGCAATATACAGCCTTTTGAGTGTTATCCCGCCGATGCCGAGGGTGTTCGTCGAGCACTTGTTTCCTTACACATGTAATACACTCGTGATAAAACAAAAACGGCAACAACAGCCGTTGGTTAAGAAACCACCTGGAAAAAAAGAGTATTGGTAATCTGGATAAAGAACATAAGTGATTAACATAAAATATTCAACTGCATAGTGTTGCAGCAAGAGTACTCTACTCAGCAGATCGGGGACGACTGCGGCACATACACACACACACACACCCACCCACCCCTTAAACCGCACCCCCCCTCAACACGCCTCCGCTAGCCAACTCACCATGCGGGCGCCCTCATCAAAGTGGTCCCTCTGCTGATTCGTTGGCCCTCCGGCGCCATTCTCCTGCACCGTCGCGAGGGAGGGATCACCTGCGGCACACGCCATGGAGCCACCCCCCAACCCCCATCGTCGTTCAGCTGGGCCGTTACCGCGTAAGGCACATGTGCACATGAACAGCCCTTTAATCAATCCACGCTGAACGAGGACATCCCGGCGCTGTGTAGGCTTGTTGGACCACAAATGTGCGACATCACGATAGGGCATCATCTCATCGTACTTGCAAACATTATTGTCGCAAAACAAATACTTTCAAGGTTAAACCACACTGTTGGAAAGCATTGCAGAATCCGTGCATACGCATGATTATTATTCCTTATTATTATTATTTAATACGTGCAGTAGACACCATTAGAGGTAGCGTGTACCTTGCTGAAAGCTCATCTGTTGTGCATGTTGCGCGGGGCCCTGCGGAGTTTGCATCCCGTACCCCACGCTCTGCTGCTCCCCACTGTGCATCGCCATCCCAGCAGCTCCATACGAGGTGGCCTGACCCATGTAGCCAACACCCTGTGCATGCGAGAGACAACAGCTGGGTAAATCCTCTGGTGCAATCGTCATGAAGCAAATTTGCATCCCATTACAAAAAAGGCACCTTTATATTTGACAAATACTGCCCAAATACTTCTACACAGCCCCACCCACTCAATCATTAGCCCCACCCACTCTGACATTGGCCACACTCACTACCCAGGTCGCCCCACCCATTATCCACAGCCCCTCTTCCACTATCCGAGGTAGCCCCACACATTGCCCACATGTTGAGTCGAGCATGAGGCCAAAGGATTGTTGAACCGGTACAAATTCCCGACTTTGTCAAATGAATTTGCGATACCGGGACAGGATTTCTGAAACTGGGATTGCCCCCGCCAAACGAGGACGTTCATTTAGTTTTATTGCATCTGCCGCGTCAACATTCTTAAACCCGTAATCAAAACGATAAAGAGTTAAAATCCCGCTTGGGAGTCAATCCAGTTCATCTTCCCTCCAGTGTCATTAAAAAGTACCACGGAGAATAACACCCACATCGTAATAAGGCAATTCCGCCACTGAGTTCTATGTACGTATGTTGAACTTTTTTCACACCGTACGTAGCCAACCGTGGTAAATCGGTCTTAGGGGCACTCTAGGTAGGGAGATATTTCCATGAGGAAGGATATAATTGACACGTGAAGGGCAACTGCTCGTGCACCTGCATGGGAGGCTGCATGCTGGTGGGTGGGTAGCCCGGGCCATAGCCGGGCTGCTGGTGTGTGGGAGAGAAGCCAGGAGATCCGCCGTCAGGTGCAAACGATTGCTGCTGTCCAGGGTGCTGAAAAGCGGCTTGAGACTCGACGCCGTGGGGAATGCCTGGTGGAAACGCACAACACCGTCGCATTAACCCTTAGCAATGTACTTATAATGGACATGAATGTTCAGCAATTCATTGCTAATTTGCGCAATTTGATGCATGCGTACGCGAGACTCCAGAGAGAGACCTCTCGAGGCTGGCATATTTGGGAAGAGAGCCTAACATGTCCGGCAAAATAAGTAAATGACTAAAATAATTACATTTCAATGACATGCATATGTAAATCTAAAATAAACGTGACAAGGATCGAGCAAGGTGCCCAAGGATACACTTTTCCCGTATTCCATAAACCAACTAGGTATAGGCAGTGTATATACTTTAGAATTGCGAGTGCACATGACTACACTATCCCTTACCCATAGCAGCTAACGTTCTGTGCACGTGTCAATCCTGTTTGATTTTTTGTATTTAGTACATTCCTCTATTTATTTCAGATAGCCTTCTGGCTTATGCAAACTTCCAGCTTACACTGAATTCCTCTTTACTTGAGTCTGGGGCTTGCAGATTTTTACTACATTGTAAATCTACAAATCAAGAATCTTTACAAGCCAAATGCAATGAGATTAACAAAAAAAAATTACCCGGCTGCATGAACTGCACTCCTTCAGATCCGACGTGCGCCTGGTGCATCGCAGGCGGCACCTGATGCACCACCGCCTGCTGCATTTGAAACCCGCCTGCTGGTGGCCCTTCGCCCAGATACGTTGTAGGCGGGACCTGGAACCCGGGGGGCGGGGCCTGCATGCCAGGGGGCGGAGCCTGGTGGGCAGCGAGCGGAGGCTGCTGGGGCTGCGTTGGGGGCACGTTGAGCTGCTGCTCCGAGGACGAGGGGGTCACGATGGAGCTCGTCTCGCTTGAGTCGAAGCCGTGCGGAGTGTCGCGGCCCGAGCACGGCTGGATCAGCCCCTCCTGGGAATGGCCAAAGGAAAAAAATATAAAACAAGTTGGCAAAAGCACTCCGCGTAAAGGGAGTCTCCATTTTGTCCCCCTGCCGCCTTCCCTCAGAGATGGACGGAAGTTAATTACCGCCTTACGTGACTATGACAGGTTGATAAGGTCACTAAACGCATCCAAGTTATTCCTTCCTAGGTCCCCCTCGCTTTACTTTTTCCATTCGCCCCCCACCCCGCTTCCCCCCCTTCACTCCACTCCCTTACTTAAGTTCTACATCCACCTACCTTCTCCTCCCCACATCAAAGTACAAATACCCCGCTCACATTCCCCCACTCAGTGGGGCAGTGAAACCAATCGCCTCGCTCCTTGAAGTTCTGTAGCACAGAGTTTGGGATTTACGTCCGCGGAGTTTCTGTTACGCCCCCTTTCCCAGGTCACGATTCGTGTTTCTACCGAAATATATGGCACGGTTCTACAACTTAATTATCTGCCGGGTCACATAATAGACTTAGCGAGCGTTGGCGGACAAGGTGATGTAACGTGTAGAGATGTTATATCATGACATCATATCACTTCGAAACAGACCTCTCACAGACTTTTTCCACTTGAACATCAGAGCTGAGCTAGCGCGGGGCCCTCGCAGTACGGGTAGTTTTCCACTGGCCAATTGCAATGCTGAGTCGAAACCAAACTGTGATACAATAGCCTCACAAGACATCTGAACCTGGGTAGGTGCCAAGCAGGGCGAGGGGCCAACGAGGTGCTTATTGTGCGTGATGTCAGCATCATCATGTCATCTACGTGCGTTTTGGCTCATTCATTGCGCGTGACTTAGTTGGCACATCTCAGATTTTTGCAGTGCAAAAAAGGCTGGTGCCTCCGAACCCATGCCCGGGAAATGCCCAGCCACCCCAGTATGGTTGTGGAGGTGCCGCGTTGATTTCAATTGTACGGTGGAAAGAGGCTTCCGGTCTCAAACAAGCCGGTTAGGTTCGGTCCGATTAATGTTGTCTTGCGCATGACTCGACTACCGTCGAGTTACGTTGCAAGAGCCCTGGGTAGGGTGTCGAACCTTCATCTGCTTTTTCAGAAAGCGCAGCTGGGTCAGCCACTCCGGGTCCACAAACTGCTCCTCCTCGGGCCTTTCCTTCAGTTGTGGGTCAAACGGCCTGAGCTGCGCCGACAGCTGGGAGGAAACAAACGCACATACAAATACAGCAGACTCTCGATTGTCCGCGTGCGGTTTATCCGATTTGCGGATTAACCATGCGCCTGAAATATTGACGTCAATTAACTCATGGATTTTCCCTTAAGTCCAAATTAAGAAACTAAAAACAGTTATACACTGTTATTCTTGGAAATGTTTGTTACAAGTCACATGCTTAGACTAATAAAATGTGTGCTCCGGTTAATCTGAAATCCACGTGATCGCCTCTACAGTACAGTAGTTGCATATCTTTACAACAGTGGGCGGAGTTTTATTGATGTTGATTGGCGTGGCTCTGCTGCTGTCCACTTAGTGGGCCGAGTCTTCTGCAGGGGAGCAGCAAAGTGTTATCACTGAGCACGAGTGTTTTTCTATGGGTTTTTGTAACAAATCAAAATCAATATTTTCTTTACTACAACTTTTAGTTTTGTTCTGATTAGTGGAAGATGGATATTTTTTGATTATCCGCCATTTTCAATTATCCGCGGCAATCCTCCCCGTCATTAGCGAGGACAATTGAGTCTACTGTATAGTGGAATCATGATCAGCGAACATTAATCACCTGCTATATTAAGACCTTCCCAAGCCATTCCCATCTCACATGATCCTGCAATATTAAGAATCCACCTAGCACCAGCACAAGCTGATTTCATCGCTCCATCACCTGGAGGACTTTCCCTCAGACGTGTTCCATTTCTTGGCTTCAATTTAAATTAAGGCTTAGGGTGAAACTAATGACAAGTTCAGATATAAATGGCAATCGGTGTTGTGCAAGGCCAGGAATTAAACGTAGGTCACTTGGGATAGGGGGAACAAAAGTGTGTTGCCAAAACATAAAAAGTCAAATTCATGTATGGCTAATACATACAGATTACTTGGGGGCAAGTACTGTGAGTCACCAGCGATTAACTTCAGCATGGCAGACCTAATTGCTTCTCCAGTGCTGATTTTTAAACTCCATTTTAGGTACTAATTTACAGCTGAGTCAACCTAGAGGAGGTCCACGACAGTTTAAAATATCACTCGCCATTAATGTTATCAGTGGCTAACAATGAAACCCAGGTCAGCCAGATTTATAGCAGTCCTTGAACCACTGTACAAATTACACCCACAAAACTACGCAAAGACAAAGACCCTCTGTGTAGCCTCAACAAGACTGTTGGGGCAAGTGCTGTTAGCGAACACCTATGAAGGCCGGCACAGCACATAAGGGGGTGGGTGGCCACCACCACGCACGGCCGCCTTTGTCTCCAGAGTGGTGATGTTTACACATCGCAACCAGGTACTCATTTAATGCCGAGTCGACTTAGGGGAGCTCCCGGAACCGGTTCAGATAATCGTCACTGATGTTGGCCGTGAGCGGGAATCGTACTCGGGTCGCCAGGTTCGTAGCGCAGCGTAGCGCTAACCACTACACTACTGCTCCCAACAAAAATACACACACACTTAGGCACACATAAAGACATGCACAGGCCAACATACTGCTGGTGCATTCTGCTTACACTGACGAGCTGAACGAGGAAGGCGTGGGTGTAGAGCGACGGGTGTTCCAGCACCGTGTTGCCGATGACCTCACAGTACTGCATGGCCTGCGCCACCAACCCGTTCTCTGCCAGCCGGCTGGCGTACAGCAGCTTGAAAGGCTGAGTGGGGCAAGGGGAGGAGATGGCAGATCAAGTCAGTGTGTAAGTGTTAATGAGTCGGTGCAGATGGCAGTTGTGACTTGTCTGTAACACGAAGCGTCACAATCCACGTGATGCACTTCGATTCGGATAGGAAATCAGGCTTCGTTTATCATGGAATACTTGGCAGGTCAATAGATCTACAGAACCTACAATTTTCTGACACTCGCCAGGCAAGCAATTGACTGCATTGAACTTTTTTCCAGATTTGAAATTACTTGCATGGTTCCATCATAATGAAACATAAAAAGAATGCATCCTCCACAGAACATACAGATTCAAAATCCAAAAGTGCCATGCGCTACGCTGCCCGATGCCGCCACCGACAAAGCCCCCTCTCCTCCCCCCCGCACCTGGAAGTTGGAGAGCGTGGCGCTTGTGCCATTGGAGCCGAGCGACTGCGCGTATTCGTAAACCTCCGTGCGCTGGATCGACTCGTTGCTCATGAACTCGGCCAGGGGAAGGCTGCTACACACACAAGACACAATACGTGCGTATGAGAATATATTATTTCTGAATTTGTATGCATTATATGTGATTGGTTCATGTAAACCCTGCAGCCACATTTACCAATAAACCAAAAAATTATTGTCGAATTGAATCATGACCGCAAATCATAACAATTCGTCAAATCACAAAGGAGGGAAAAACTGTAAAATGCCCACAAGACACATTGTAAGGTATGACGCACAATACAAGCAATAAATGACTATGGACACTGCTAACCCCCATATTTCTCAAATCCCAACTCGGTAGGGTACTGAGACACACACACACCTGTGGTTGGCTCCCAGCAGCACCAGCTTGGCTGACCGCTTGTTGTACATGTCAAAGCTCACTTGGGCCATCAGATAGCAGAAGTGAGCAGCATCAACCAACCCTTTGGAGGCTGCAAGGACAGAGGGTCATGTTAAGGTGGGTTCCTTTTAATAGCACGAACATGTACAGCCCTTTGGTCAATCCGCTGTTGGATAAGGGTCTACTCGCATTGCGTGTCATGGGGGTTATATGCCCATTTCTTTACACTGGTCAGTGTGGGTTGTGAAGGCAGGGAAGCAACAAGGTGGGAGCCTAGATGTACGGTACAGCAATGGATTTAGCTGTACTGCTCTCTGCTGCCCGGAACAAAACATAGCCCCGGCAGGAGCCTATGACATCCTGGCATGCATGGTGGTCACCGGTCCAAGCACGATCCAGGCTCAACCCTGCTTAGTTTCTAAGATCTGATGAGATTGGGTACATTCCCGGGTGATTTTGGCATACACCTACCCATGTTAATGTGTAGGAAACTGGCATGGTGGTGGAGTGAATGCACGAGGAACGGTGACGCGTTGGTTAGCACATTGCACAATGAACCCCGCGACCCGAATTCAATTCCCACTCACGGTCAACATCGGCGACGAATATCCGAACCAGTTCTGGTCCTTCTATACGTCAATTCAGCCTTAAACGAGAACCTGGTGCAGTGCGTAATACATCACCACTGGGGAGACAAAGATGGCCAGGCGTGACGCTGGCCACCCACTCCCTCGTGTGTCGTGCTGGCCTTAATTAGGTGCTCACTAACCAGCAATCGCCCCAAAAGCCTGTTAAGTATATATGGGGATCTTCGTCTTTGTGTGTGCGTGGTCTCCCACCCAGCGTGTCGCCCATGGTGGTGATGGTACGACGGTCCAGGTCGGGGTTGCTCGTGATGTTGGACAGGATCATGGCCAGGTGAGGCCTCCAGTCTCCCCAGCGCTCGTCGCAGCATGACTGATGGTGTCGCACAAAACGTAAACGTCAGTACGACCTGAGCGGCTACACGCAACACTACAGCCATAACACATGAGCCTTGCAACACAAGCTATAGTAGATTAAAAACAGACAGACAAGGGTCAGTTATCAAAAGGGCATTTGAACCGAAGTTTTCCATCAGAATTTGTTTACATAGGCAAACCTTGGGCTGGTTTAAAAAATCTCCCGAGTCTCTTCAGCAATATGAACCAAACGGCTGTCAGATCATATATTTATTATTTTCTCTGTCACCCACAACCGACCAAAAAAGAACAATATTCCACTTACGTAAACCTGAGCCTACACAAAACGTGGTTTGTACACTCAAGTCTTGCCAAACGTAATCGTTTCGACTACATAAGCATATAATATCAACAAGGCTTATTTATAAGCTTCCAATAATACCAAGCCCTTGTAGCAGCCGACACCGTGGCATTAACGAGCCCTATGTGGCTTTCGCTTCACAGAATCCCTAGTTTACCGTGGCGGCTGCAGGCATCCTTCCGGATTGCTGTTGGTAGCAAGTCTGCAGCGGGTCATTCATGGGCAGACTGTTGGCAAACCTGCAGGGAGCAAGCAAACAAGGATGAGTAGCTATAACCCAATGCTCTGTATCATCATTGCAGTAAGCTTAATGCTTCATAAGCCCCCTCTATCACTTGGCGGAGGCAGCTTTGGCAAGAGAGATGTGGGCTGCAAAGTGCAATATAAAGTATCTACTTGCACAAAAACAATCATAGAAAGTAATAAAGATGTAAAAAAATGTGTGAGCAAATACATAATATATATGAAAATAATGTGCAAGCACAGCCCTTTGTCAATTTATTGCAATGGCTCTTGGGAAGTTATTTGACCATACTTCACCAAGCTGGTCAGTGAGGGTTGGTGAACGTGGGGAGCATAGACTTGGGAGCATAAAAGTGTACTATAACCATACGTCTTGCTGTAATGCACATCTGGTAAATAATATGGCCACAATTTGGACTCTTTTTGAGTTGATGGTCCAAAACAAGGCTGTGTGTGTTGAACCTTCTTTTGCACCGTACGTAGCCAACCGTGCTAATCGGAGGTGTATAATGTACGCAACTTTCGCACGTATTATTCTTCTTCGCTTCCTGCCTGCGAGCACTTTATGTGCTCTCTCATCATTTACAGATAGTGTCACCTGGTCATGACATTGGCGTGCGTGCGGCCATCCATCTTGCTGGCGAGCAGCAGGGCGTGGCCCCAGAGGTCGTTCTTCATTGCTGACTCCAGGGCATCCTGCACAAGCAGGGCCGTGTTTCCAGAGTGATTATGAGATGCTAGCGCGTGGGCCAACGGACCTATCTATATGCACAGTAGACTCTCGATTATCCGCGCTAATAACGGGGAGGACGGCCGCGGATAATTCAAACACTGCGGATAACGCAAAAGTATCCATTTTCCGCAGATCTCTATGCTGAAAACCACTCATGTTATATTTAAGTTAAGAAAATTAAGTTCAGATTAAAAGCACGTGACTTTAAATAAACATTTCCAAGAATAAACATGAAAACTGCTTTAATATTATTAATTTGTTAATTTGGGCTTAAGGGAACATCCACCAGCTATTAATTTACGTGAAAATATCCGGTGCGTGGTTAATCCACAAATCGGATAAACCACACGCGGATAATCGAGAGTCTACTGTATACATGCATGTTAAACATCATTTGCACCATACGTAGTCAACCGTGCTATTCGTAGGTGCTATTCGTAGCAATCATCATTGCCGGTCGAGAGCTTAATAGATTACGGACCATTTACAAAACCAAACAAAAAGGGTATGAGACTAAATTTTCAACAAAGCATAAGCAATTATTTTCAAAACCTTAGCTAAGCCATTGGTCGAAATGTTAGCCTACTAAATAGTTTTTTTCTGTTATACGAATAGAGTAAGTTTTATTTGTGACCATATAAAAATGCCATGGAATAATAAAGACAAAGCTCTCTCTCTGCACTGTTACCGCTGCCTTGTGACGAGCGTGGTTGCGGGGTTCCATAATAGAGGTTTTTTGGGTTAGAGCACGTAAATGTACGTGTCGTTAAAACCCGCCACCATCCGACACAGCCAACGGGTAAGGGTTGTCATGTAAAGAGAACGTGGCCAATTCGTCACTAGTACAGCACACCGGTGTGTTGGAGAGCCAAGCCACAACATTTACAATCCGAGTGGTTGGATTGATTAACATCCCTGAACAGCACAACAACGTCACTGCAAGACAGACCATTTTCCTCTTTCTCTCCTCACACAGCTCAACTTTGGATCACCCTTCATCTGTCTTTCCAACTTTCTGTTTACCAAACTAAATTCAAGCATATTGGACATTCTCATAGCGAGTTGAACCTCGATGAAGCTTGGAGATCCCTGGGATCCCGTGAGTTTTATCTCGCACAAAGCCCATGGTCCACCCTAAACCACATCCCACTGCACAAACGATGGCAGATGCGTATCCCTGATGCACAAAAGGAAACTTTTAAACTCCCCAGTGTGCGATGGTGGTCATTCAGAAGAGACCATATAACGATGAAATGCCCGATGGGGTTATCTGGCTTAACCACATCAATGTGAAATTGTAGTTGTTGCTCTGCATCTAAATCAGCCGTAAGAATCATTCCCTTTAACTGTCCTTCCTCTATCTTTCATTCTTTCTTGCTGGCCACTTTGTCAACAAAAGGCTCTTTCGGGTCTCCGCACCTTCTTACGGCCGAACAACAGCAGCTGGCGGAAGCGATCGGTGGCCTGAGCGATGGCCTCCTCGCTTGACAGGCGCCCCTCGCCCAGCAGGGATGCCTGCCCCACGGGGCCTGCCTCCGGGGCGCCCAGCAGCAGCGCGGGCTGCGGTGCGGCGGCGCCAGCGTCGTCATCAAGCCCCGAGAGCGCCCCCAGCTCCCCGCTCAGGTCGATGAGGTTGGCTTCGTCGTTTGGGGCCCGGCCTGGATGCCAGCCCGCGCGGTGGCCGCGCAGCAGCAGTTCAGCGATGTCGGTGCCCACCACCGTCTGTCGGTGCCGAGACACGCCACCGTGCCGCGCCGAGAGATAGCGTGTTATGCCAACGCATACCGTGCCATACCAGAATGCTTACCACTGATTTAGTTGTAAATAAAGGACATTAATATCAAATCAGTCGACGGCACCAGACATTCATTTATACACGAACCCCATTCTGCCGGCAGATGAGCACGAGCAGCTCCCAGAGGAGGGCGGCTGACTTCTTGTCGATCAGCTTGTCATTACGGAGGCACTCCATAGCCTTGTTCTGAGCGAAGGTGATCACGTCCACCTTGTGTGTCTCGTCCCTACATAGGAGGACATCATACAAGAGTTACGCACAACGTCAATGGGAATCTCAATGTCACGGGCCCTGCCGTGCCTTTAACCAGCAACGTCACTTTGCAATCCAAGATCCGAACTCAAACTCAAATATCTAAAGTTACATCTCATGCAGTGGTGTAGCTATTGAGTGTGCAGGTGGTGCAACTGCACTGGGTGCCATGGGCCAGAGGGGACTAGGGTAAAGAGGGAGGAAATAAGACAGGTGGGGCCCATTTACGGTAATTTCTTGGACCAGGGTCGACGCAAAATACAATACAGCACGGGTCTCCTGCTTTCGTGTAATGCATTCAACGCAACACATTGGCGGACAGATGCAACGTCTTGAGCGATACATTGACAGATAGAGTGCAGTGGTGTGGTATAACGCATACTTTGTACCAATGCATAGATGTCATGATTCATGGCATATCTTTGCTATTCCATGACCCTTAATCCAGATTATATTGTCTTGTTGTAGTTTGCCCCAGAGGGCTTGCAGAAGCTTATTACTACGTTTTTTAACGGTGACAGTTACTTATGCTACGTACTCCATCCAGGCCTTGCTGAGAGTTGACCCTGGTCACATCCAGGCAGTGACCAGCGTCAACTTTGCAAGTGCACGAGTTCACACGCAATGAGTACTCACTGAGATTTACATGCCGTTTTAAATCGAAACGAGTCCTGACTTGACTGAATTAATATGACCAGAGCAACGAATCTAATCTAATCCAATTTAATACTTATCAGGCACCATCACCCAAGGCGCTTGACATAGTAAAAAAAACAGTGACAGAACGGAATGATTTAGATTGGCAGGGGAGTGCAACGATTGAGGAACGAGTGGCCGCAATAGATGGGTACTTAGGGATCACGAAAGGGTAGGGGATGGATGGGAAGGAGTGTAGGGGCGAAGGGAGTGAAGAGGAAGAGAATGGGCAACAGAGAAGATGGAGCTTTACGGGTGGCACGTACTTCACCAGTGGTCCTGGGAAACAGCGCAGTTCCGTTTGCTCCTCACTCTCCTGCATCATGACCTGCACGGACATGGGCAGCAGAAATCAGCTGGGGCTAGGGGTTAGGGTTAATGTAAGTGTTAGCATGTGAGTGCCGAGGTCGAGGAAGGGGTTAACATTAGCAGGAAGGCATTCAAATTTGGCCAAGCAAGGTGTTAACGTTATGGTAAAGATAACAATAGTATTATATCACTGCAGCTGTTCATATTACTCGGGATTTAGAGTTTAGGTTTGTACTTCGGCAAATAACTTGGGTTAAGGTAAGCATGATAAAAATAAGCATTAGTGCCCAATTATTAGTAATGGTGCAAGAAATAGTAATAGCATGAAAGATGTGGGTTTGATTAAAACAATTACCAGGGCTTAGGTAAGTTAGAATTATGGTTAAGCATGAGTGCTGAAATGAGAATAACTGAACATGCTAAGCAATAGGGATTCATTCCATTTCAGAACTGAAGTCAGTTTTATGATTAAGTTTAGATGCTGTGAATAACTACACCTTAGGGTAGGTGTTCTAGTTAACATTGGAATTTGTGCTAATAAATACGTTTAACCTTAACATTAGGATTAATGTAAACGTTTCGGCCGAGCTTAGGTAGTAGAGTGTTCAGCCGATGGATCGGATTTCTTCCATGTGTGCGCTTTTTGCAGTCACCTCCACGTTGTGTATCTCAACCAGGGCAGGCTGCCCATCCGCTGGCATGTTAGGCAGCACCTTTACGAGCTGCCCACCCGGGCCAAACCGCGCGATCGTGTGCGGCGCCACAAACTTCTCTGGGGTCATCGGTCTCACGGGGGCCGGGGCAACTGCGATCGGCAGAGACAGGCGCAGCAGCATCGTTCAGTACCACGATTGCAATTGGATACGTAGCTATTCGTGGATTTAAATCGGTTCTTATGCTCACATTACAAAGTAGAATCGTGCACGTTACAAATTAGTATCTGCACAAACAACCCGATTTCGTAAAATTGTATCTTGTTTACTTTGTTTAACAAAATTTCAGCTCTGAGAATAAAAAAACATCTGCTTCATTGCCCATGTGATGAACACTACTCCGTACAAGGAGTAAGGGGAATGTGCAGTGGTTCCTTGGTTGTGGTCACTGTTTTGTGGTCAAGATGAACACAAACACGGTGGTGAACCCGCTGTGTGCGTGTGCGGTGAACGCAGCAGATAACTCACCCTGCTCGCCGGACTGCCACGGCTGGCTAGTGTAGTCGTACTGGTAACCATAGCCCTGGGTCGCATCGTAGCCTGCGCTCGGGTACTGTTCATAGAGGTAACTCTCCGAGGCGGGCGTTGGCGTCTGGGACTGGTAGGCATGTACTTCCTGGGCTGGCGCACGGTACACGGCACTCTAAAGCGGGAAGAAACGCGACGATTACAAAAACAGATACGAGACTGCGGGGGCTATCGCGACCAAAGCTTTGAACAGGAAATGCTGCTGCCATCAACTGCCACAAAGCTACTGATGCTACTGCCTCCCACACCCGTTACAGTACTGCCAGGGGGCTAAATTTGGTCTCCATGAAAATAACGCGGTTTTCTTAAGAATACGGATATAGCCCCTACAGCACCTGAAATAGTCTGCTGCTACGAGGACACCAAATGACAATATGTTTATGATGGGAGGATAAAATAATTCTGCAAAGATTGGGTCCGTTCTTGGGATTTGGCGAGCGTGCACCTGGTTAACTTGCAAAAACATGAATCTAAAACAGAAACATCACCCTTGCCTGCTGCGAATGGGTGCTGAATGCGCTGCGGTGGCTCCGCTCGCTGCGCATGCTGTGCACGCTGTGCGTGCTGCGTTCGCTGTGCACGCTGCGCCGGTCAAAGTCTTCCGCGTAGGCCTCAGAGGCGCGGCGGTATGGGTCGTCGTCGGCCGCCTGCGGAAGCCGTGGATCCGACGGCCAGTTCTCCATGTAGTTCTCCCGCCTTTGGCAACGGAAGGGAAGGCAAGGGGAGGCCCGCCAAGGTTATCATTAGGCGAGCTACATGGCCCAGGGGTTCGCGGTTCAATTCCAGCAAGCAGCCCTCGTTATCACCGTGGGTGTATCAATCTAAAAAATATTCGCAGTCTGCTTCACAGCAGACGTCAACGATCCCCCCGACTTAATTCAAAACAAGTTATTGCGCGCCGGCGTCATGGTCCAATTTAACAAATTCACAAACGTCCACCGCAATTTACTTAATTGGGATTACACCTAGCAATCATCGCCCCACTGCTGACAAACTAATGCCCGATTGCTTTCTAGGGGCCGAGTCACCTTGTGCCCAAATGAACAGCTGCTACTGGGGGTTCCGTTTCATGTTTTAGATGACATGTGATACGAGCCACTTATCGTGCTCTGAGATGCCATAGTGTAAAGTACAGCTCTATCAGTAACAAATTATTATTATCGTTATTATTAACAGACAGCGGGCTGCAAGGTGGATTCTCAAACATGCAAAAATGTATGTTTCAAGGATAATGCATCCCACAGACACACAGCTGCAATTGTATTTCATTTACCAACGCAATACTGGTCAACTGCAGCGCGTCCGTCTAAATACGATTCTTTATTCACCTCCCATTCTGAGCGCCGCAGTTTCTGTATTCAAGTTTCCTGACACGCAGAGAGATTCTTCCTTTTAAATGACCACCATTTCCATCCATAGTAATTAAAATAAAGACCGCCATGCATATACCTGCCATAGTAGACGTCCTGATAGTAGCCAGGATGCCGGAGCTGCATTTCTTGATCGTAACTGTAGCCATCAGCTCTGTGCTGGTCTGGCTCTGCGCATGTGAAAGCAAAGGGGATACAATACATTACTAACATTCATACATGGCATACTTCCATATTTCAAGCATATTTATCAACACAATGCTGATATTCTTGCATCCAACACATACACACTAAACATGCACTATGCTACATTAACACATCTACGTGTACATACATACGCATGCAAATGCTGCGACACATGCCAGGTAATTCTAGATTTGAACGTCGTGATTTTTGTTGTTTTATTTTTTACCTACGTGACTTTACCGAATAGAACCAAAGAACATGCCAGTTATCAAGCCCTTTGGAGGAAAGGATGGGTGGATCAATCTGATTTGTCAAACTCCCAAACCCGCTGGGGGCTGTGAAATGGCCAGGGGATGGCGGTACAGCAAGTAGGTTTGTGAAACAGTCTGTGCGGACCTCCGAGTGTTATTCCGCTTGCGTGCACCGGGATTTTCTCCTAGAACGTTCTGTGTAAGGAGGAAACTGGTCATCCCGTTTCTTCCCAAAATAATTCAAAGAATGTGTATGGGAGGACACCGGTACAATGGAAGTGGCCATATACCAGAGCTGGATCACCTTGAAAAGGAGTCTTGAGACTCGGCAAGGTTTAGTTTTCGTGTAAGTGACAATACCCATGCAATACATTCAATGAACATCGATGGTGACCGCAAAACACTGAGGCAGAGACCAGGCACTAAAAATAGGGGTGGTTATAGGTGGCTTGGCGGTAAGGCATTCGCCGCTTGTAGGTAGAGGTTCGCTTCACAGTGGAAGTTAAACATCTCATTACATCATTCTAAAAGAGGAGGCCATTGTGCGCCGGCATCTCGGTGCAAATTTGTTAAAAATGAAAAATTACCTGCAAATTAATCAACTGGTATTACACATGGCAACATTGCCCCCACACCCCCCGCTACTGTGAAACTACTGCAGACTGTCTCAAACAAATCACCGCTTTAAATTTCGATTTAAAGCTTTCGTGACTGCAAGGATTCATCTTCTTTGGTTCTTTCGGTAAAGTCACGTAGAATGAGAATAAAATAATAAAATAAAACAATACAATTCTCACGACGTTTCGGCCACAACACAAGTAGCCGTCCTCAGGTGAAGAAACAGGACTGTCCAGATGACAGCGCTTGAGTGAACCCTGTCAAGCTTGACAGCGTCTTTTAAGCTGTGTGGGAGGAACAGAGAGCCTTGACAAAGGAGCATGTAACTGGGAGTTTAGCATTACGGAGAGCAAACGAGCTGGGACTGGAGGAGGGGGGAGGGGAGTTTACACATAAATTAGCATGTAACTGGGGGATCAGCATGATGTTGGTGTGAGGGATTAGCACCACGGCGAACGACGAGCTCGGACCGGGGGACGGGGGGAGAGGAGTTTACATATAAATTAGCATGTAACTAGGGGATTAGCGTTGGTGTGAGGGAGAGAAGAGCACCAAGGAGAGAAAAAATGGCGGTTTTTCCCAACTCCTCAACAACCAGCACCAAGGACAGCGACATTCAGGCGGACGGGTCAATCCATACTCGGAAGGGAGGAGGGGGGAGGGAGAAACAGTCACAATGCCAGCGAAAGAGCTGCGGTCTGACGGTCACCGCAAAATACAATTAATTAAGAACCGAAATGGTTTAAAATATCTTTCTAATGGTTACTAAGCCAGAATCCATCCTCTCGGTTGAAATTGTCTCTGTGTTTGTATATGTGGATGGCTTCATGAACGAATCTCTCATGGTAGCCGATTGGCTTGCAAAGAACCTCCGTCTTGGAGAAGTCAATGTCACGTGAACCCACTGAATTATAACAGTGATCTGCCACGGCAGAAGAGTTCGTCCTGCCGTGTTTCAAGTCTGCTTTATGTTCGCGGATGCGGTCCGAGATATGTCGTTTGGTTTCCCCAATGTAGTTGCTACCACAGAGGCACTTTAGTTTGTAAACGCCCGGGTACTGTATGTCTGGAACAGCATCTTTTCCAGATGGAACCAGATCACGGATTTTATGTAGTGTTGAATCGGACCTGGATCTTGTGTTTATTCAGGATTTTGGAGATCTTTTTAGTAACCCCTGCAATGTAGGGTAAGGTGATGGTTTTGAGTGGCTCCTCAAGAGGATCCTTCTTCATGACTGGAGTGATGGCTTTGTGGATTGTGTAGTTGGAGTAACCATTAGCCCTGAGAGCCTGTGTACGTGTTTGAGTTCACTGGCAATGTGTTCCTGGTCAGAAATGCATTGAGCTCTATGGTATAGAGTCTTGATGAGGGAGTTCTTCTGGGATGGATGGTGGTGGGAATCCGGTTTCAAGTCAGCATCTGTATGGGTAGCTTTTCTGTAAACAGAGTGGCTCATTGAGCCATCAGGTCTCCTTTTAATTAAGACATCCAAAAAGGGTAGCTTGCCATCTTTTTCGACCTCCATGGTAAATCTGATGGCTGGGTGTATGGAATTGATGTGGTCGCGGAATTGGTCTAGAGCAGGCTGGCTATGTGGCCAGATGACAAAAGTGTCATCCACGTTCCATAAGGTCGGGCGTAGAGTGGCAGTCTGGATGGCGTCAGTTTCAAATTTTTCCATTAATACGTTGGCTACAACCGGAGACAGGGGGGAGCCCACTGGGGTGCCCTCAGTTTGTTTGCAGAAAGTTCCGTTCCAGGCGAAGTATGTGTTGGTTAAGCAATGTCTCACCAGGGGGGGGTACATCAGTATGTAGTCCTTGATGGACCAGGTCTTCAATGATAGCGATGGTGTCAGGTACCGGAACTTTGGTGAACAAGGACACCACATCAAAACTGACAACTGACAAGCAGGTCGTCTGTGCCATTCTTATAGCACAAAGCACCGCTTTGTGCTATAAGAATGGCACAATGAGAAAAATGTACGAAATAATACATATTATTTAAGTATTAATCTTGTACCCAGGTGGGATCCCAGTAAGAGAAGAGGACTTACGAGAGGGCGGGTAACCATATGCCCTGGCACCGTAATAATTGTCTGCGTAGTAGCCGTCTGGCCTGTCGTAGGGGCCCCTGCAATGTAAAAGGATGTGGGGTAGGCAAACAAACGAAATGGTCAAACAAGAGATCAGCTAAAATATTAATACATCAATACTGAACGACTAACAAATTCCTGAAATGAAATATACATATCAATCATAATCTCCTACTACAAAAACTTGGCAGGAACCTCCTGAAAAACAAAGTCATGAGGCTCTGTGAGGCTTTCCTGGGTAACACAAGTATAATAGATAAGCAGATAATGTCTCCTTCGAATATCTGTTTATCCCCATTAATTTTTTTAACACAACCCATCGACTCCACAGCCTTCTGGGAGTGAATAACTTGATGAGAAACATCGTACTCAATGTAAATGTTGTGGATTTGCTCTCCAACACACCGGTGTGCTGTACTCGTAACGAATTGGCATGTTCTGTTTACGTGACAAACCTTACTAAGGCTGTGTCGGGTGGTGGCGGGTTTAAAGACAAATTTATATATGTATGCGATCTAACCCAAAAAAATTATTATGGATAATTTTATGAGACACGATGGGTTGTATTTTCCATTAAGAGGCCATAATGGTCAATGCCACCGATGGCACGACATCCTACCATCGCTTTCTTCCTTCTGCCACGTACCACAACAGCCTAGGCCTATCTATAAGATAACAGTTCTGTTGCTTTATGGGTTTTTCCTTGGTTTAACTTGAACACCTTCTTAGCCACACAAATAGTGGGGCACGTGGGAGAGGTGCGGGGGGCACAACCCACCACGAAGAATTTCAATTATTAAACACGGAGTAAAACATCATTCCAGGATTTGGTGAACTGTCACATCTGATTCAAGAATTGATTACCGTCTCAACTGTTCTCTCTACACTTTCGTCTCATCTGTAGCTTTCTATGGCGATTTATTTGTACCGCCGATAAAGGCAAATTTGTGCAGTGTCGGTCTAATTTGCATTTCGGGTACAGTTTCATTTGCTCTGCTTCACGTGTTCGATCTCATTTGTACCGTCTCATCAGCAACGATTCATTATGTCTTGTTCATTTCAGCCATTAGCCCAAAGGAAAAATCTCATACAATACAAATGGTAAACAATTTGACTCGTGTGTGTGTGTGTATAAGGTTTTATCAACCACGAGGGTGTACAAATCTATTTTCATTGTTCAGTTACGTGGAGCGAGCACACTCACCGCTCTGAGTAGTGGCTGGCACGGGAACTGGGCCTCTCCGGTTCGGGGGGACGGTAGCGGCCGTATGCGTCGTAGCCGCCCTGGTAGCTGCCCTGTCGTGACAGAGGCTGCTCGTAGCTCGCACTGCGCCCGTTCTGCTGCTCCCGCAAAACACCACCAAAAGCGGCAAGCAAGACGACTCGGCAAGAGTAACAACTTCGATTAAGGGGAGGCTGGGGAATCTTTTCCTTACTGAAAAGGACTTTCTAAAATATTTGGGGGGCCACACGTGAACACACACCTCAGTCACTTATATCAGTCCAAGGACTTCTTGCAGCGGCAGAAGTGATACCGAGCACGTTAAAATGTTGCCTTGTCAAAAACATTGCCCCCAAGCACCCAATTAGTGTGGCTAAGAAGCTTGCAGTACTGGATGAACATTGTTTGCGGGCCATTTCCAAGTGGTAGACTTTGTGCCATGGGACGTATGAAATTAACTCACAAGCCATAGATTCACGACATCTACTTAAGACGGAATACACTCGAGATGTATTCACACCAAACCCTATGCTCACATGAATTTTAATAAGTATGGAACTGTTCGTTTAAAATTCAGAAAATATAAGGTGAAACTTTTGAAGAGTGTTTCACACTTTTGATTGTGTTTGTGGAAGCCCGTGTCCGGAGAAAACTCATGTACACCTGAAGATAACACTCCAGAGCATACACTGGCATCTACTGGTCACCTTGTAGCCCTTGCAAGTCGGTGTCTGGTGCACACGTTAACTATATGTTATCCACCAACTGCACCTACACGGTAAAAGATTACAGATACTTTTATCAGTACAGGAAGTAGGATACAGAAAATGTGATCCAAAAACCAAATGGCCCTGGTGATCATGGCTATCAAGCTTTGTTTATAACACTAAATTCAAAGTTATCAAGCACATCATTGGATCCCTCAACAGATAACTGTGATGTCACTCCATTATAGTGTTGTCATATCACAAGTGGTACATGACAGAACATCTGACCATGAAGTACCTTATATCAATAACTATATCAGAATTGGACAGACATCCTAGGTATGCATCTATGACAGATGTGTTGTTTTGGCTGCCTCTCCCCTTAAGAGACTGTAAATTCCTCCCCATAACACCCACTCACTGATCAAATGTGTATGCATTTATTTGTACTTATTTAAATGCAGATCTCCCTTGAAAAATAGACTGCTGGTCTCAATGGCTTTTTAGTTATAAATCTACCAATCACTTTCTCCACTCAATTCTGTGCAGGGCCATCTCCACGTTCACTCCAGTCCTTCATAGTGTGGTTCACCATTTCGGTACAACGGAGTAACTGGTTCACTGGTTGTACTGGTGCTGGAACACATAAATACTGGTTCACCAGAATATAGTACTATTTACATTTCAAGGGAATTGAACAAAACATCGCAGGCAGTACGCTCCTGAAAAAATATGGAACTCATTGTGGCTATACTACTAAATGAAGACAAACATTAATTGCACAAGTCATTAGCAAGTGTTTTCACCTCGTAGTACGCCTGGGCTGCTCTGGGGTCGGCCTGCTGGTAGTACTGGTAGTAGTGATGTGCCCAGGGGTCGGTGCCATAGGGGTACGGCGGTTGCCCGTAGCCCGCTGTCCCTGCTGGCAGCGGTGGGTAACCCGGGTAGGTGCCAGCAGCGGCAGCGGCGCCGTAGCGAGCTGCCTCATCGCCCGGGTAGCGCCCGCCCGTCTGACTGCCCGCATACTGTCCTGCTTGCTGATGCTCGGCAGCCGAGTGTTGAGATGATGACGGCTGTGGCGGCGCCCCTGTTGGGTAGTGAGATGAAGAAACTGGTGGCTGAGAATCGTTGGGTGGGTAAGCTACAGAACCATCTTGCTGTTGTTGCTGCTGTTCAGTTTGTGTCCGTACAGGTTGATCGGGTGGATATGGAGTAGTTGCAGTGACTTCAACTGATGCTGCTCGTTCTGGGAGAGAATGGTAACTCGAGGTCACAACTGGCTGCTGCTGCAGTGCTGCCTTTGAGTCAGCAATAGGCGGGTTTGCCAAGGTCACATGGGTCGAGGCTGCAGATGAGTCGGCATGCTGTGGAGGTGGAAGCTGTGAGGAGGGAGGCACCTGATGGCTTGGAGTTGGCTCGCTTAGCTGCTCCAATGACTGGCTCTTCCCAGATACAATTTCTTGTGGAATTTGAACAACAGGTTGCTGGGCTTTGGATGGTGGCTGTTGTTGTTGCTGCTGCTGCGGTTGCTGTTGCTGTTGTGGCTGCTGCTGCGTGATAGATGGACCTGGTACCTGCTGCCAAGCAGAAGGCTGTGACTGCAAGTGAGATGACACCCGTGATGGACATGGCGGTACAGTGGATGTTGGCTGCAACTGAATGGGACCACCTTCCTGTGTCCTCATGGTGCCCTCTTGAGCAAATGCTGCTTGCCGCACGGTCAGGTCGAGAGCCTGATCGCCACTCTTGGGTTTCTCAATTTGCTGGTAAACGGAAGGGTTGTGTTGCTCACCCTGAGTCGGAAAGCTAAGCAGCACATTCTCCGTCGTCGGTGGATCAATGGCGGTCATGCCCACGAGAGACGGGTTACCATAAGCACTGGGTGGGCGTTCCCTGTGTTGAGCGGCTTGCGCGTTCAGAGATTCTTCCTGCCGTGATGACATCATCTGGGGCTGCTGACTGATGGCTGGAGATGTAGCGCAACGAGCTCCTTCTGCCAAAAGTTGCCCACCGACGAAACCCTGGATCGTGGGCACGGGGGCGGCACTGTTGGCGGGAACAGTAGAGATGGTCAATGAATCAGACGGCACAAAGGACAGCAGAAGGTTTTGTGAAAGTGCCGAGTGGTGCATCAGTGACTCGGGTTGAGTGCGAGTGACAATGCCATTTTCAGATATCTGGTTGCTTCCCCTGCGTGATAAATCAGCAGCCGTCGGAAGGACCAACTGAGGCTGCGGCAGGATTATTGGCTGAACCAGACCTATGTCCAACGGGGCCACGGGACAAATGACTGGTCCGATGGCTGGTCCAATCACAGCTGGCCCGTGCATTTTAGACACTGGTGGAATTTCCATGTTCTCCACCGTGGGCCCAGTGTATCCGTGGATCGCGCCTCCACACCTGGTGCCCATCTCCTCCTCCGGAGGCTGAATTACATCTCCTCCGGCTGCTGGCTTCCTCGGTGGTTGCAGCACAGGTGCGGCTGGAGCAAGGATGACGGTCTCGTCCAGGCCGGGGACCCCATCCTGCGCCCACAGCGTCGTCATGGGGCTCTCCGTCATCTGTCGCAGCGCCGAGCTGCGCGACAACGGCCGACTGGGCCGCCGCTCGCTCGGCGTTGAATGCACACCGACCGGCGGCTTGCCGGGGTTAGCCAGGCCCGCCACGGCGCTGGGGATCTCCTGATTATCGGGCAACAGCTCCATGTTGGCATGCGGCGTACGGTGCAGCGCACGGTGACGTGCACCCCGGGCGCCAAAGTGCTCCTTGTTGAGCTCCTCATCGAAGTTGAGGCTCGTCTCATCCCAGCTGCCCGCCTTCTCAGCGGCAGTGGCGCCATCCGCCGGATCTACTACGGAGTGCTGTGGCGAGCGGAATGGCTCAAATGAGCTGTTCCTACTCAACTGGAAGTGGCCCGTAGGCCGAGGTGGGCTTGGACTGCCGGGCCACGCTTGCGCGGCGGTCGCATCGGCCGACAACTGCACATTCACAGGGGCGGTGGCAGCCACCTGATGGTAAAAGTCCCCCGAGCCTGACGACGTTTGAGGATGCGGCCCTGCCGGGTTCTCCTGCTGAATGAACGTGTTCGACACCTTGGGATATATGGGCTTCTTGGCGTGTCCGCCAGCACTGCTCATACTGACACCGCTCAGCGTAGAGGATGTGGCGCTAGCCGGTCGGCCTGGCCGGGCCACCGAGTCAGGCGTCTCGACATTGGGAAGAAGCTCTGCATTGTCAGGGAGCTGCGGGGGCCGATCCCGCAAGGTGCCATCGGGATGGACTGCGCCGAATGGATGGCTCGGCGAGTTTGTTGGTTGGCCAACGTTTTCCTGCTTGAAAGGATCCCTTGGTGGAACCTCCTGGTTCTGGGAGTAGTCCCAGTGACCAGAACCACGAATCGTTGACGCCGCATTCAATGGCGCAACGATACCACCACCCGACCCTTCCAGGCTTACATCAGGGTTCTCAAGAGATGGATTAGGGAAGGACGCAGGGCTGCTGTTCACGTTGGCGCCCTCAGGTACACCGTGCCGAGCGGCGCTGTCAGCCTGACTCCATCCGCTGGGCTGGAGTTGTGCTATGCTCGTCGGGGCCATAGTTGCCTGGTGAGAAGAGACGTTCTCAAAATTCTCAACATCATCATCCCTGAAGAACATGGACACAGTGCTGCAGTCGACGTCCGTCTGGGGACTTTTTAGGGCATCTGCGCAGCCGGACATGTGTGCATTATGATCCCCCTCGTGTGCCGGCCCACTGTTGTAACCCACTGTGCCCTGCACGTCTGTGTGAAACCCCTGCTGCTGTAAGGATGCGTCGAATGAGTACCGAGAGGCAGCTGGATTTCCAGGGTAGGTTTCTGCATTGGAGCTACGCTCCGCCAATGTATTATCCAGATTCGGGGGGAGCTGAGGGACACCGTGATGCTGCTGTGGTGGTGATGCTGTGTAAATATCCCCTCGGGGCGCATACTCATGCGCGTGCGGTCCAGGGTTATAACTCTCATACGTGGGTGCACCAGAGGACATAGGGACCTCGGCAGATGTGCTGGAATTTTGAGGAAGGCGCTCTGCAGGGTAGAGTTCCTGGTCATATTCTCCGGAGCCTGGTCGGTACGCCGCTTGGTGCGATTGTGGGAGACCGGGATTGTAGTAATTAACGGCTCCATCATGCGCTGGCTGACCATAGCCAGGCAGGCCCTGTGTAGGTGCCACCCTCTGTACAGATCCAGCACCGAGTTCCGGGGGTCCTGATGGATCCATAGTGGCGCTCGGCACTGTGTCTTGCAAGTGCCCGTAGGGTGGGTGGCCCTGATGCGGCGGTGGGACTGGTGAAGGACCCATGTAAGAGTCCCGAGGGCCTCCAGGCTGCAGGACAGCAGTCGAATGCACCTGGGAATGCTGTCCATGCTGCAGAGAAAAATGTGAGTCGTTGTGATGTGTCACTTGGGGATGATGCTGAGGTGCTGGTGCATGCTGGTAACCGTGGGAAACGGGGCCTTGCTGGTATAAATGGCCATGCCCCGAGGAGGAAGCGGATGACACAGGCATGGCTTCAACACCAGATGGGCGCAACCCTTGCTGAGGCTGGAAGTATGGATCCACCTCTGCGGAAGTAGCAGGCACTGCCCAGGATTGCAGTGGAACTGACGTGGGGGGCAGGGATGGTGGCATAAACTGTGCTGGAGTGGCGGCAGGCGCATGCTGCATTGGGTTGAACACGTTTAGTTGCTGCTGCTGCTGTTGCTGCTGCTGGTGCTGCTGCTGCTGCTGGGCTGGTGGATTTGTTATCAAAGAAGACGGCGGCTGAGCGGAGACCGGAACAGCAGGCTGGTTGAACGGCTGTGTCGGGTTAAAGAATTGAGTTGGTCCTGGCTGGCTGACGAGGGGTGGTGCACTCCCAGTGGGGTTGAAAGGCACGGGCTGCGCCAGCACGGGTGGCGACGGCCCCGGCTGCTGCAGGCGGTTAAACGCAAAAGGGTCCGAGATGAGCGGCTGCTTTGGTGGTGCGGCTGCAGATGCCGCCGCTCCCGCCATCGCCGCCGTGGGCGTTGTTCTCCGGCCGTACGGCGTCGTTCGCCGAAAGGGCGAGGGCGCACCATGCTTTGGAGGGCCAGCAAGTGGTGGCCCCGTGGGCGAAGTGGCGGCCCCAAGTTGACCCACTGGGGATGGCGTTGCGTTCTGAGGGATGGGCGCAAACATCACGGCAGCGGTGGGCCCGGATGTGTCACCACGGTCGGCCTTGGTAAGCCTGCAGGCAGTGTTTGATTATGAAGAAAGGCAGAAAGTTAGTGCAAACAATGAGATTATCCGACTGCTGTTTAAGGTCTTAGTCTCTCACTAAATGCACTACTTGAGCACAAATATTGGGGTTGTGCACTGTAGTGGATTTTCTGCATTGCAAGATTTAGACTTTATGGACCAGGTTCTTAAGTAATATAGCAATTAAAGCAAGTTAACGACTGCGGTTAATTTCAGTGATTTGTTCATGTAAATAAGACTCATCCAAGTGGATTATACAGTGGAGCAGTGCATTGCCCGATGAATCTAAAAACATGAGTGATAGTGAAGTGTGGTACAGCATAGTCAAACAACCCTCATGAAGAAGCCTTCATTCAGCAGAGAATTGGCAAAGTACTGTAAAATATCCTTATTATGATAGTCATGAGCCAGTCATTTTGCAGTAAAACAACTGATGAAACATGGCCATGAACGTCATGTATATGCCCTTAATGTAAATCTTAAACACAAGTAGAGCAGCTGGGAAAATCATGTTGGTATACCCCAATTTGTCAAGGTAAAACAATAAGTCTAATTTCACGCAATAATGCATATCAAAGTGGGTTCTATACACTTGGGCTTGGTAACACGCAATCTGAGTCAACATGGCTATTTTCTTTCAGCTTCAGAGTTAATTCCACTAAGCACACACATGCACACTACACACATAGATTGATCCAGGAACTGGCTGAGCAGTGCAACGTCTAACAGCTCTCAGCGAGTGGCTGTGTGTATGGACACCTGGCACTGATAGCCACCGCTTGTCGCTGACCCGGGGAGCCACACGAAGCAATACAAGCACGAACCACATTTCTGCTTGAGCCCAATCGATACTTGCTTCCACATCAGCATCTGTGCCAAATGCACACAGCACCTTGCAAGTAGCAGGCCCATGTCCACCTTGGTGAACACATTGCTCTACACTGTACAGTTTTTCTAACCGCACATGAGCAAACACCGCGGTGTTGTTACAAAATATTAGTTTGCGTTCAATGCAATGTGCTGTTACTGCAGGAGTGTACATTTCGTCAATACAAGCACCGAGTGATTAACATCTGCCACGCTGTCAGTAGGAGCTCTCAGTGGTTTCAAAACCCCCAGAGGCTTTAAGCTTACAAAATTTGTTTACTTTAATCATCATTAATACATTTACAATAGAGGCTTTTTAAATACATTGTTGATAGAAAATTCATAAACTGCACGTTGCTGTGAAATGCCGAATAAATGTGACCAAAAAAAAGGTGTATCATATGAACTAAAAAAGTAAATGTAATGAATATACTTTAAAATATGCGTGATAGCAGTGTACAGCACCAGTAAAACATAACTACTCAGGTATGACATTGATAGTTATATCAGCTTCAAGTAATCTTCGTAAAATAACAGGTACCACTGACGCAGTCTTATCTCCTGCCACTAAAAACACAATAAATGTTAAACAGCAGCTGTTTCTTATAAAAACTATTCCAGGGCTAAAAAACAAGTGTCTGAAGCCCTTATTAAAAATGTTCAAATGCCAAAAATAAACATGTATAAGGACACCCATTGCTCCTCGGCATTGTATCTTATTTATGAAGCATATTCAGGGTTTAAAGTCTAAAGAACACCCAAGCGTAACAACAGATGATGCAACATTATCCGTACAGTTCTCCAACATGAGTTTAATTCCTACATCATTTACGAGTTATATCTGAACTGGTCCTGGGTCTCCCTTTAGCAGCAGCCACCATGATTGACCAGGTGAGGAATTAATTATTTGGCAGAGGATTGACAAAGGGTTGTAATAGGATTTTATGTCAATACTACAAATTGCATTTCTACTAATAGGCATGGTTTATAGAAGAAATGTGTTGCCAATTCCTGACGCCTCCTCTAATCTGTGAAATTAAATGGCTCATCATCCTCCAAAATCGCCATCAGCACTATCATCAGATTGAGATTATCATCACCATCATCCATTGTATACCCACTGCTGGATGATAGTCACCCTGCTCCATCACCATCCCTAACAGCACACTGGCACCACAATCATTCTCAGTAATGCATGTCAACGAATCTCTTTGTTCCATCTCTGGCGTAATCATCCTCGCAATGTACGTCTTTATCACGACAGACATTTGTAAATTGTGGAAATTTGCTGGAATAATTATTTATCCATGAAACAGCCATAAATTATAATGAATCTTTACCACCACGAATATTAGTTTTCACAGAATGTGTGCAGCTATTGATAATGGTAATCGTGGATAAGAGGCGTTTCTGCATATATACCACTATTGTGAAAATTTGAACAAGTTGATTTCTTTTCACTCAAACCAATGAGGGGAAGTAGTTATCCAATTTAGTTTCCTGAGCCGGAGATAAAACTTTCAGTCATATGCTGTGAGTTTATCAACCTACATATGTAATAACATTTAAAATATATACCATAACACAGACAACTTGTCATAAAACCAACAAGGCTACGTAAAAATATGGACAGTGATAGTGTAGTCCAATCAGGCCTTACACACTAAAACTGTAAAAGCTGTGGTGGAAATATATTTCCATGGCAGAGCTGAACCTTCTTAAGGATGCATTGCATTAAAACGTAATAGAAATAACAATCTTACTATAATCAATTAATATACGACTGCAGAAAATACGTGATACATGCTCCAGAAGCAGGACGTACATTAAGGATAAAACATTAAAGCCAGTGGCTAAGATTCCAATATGGCTTTGGCAACCCTTTCCTAAACAATTTGACTTGAACATAATTGAATGTACCGTAATCAATATTCACACTGTAATAATTAAAATAATTAAAATGTACAACCCTTTCTCAATCCACTGCTGTATTACACAAAATCATGTTTGTACGACGCACTGAAGCCACTGTTGGATGACACCAAAATGTACAATCCGTTTTTACATCAACTGCTGGATGAAATCAATAATATCGCACAACCCTGTTTCAATCCACTGCTGGTCTACACCAACAATAATAATGAACAAGCTCTTGTCAATCTACTGCTGGATGACACCAACATTTGGATGTTCATGTATCGAATTAAAAAAACATCCCAGACTCCTGCGGTCTCCAACCGTGCTGGGCTGGCAGCTCCGCCCGGGGGCCTAGCAACCAGGCCCCCGGACAAAATTCCAGACAACACCGGTGACCCCGGGAAAACAGCGAGCAGGCCTCACAATGTCGCCGACTCAAGGCACATCGTGAGCATCATCATAAACACCACCACCAACCACCACGACCGCCAAACACAATTCGGAGACAATCGTTGCAGCTGTCACCTCGATTATCTCCTGGCAGAGTTCGGAGTCCCAGACTTCACAGCGCAGGCGCCATTGCCAACCTCCCGGTGTAGGAGACGCGACGTGGACTTTAAACGCTCAGCGAGGGCAAGCGCATCAGCTCATTCCGGGACAACAGAGACCGTGAAGACGCCGTAATTGCGAAGATGCGTGGGGTGGGTGAGGGGAGAAACGGCGCCTTTAAGCAGTTACAGAGGCGTGAAGGAAGCCGCTTTAACTTGAGCTGCGACGTCAGCAGAAAAGACGTGTTCATGGGGATCCGTGTCCGGCGCTGCTTTTGCATTGCCTAGTCAGCATGGGCGAGCCGAGCCGCGTCGCGCTCGCCGATTGGTGGGCGCGCGCCGCGAGTGGAGGCTCTCGGCCAATGGGGCGGCGCGACACGGAAGGGCGCGCCCGTGCGGGGTGGGAATTGTGGGAGCCGCCTCCTCCTCCCGGAGCTGACCGTGAAAGCGCCACATGTACACACAGCACACACACACAGCGCACACATACACACACACAGCGCACACATACACACACAGCGCACACATACACACACACAGCGCACACATACACACACACAGCGCACACATACACACACAGCGCACACATACACACACAAAAACAAAGGTCCCCCATATAGCCTTAACAGACTGTAGGGGCAAGTGCTGTTAACGAGCACCTATGAAGACCGGAACGGTACACGAGGGGGTGGGTGGCCAGCACCACGCCCGACCGCCTTTGTCTCCCTAGTGGCAATGTTTACACATCGCACCAGGTACTCATTTGAGGCTGAGTCGACCTAGGGGAGGCCCGGGACCGGTTCAGATAATCGTCACTGGTGTTGGCCGTGAGCAGGAATCGAACCCGGGTCGCCAGGTTCATAGCGCAACGTAGCGCTAACCGCTACACTACCGCTCCCCACAACACACACACAGCACACACACATAGCCACATACACACAGCCACACGCACCGCACACACACATACACACAGCGCACACAGCACACACACACATACACAGCGCACAAACACCGCACACACACATACACACACACCGCACACACACACAGCCACACACAGCACACACACACAGCCACACGCACACACACGCGTGCGTGTTGCTGTGTAAACACACGTGTGCAATGCCAAGTTTGCACAAGTTGCCTACACGACTCCACCTGCTTCGCTTAAGTAATGTCGTGGTTACTTTGGTGGTCCGGGTTATAAGACGCACACTAAACTTCGTGGTTATAGCCTTTAATGACAGGCTAAGAAGGGGCAAGTTCTGAGACCCTTAGGAAAATCAGACGTTGATAAAGCCACACAGAGATTGGTCTCAAACACGGGCCAAAGATCCCGCGGTTAATGCCTTTAACAAGGCAAACTAAACTTAAATTTCGATTTGAAGCTTTCGTGACTAAACTTGTGTGCAACGTTGAGCTGTAATTTGTGACCAGGGCGCTTCTGAAAAATAAGTCAATAGCTCAGTGTAACATAAACATAGTTTAGGTAACATAAACATAGTTTAGTTTCATCTTCTGTGGTTCTTTCGGTAAAGTCACGTAGAATGAGAATAAAATAATAAATTAGTAAAATAAAATAACAATGAAATTCTCACGACGTTTCGGCCACAACACAAGTGGCCTTCTTCAGGTGAAAGAACGAAAGAAGATGAATCCTTGCAGTCAAGTATTCATTGCAGTCACGAAAGCTTTAAATCGAAATATAGTTTAGTTTCATTTGCATTTTTTTTCAAGGGCTTTGTTTATCTTTCCCATACTTTGCACTCCAATCGTGTTTAATTGTTGAAAAGGTTCTGACAAAGCCCCTACTGGACATCTGTGAAAAGAGCTTTATAGCTCATCGGATTCCGCGTGTAAATATTCTGATTCACACAAGCCGGTTCCCAAACACAGGCCAAAGATCCTGCGGTACAGGGTAGTCTTTAACAGGTTGTAGGGGCAAGTGCTCAGGCGCTTTGCAAAATAAGAAGCACAGCAAACGTCTTGTCCAGCATTAACTTTAAACAAATCTGGTTTCACACGTACGCACACCTATCAGGTTAGTGTTCAACCTTTGGTTAAATTTTCCGGGTTAAAATCTTCCGAAGATGGGTTCCCCATGCATGTTAAGGAAATGAATGATGGACATAGTCACCGTTCCTTAAAGGCACGTCTATGACTTATTCTTTGGGTCTTTCTACGTGACTTCACCGAAAGACCGAAAGAATATGAAAGCTTTAAATCAACGTCTGTGACTTTTAACGCGGTGACGTTCCTGCGAATTGGATGAAGGGCGACGTGATGACGTCATCGCGCTTAACGCCGTCGACCCCTCGCCCACGCGTTCGTGGGCGAGGGCGTGGAGACGTCACCGCGCACTATCTGTGTGGCGACGTCACCGGCGCACGTCTGCGTGAAAACGTCACCACGCTTAAGGTCGCTGATCCCCTTGCCCGTAGACGCGCGGGCGAGGGAGGGCGCGTGGAGACGTTACCGCGCACGTCTGCGTGATGACGTCACCCGCACAGCCCCGCCCCTTCGGCAAGGAAAGTCACAAAAAAAATTGCACACGAACGACGCATTCATGCAAGCACCGATGCTCCGTTTTGAAGTTTTAAAGTGAAACATATTTTGAATTATATTCCTGGTTCTTTCACGTAGAAGGGAAACAATGCAATAACAAAAATATATTGAATTTTTATTTAAAGCTTTCGTGACTGCAGTAATTCATATTCTTAGCTCTTTCGGAAAAGTCACGTTGAAGGGAAACAATAAAATAATAAAATATATATAAAACAATAAAAATTCTCACGACGTTTCGACCGAGAAGATGGATTCTGGCTTAGCAATCATTGGAAGGATTTGATAAACCATTTCAGGTCTTAATTGATTGTTCACGCTTACGGTGGCTTTCAGACAGCATACATTAATTTTTCGTCTCCCCCCTCCTCTTTTCAGAACATAGATGGACTCGTCCTTCTAAACAAACTGCCAAATCGCTGCTCGTGGCGCAAACGGGTTTCTAAAAATAAATAAATAAAAGCACCGTTTATAAATAAATGCGGACCGGCACACCTGATGACGACCGTTTGTGTTATGGTCGAAACGTCGTGATAATTATTTTTGTATTGCTTTATATATATTTTATTTTTATTTTATTGTTTCCCTTCAACGTGACTTTACCGAACGAGCTAAGAATGTTTCAAATCGCTTTAAACTATTGCCATTGTAGTGCGTATTTAATGTGCCGCTGCACTCTGATGTTGTAGGAGAAAACATTTATTTAAAATTATATTTAATTAAGTAGAATTAAGCAAGAAGATTTTTTAAAAAATGTTCTTGCTGTGGTTTTCACACCTGATGATGATTGCTTGTGTTGCAATCGAAGCGTCGTGACAATTTTATTGTTTCATTTTTATTATTTTATTGTTTCCCTTCTACGTGACATTACCGAAAGAACCAAGAATATGAATCCCTGCAGTCACGAAAGCTTTAAATCGAAGTATTAAACGCGTTATGTTAATGTACATGGAAGTGCAGACCCTAATGTAGCCAGCAGATGGCGCTATTTGCATGCAAGTTATAGAAATGCATATTTGTCACGAACAACAGTGACCTTAAAGGAAACATATACAAGAGGCGACGTTTCGGGCAATGCCCCTTCTTCACTAAAAGGGTCATTAAGCTACGTGTAAATTTGTTTTTGTTAAATCGTGCTCGAACACCGCTGCCAACACAGCTTCGCCAAATAATTGAATTCAAAGAAATGGATTGGCTGGCATAGTGACTGTAATTACGTCAGTGGCAGCAGCAACAAATGGCGAACTGCCGAGTTTGCCCATCCACTTTCACTCTAATGATCACGTTGTTCACACTTACACACGTGCGTGTGTGTGGAGCTGTCGGACCAAGCCTAACCCTTCCCACAATCCTACCCCCTAATTCAGATGCAGTGTTGGGAGGAGCTGGAGTGGTGGAAGTTCGAGGGTTTACTGAGATATGACGACCAGTTTCGACGGTCAGTTTATTGCCGAGATGATCACGGGAGGCCAAGCGATGGTGGAGCGGTGTTCGTCCAGTATGTTACTTACCGAGGATTGTTTTTTTTTACAGCTGTGATGTTGAAGACTTTGAGGAGCACGTTCTGATTCCAGTTGAGCCCTTGTGGTTTCATGCAGCGGAGAGAGATATTCTCACGTAATTTACAGCATTTAAAACATGTTATTCCGTGACAAAGTATTTATACAAACAGGTCCCTGCAGGGTGGGCTGGTAGGAACATTGGAATTTTTCACTTCGTTAAAGTATTGAAAGGGGACGGACGGACACATTAATCTATTGCAGGCTGGTACACTCAGTTTACAACTTCGTTCCTACCTGTATAACCGAACACAATGATTACAGTTGTAAAGAAGCAGCTATACCCAATTACATTAGCACTTTACAAAAAAAACGTAAACTAAAGTGATTGTCAGCTTGTCAGGCATATGATGCGATAATTTCCGTAGCTATTTTAATTATCCAAGAGGGGGATTGTTGAACGGATAGCACGTGCGTTGTAAGCGGCATGGGTTGTAATGTGGCAGTAGTAGACTCGTGTCGAGTCACCTCTAGCCCAAGAACATTTTAGCAATCGTCATTCGTACGGGGACTACAGCAAACCACACACTGATGCGATCGAAATCTGTAGCACAGTTACAAAGTTATAGGAATCTGATATCGCAATAATAGTCATCGTCACGAAAATTAATCTTGTACTTTATTGTAAAATATATATCGCAGCAACCTTAGAAGCTTCTTCTTGCGTATGGCTGATGTAGATGCAGAGCAACAACTACAATTTCACATTCAGGTGGTATAAGCCCAGACAATCGCGTCAGGAGCCAGCGGAGTAGTATATCGTTGTGATGTCTCCTTCGTATTTGTGGATCGGGGCATTTCGTCGTTATTGTGTTGTACTACGGTCTGTTGTGGATGACCGCAGTCGCACCACCACTGCAGAGTTTTGATTTATTTTCCATTTGAAACGAATGCGGCGTTACGATACCAAGCCAGGGTCTATCGCAAATGACACAGGTGTTGAATAGCCATGCATAATTCAACAACTGCACGATAATTGATTGCGTCAGCTGTAGTCCGTGCAGGTTTTAGCTTTCAGGGCTTGATTCACGGACGTTGGTTAGGTAAGAGCCTTGCTCGGGGTGTTTTGTCAGCGTCTCTTGTTATGCAAATTTAAGTTATTTATTTCCCAAAGAGGCTGGAGTTGACACTGTATACAATTACTGTGTTCTGTTCACTGAATTATCCGTGTACCTGGTTATCAATAAAATAATAATGAGGTTGCACGTTTTATCATGTTCTGTACCCTGTTTTTTTAAAGGTCTCCCCTGATGGCGAGACATCCTGTGCCAATGATGTTGAGATTCTATATTTGGATAGATTCCCTGAACTCATTCTTGTATTTACTTGTTGTTTAGTCAACATGCGCCATGTTCCATCCACTGCTGAATGAAGACATCCCCAATTCGTCGCCATTACTCACGGTTCTACGACGTAACAATACATCTAGCTTATGCACATGAGCTGATCTCATTTTGCTCCATCTTCGCGGTGTTATGCCCTCTTGGGCGTCTTCCGGCCTTTGGCTCCCATTCTGTTACCAGTCTCAACCATCTGCCATCATCCCATCAACCGATGTGTCCTGCCCAATCTCCCTTGCTTTCCTTAATAGTGCACGTGTACAGCCCTTGGTCAATCCATCGCCGGATTAAGACTTCCCCGTGACTTTTTCTCACGGGGCTTGTTTGCACAGGATTAATGCCTGCTGTTCGCGATCTTGACTGTCACCCGAGATTGTACCTGTTGCTCAGGGACACTCTCAGCCACCTTGTGATCGCCACCCTTCTGTCTAATCTTCCGGTCGTCTCTGAACTGTGCTCCTGACACAGATATTCTGCGTTGACTATTCCACCTGAAGACGGAAGCTTGTTGCCTCCGAAACGTCGTGATTTAATTGTTTCCTTTTATTTTGTTTTATCTTATCTACGTAACTTTACCGAATAAAACCAAAGAGTATGGTATAATTCTCTAATTTTTTTTTCAAAGTGGCAGCAGTATTACCACTTTTGAAGAAACCTGGCTTCGACCTGGAACTTCCCAGAAATTTCCGTCCAATTTAAAATCTCCCACATTTGTCCAAAATACTTGAGCGTGCACTGGCCATAGAAATTCATCAACATTTGTGCATAAACATCTTTATTGATCAATTTCAGTCAGGTTTTCGACCCGGGTACAGCACCGAGACAGATCTGGTGATAGTCATCCATGAGTTGCTAACATGTGCAGACAAAGATTCTGCTTGATCTTAGCACACATTTTGATAAAATTGACCATAACGTTTTACTCGAGCAGTTGGAACTCGCGATGGGGGTCTCGTGCCCCCACCTTGCAATTGTTCCACTCCAACCGACCAAACTGTCTGCGATACGTCACTATGGGCAGATTGAAAACTCCTCATAGTTCGGTTGTATATGGCATCCCTCATGGATCTGTTCTAAGCCCCACTTTAGTCAGTGTGTGTATATGGGCCGCGCTTGGAACGTTTCTCCAACACCAAGGGCTCCGTCACTGTTGCTATGTGGGCGACACGTGGATCTATGTTCAACTGAGATCGGACTGCGTGTCCTCGGCCTGTGCACTATCATCGCCGCTCTCGCTCATAAAATCTTAGAAGCAGAAGAAATGTTCTCCAACTTAACAGTGATAGAACTGAGATACTTCTCATTGCCTCCCGCCCTTACCCGCCGGTTGTCCAGGGTTGGCCTCCTCAATGTTGTAATCGACGGTTAGGAATGTTGCCTGGCTTCACCACATTCCGTTTTTTATCGATTTTAAAGAGACTGGTTTACGTGCTCTTCATCTCACATCCTGGCTATTGCATTGCCTAGTCCCGAGTACCCTCCTTAGCAGATGGCAGTCTGTCCACAATGTGACTGACAGTTTACTCACTCGCACTGCTCTTCCAGACCATACCTCCGATTAGCACGGTTGGCTACGTACGGTGTGTGAAAGAAGTTCAACATATATACATTTTTCACACCCGTGCTCATGTCTCTGCATCTGCTACCAGTTCAAACTCGCGTTGAGTTTAAGATTCCCCTAGTTGTGTTCAAGGATTTAAATGGGCTTCCTCCATCCCATACATCTGTGTGCTGCTGGGGTTTTGTCTACACGGCACCCAGGATCTTGAATTCCCTGCCCTAGGAGGTAAGGAACTTGTAGTTGATGTAGACTTTTAAATCCTAGTTGAAGACCCCACCTGTTTAAAAAGGCTTTCTCTCTGTAGTTCTCTAGCTTATTCTAGATTTGAAGCTTTCGTGACTGCAAGGATCCATACTCTTTGGTTCTATTAGCTTATTTCTTTAGTCTTTCTCTCACCGGTTACTTCTCACTTATATTTTTTCATTTATATGCATGACACTCTGAGATTCATTATTTCAGGGTGCCTTATACATCTAAATAATGTTTACTTGATGCTGGTCAGTGTGGGTTGGGGAAGGGGATACCTCGAACCTGTTCAGATCACTTGGCACCGGTGTTAGCCATGGCCGGGAATCGAACTCACGTTACGGGTTCATCGTGCCAAGTAAAAAATAGATGCGCCACAGTTCCACCCCAAACGTTAATATGATGCCCCTAGTTTGCGATTGTTATTTGATGAAGTTTTATTTACAGTATTTTAAAAAGGAAACGTGCCACATGAGGCATACCACTTCCTGCAAACGCTAGTTATCTATGATATATATTTGTCATACACCCACCTCCACCCAACACAACCAATTCGTTATCCATCGCTGCAATCATATTGACCACACTGATCAGGCACTACTGTACTGTATAGAGAAATGTTTTCAATTGGACAAGACTGTGGTTTTACATTTGAAAACAAAACGAGCCTTATTGATTGCTTGCGTTATTTTGGATACCGTTAAGCGTGTGTGTCTACGTGTGGTTATCCGCTAAAGGTATTCGAAAGTCCTGCAAGCTAAACGGTTCACCATCTCTGGCTTATATGAAAAGCCCGGTCGTAATGGGTGAAGCAGTGTGTTGGGCTTTCGTGGGTTATGCAATCCGACCACGTGTAAGATGAGGAAGAGAGGGGGCGGAGGAAACGCTGATGGTCGCTGGGTTGTGTTCGTGGTTGGAGATGCATTGCATCTGTGCGGTGGTTGTGTGGAGCAGTGAGCTACCTACCCCAGCTGCACACCAATTTCCATCCCCTGCCACGGCTAACAGTAGTGGCTGCGATCTGAACCGGCCCCCTGGACCACTCCCAGAGGTCGACCCAGCCTTCAGTGAGCAGTAAACTTGGTTGCGGTCTGTATAAACATGAGCACCGGACGTGGCTCAGGCCACACCATCTCACTTTGGGGTTTTTTGTCTGCTCCCACCTGAACAGGTGCAACACTTTTGTCAAGTACTCCCACCACTTGTCCCGGCGGTCTGTGGAGGCTACCTTGCCGGGGAGTGGGGCATTTATCTTTGGTGTGTGGAGGGTGGGGGCTTTTCTAAGCTCACGCCGGTCACAGCCGATATAAACCGGGCTGCGTGTGCGGGTTAAGACTCATTAAAGCTTCCGCTGTGCCCCTACCGTGTGGTCTTTCTACGTCGTCATCATCGATATTAACACCGCGTTTGTATTGCTTTGTCAGCATTGTATAGCTGCTGCTGATGATAATGATGACATAGCAGCAGCAGCAGCGTTAGCGACAGCCGGGGCTTTAAAAAAAAAAAACCCGCTAGATATTTTTTTCAACCGAGCCGCTTGCGATAGCTAGCGATGGGCCATGTGTAAAAAAAAAAAACGAAACCTTAACGCGGAAACATACAAACCCGCCGACACTGTAAGCGCTGTTACATTTCGCCGTTCGCGAGACGAGTCCCCCGAGGGGCGAGGTTTGAGTCGTGGCGATGGTTTGTTTGGTGTGACGTTGACGTCTAATAGACGCGCGGCGCAGCGGGTGTTTTAACCGCTGGCCACCGCGACACGCACGCACGCTGCTGCTGCAGTTGCAGTTGCCGCTGCGCGCATGCATAATGCGGTAGTGGCACGCGATGCACGGTGAATAGCGAGCGACGCTTTGGCGCACGAAAGGGTGGAAATCTTAATATCCTTGCGTGACGGGCATGAACCTCGGGGGTTTCTCAATCGGTTCCGAATGATCTCCGTTCGACTAATCATTGCATCACCACCCATAGACGTCTAAAAAAAAACAGCGTTGCTCTCGGTATGCCTTAATTGGGGAGGGGGGACAGAAGCTGACGCTCGCCCGCCAATTAAGCGAACCAAGAGACAACTCGGAACATGGACGAGACGACGAACGTCTCAAAGGTTCGTGGAGATTCTGGTGGCGGCGGCGGCGCTGATGGTGGTGGCGGTGGAGTCGAACCCGGGGTCCCCTCTGCGGCTGGTGGGACGAGTGACCCCCCGTGCGGCCCCTCGCAAGCACCCACCCTGGCGAGACCACCTCCGGCCGGTGGGTCGGGAGCTGACCGGCCAGGGGGGGGGCCTTCGGTCGACGTTCCGGGAGCCGACCCTGCTCCTCCAAGCGCACATTCGGCCAGCGTCTCGGACGGTGGCCTCTCAAGGACACCCCCGCCGGCCGGTGTCCCCGTGCCCGACCGGGCGAGAGGATCGTCGGTGGACGACGTCTCGGGAGGGGGCCTCTCGGCAGAACATTCGGCCCGTGGCCCGGCGTCCGAGCTCCCGGGAGGACGTTCGTGCGGTGTCCCAGGAGGAGGCCACCCGCCCCAAGGCTGGGCAGAGTCGTCCTCGCCGGAGGTGGAGGTCGACTCCGCCGGTGACATGGGACGCTTCGCGAGGCTGTTTTCGCGTCTGGACGCGGACGGCAACGGGAAGGTGGACATCGACGAGCTCCGTGCCGGACTGCGGCTCGCTGGGTCCGGGCAACTCATGGAGGGAGTTGACGAGGTGGGTTCGTGATGGGTCGGTGACGTTTTAGAGGTTCCTTGGGGGCCCAAGCATACACTGCACCGTTATGAGGCCCCTGCGACTTGACGTATGATAAGTAGGCGTGTCGGTTTACACGTGGTGGAGGCTTTCGCGGCCAATATTGTTCACAGTAAAGGTGCGTAAGTGTAAATGTGTCGTAACCCTCCATCACCCGACACAGCCAATCAGATTTGTCACGTAAACAAAACGCGCCAATTAGCTACTACTTCAGCCCACCGGTGTGTTGGAGAGTAAATCCACAACGTTTCTAATTTTGAGTTCGACGTTTCGCTTGTAATTACATCCGGCATCATCAGCATACACTGACTCATTTGCCCTCCAGACCCAACATCCAGCAGCAGTCGCATTTGTTCAAGCACCCAAATTCAGGACTGGTTTCGCCGAAACGGGTCTCATCAGCAGTCTTATTCGCATGTTAAAGAAATGCAGCACGCGGTCCTTTCCAGCTGTTCGTGGCCACGGCACTCGCATTTAAATGATGGGTCCGCTTATTCAAGGCAAAATAAAAGTAATCTTGCGTTCCAACTCCAGTTGTTGTGGAGCTAATGGTTCAATTGTCACAGCTAGGGAACCTGCGACCCGCGGAGGCGTATGCAGGCAGCGACTTCGGTTCATGGGTCACTTGAGGTCTCCAACTTAGAAACTATATTTAACCGTCGCTGCAAGAATTGTGGCCTGAGTGTTTTTTTACTTCTGTGTGTATGTTGATCTTCTTTCGCACCGTACGTAGCCAATCGTGCTATTCGGTGGTGCGGGAGAAGGACACCAAACTATGGGTCTCTGTATGAGTCTATGGGTCTATGTGTGAGTCTATGGTTCTCTGAATTAGTCTATGGTACTCTGTGTGAATCTATGGATCTATGTGTGAGTCTATGGGTCTATGTGTGAGTCTATGGGTCTCTGTGTGAGTCTATGGGTCTCTGTATGAGTCTATGGGTCTATGTGTGAGTCTATGGTTCTCTGTATGAGTCTATGGTACTCTGTGTGAATCTATGGGTCTCTGTATGAGTCTATGGTTCTCTGTGTGAATCTATGGGTCTCTGTATGAGTCTATGGTTCTCTGTGTGAATCTATGGGTCTCTGTATGAGTCTATGGTTCTCTGTGTGAATCTATGGGTCTCTGTATGAGTCTATGGTTCTCTGTGTGAAACTATGGGTATCTGTATGAGTCTATGGTTCTCTGTGTAAATCTATGGGTCTCTGTATGAGTCTATGGTACTCTGTGTGAAACTATGGGTCTCTGTATGAGTCTATGGTTCTCTGTGTAAATCTATGGGTCTCTGTATGAGTCTATGGTACTCTGTGTGAAACCATGGGTCTCTGTATGAGTCTATGGTTCTCTGTGTGAATCTATGGGTCTCTGTATGAGTCTATGGTTTTCTGTGCGAGTATGTATGTATGTTGAACTTCTTCCGTACTGTACATAGCCACCCATGCTAATCGGTGTTGCGGGGGAAGGACAACAATCTGAAATGAGTTTTTTTTAATCTAGATGATTTAAAAGTGCATAACTCCAGTAGATTCCTAATATCGGAAGGAAGAGCGTTCCAGACGGTCCCAGGAGCGCGTCTGAAAGTGTGCGATGCGGCGACCGTCTTTGTTCGACGGTGAGCCACAGGCCGCTGTGAGGATGACTGAAGTCCGCGTGATGGTGGTTTATGTTTATTGACGAGATCGCCGAGGTATCGTGGTTCATTTGTGGCAAGCACTTGTGTGTAATGAGTGCGTTTACGTGTTCGGCCGAGGTTGGTGGCTTGAAGCAGTATACCTCACGGTGCATATCTGATATTCATCCCCAGCGAATGATCAAAGGGGTCGCCGGTATTATGACAATGTGGCCAGTGATGCGCTGTGCCCATGGTTTAAGAATGGTGGCCGCAAACGCACCGTGGGCTATTTAAAGCGTAGGAGATAGAAGCTGCACTAACCGGGTACAATGTTTTTTGACCTGGCATCTACACCGTGTTTCTAATTTTCTTGCGCTTAGTCACTTGTGTCACAACAGGGGCCTGTTCATACTAGATTGACACACGCACCTTGTTATTGTGTTTGCCTCGTTACTGGCTAACGCTAAGGTGTGTGCGAATGTGTGGCCCGCCAGATCATTTGAAAGTCCTACATCCGGACCTCCGTAAGGCAAAGCGTTCTAATTCCTGGATTAAGTGATACCTGACCAATCATGAGAACTTTTAGTCACTGTGTCAGGGCTCTGACCTCGCTAAAGTACCGTGAAATTATTAGCTGGTGTTTCAGGACTTAAAAATGCGAGGACATTCATCCATTAACTATACGTTGAGAATCTGTCTGTCTGTGGCCAAATCACCATACATTTTGTGCCATCTCAGAAGCTGTGGGGCTAGGCCTGCTTCGTACTGTATTTGGATGGTAGAATACGTGGATTCTTATTCAGTGGCTGAATAATTGCTTATTTCGAAAGCAAAAAAAGCTCGGTGTTTTTTTTCTTCTATTGAGTAAAGTCAATACCATGGCGTGGATTGCATGGAATTAAAGTTCCATTCCTGACCAAAGTTTAATTATAAGGGTTGGTCGGAAAAAAATGTTGAGCACTGGATATTCAAAGTACGTACTGTACCCCCAGGCTAACCCCGCTTTAATATATTCATTGATATGGTTATTGCTGCATCCGTGCAATTGTAGTGCTGTCGTTAATAATTGCAGATCTCGGTAGCTAAGCCAGGTTTGAGCCTGGTTAGCTGCTTGCATGGGTGACAGCCATGTGCAGTACTCACAGGTTATCATAGGGATTTCGGTTTTTATATATCAGGCAGCAGAGCAACCTATTGTACTGTACTTATCCCATACCTATGCTCTCTATCTTCAACCCGAACTGAACAGTGTGCTGAAGAATTGTCAAGGAACCCCTACAACCCACCGACTATTTCCAACTATTTTACTATTTTAATTTTACCAGGTAAAGCTCACTGAGCTATATGGCTCCTTTTTCAGAAAGCGACCTGGCCACAAATGATAGCTCAACGAAGTGGCTTATCATGTGGACATTTATAGCAACCAAATGCTCTAAACGCATGTTTCTAAATGTGGAGGGAAAAACTGGAGGACCCGGATAAAAATCCACGCGACCATGGGGAGAACATGCAAACTCCAAATATACAGCAGGCGTCATGGTCAGGATCGAACCCACGACCTCCTGTATATTAGACGAGGTAGTTAACAGCTTGCCACAGCGGCTTCCCCACTTGAAGCGGGGAAGACCTCATGCAACAGTGGATTGCGTAGTTAATGATTAGCACGCAAAAATGAGGTCCAATTGAATCCTAATGTCATGCGTGACTTTTTGAACTTTGAGTTTAGAAGGTTTTAACAGCACCACTTAAAAAATAGATAGGATGGATGCATTGCTGCGAATAGATTGCTGTTGCCGTCTTTAGATGTTGACCAGCGTGGTTAAAGTATGGGCAATTAACCCCCACAGCCACATGGTATGCAGTGGATTAACAAAAGGCTTGTACGTGTACATGTACCCTGAACCACTAAATACAGTACAGTAAATACCCATAATTGGCAAATATATTTTAATAAATCGCATTGCATTTGATCTGGTAACCATGGATTTGTGTTTTTTTTTAAACTAGCGTCCCACAAGTCAGGCATCGCCTCGACCCATGGAGAAGCATTCATCAACAAATACAGTCATGGACTTTGGAATGTCGCCGGGCAGGCTGCTGTGGGCAGGGATTGAGACTGGGGTCTACGGCTGGATGGATGCCACGCAATTCCAGTCAGTCGGAGTTAAGAGACGTGTTTTTATCACTTTGATCTCAAGAGCAGCGTGTGCCGTTAAACGGGAGGTGATAGGTGGGGGCTTGGTTGACTGGCATTGCCATAATCCGTCACGTGTCGCTGGACCTGGAATAGGGGTTTCCTGCCTTCGGGAGGCAGGATGCTGGCGCCCGCCATAACTTTTGAAGAGTCCTGAGTAGTCAACAATAATGACGAGCGAAATTGACAATTTGTCCAAACCCTACTGGGTAGTGCGTAGATGGGCGACTATCATGCTTAAAACAGGTGTTATAGGCTGCTTCTGATACGTTACTTCAGTGGAGAAAAATACATTGTTGTAACTGTACAGGATGGTCCAGAAGCCTCGTGACGACCAATTAATTGACCCCGAACATGTTTTGACTTTGCATATTAATTTCTGTTTTAATGAAAAAAAAATACTTTTGTCGAGAATTAAATGGGGGGGGGGGGGGGTCACAAGACATCTGGACCACCTTGTACTTCTGTGCCTTCTCATCTATGATCCCCTCTTTTACCAACTTGCATTGACGAATGTGGGTTAGCTTGCATAAATATAAATGTGTCGTTAAACCCACCACCATCTGACACGGCCAATTCGTTACGAGTACAGCACACTGGTGTGTTGGAGAGTAAACCCACAACATTGATAATACACCGGTGTGCTGAACTCGTAACGAATTGCCATGTTTTGTTAACGTGACAAACCTTACTAATTGGCTGTGTTGGGTGGTGGCGGGTTTAACGACACATTTATATTTACATGACCTAACCCAAAAACAACTCCCTCTATTATGGCTAATATTAGTCGCGTGTTAAACCTACTACTGTACAGTCATATAACCCTCTGACGGTGTGGGGAAGACCGCGTCCACACGTCCATCAGTAAATTGATAAGAGGGCCGTGCATGGGCATCTTTTACTCATGAAGCGCATTGAAGTGGACCTTTTGGTGGTATTTTTTTTTGTCACGCAGGCACTAGAATAATGTTGACATGCGCAGGCACGTGGCCTTGTGTGCCCTAACCAGATGTGGCTGCAGCCCTCGTCATGTCCATGTGGGTCTGCAGTCTCGCAGGAGGTTGCTGGGCCCTGCTCTGAATTTTAAGTCTGCTGCTGTTGCTGCTGCACTGTATTGTTTATGGCTGCCGCGCCTGGGGACTTTTACCAATAGCCCC